CGATGACAGATGACTGTGGGAGTTCCAACCTGCAAAATATCAAGGACGTCACCTGCGGTTACATGAATGTCTTCTGAGCAGAAGATAGTCTTCAGAGTATTACATGGCTAAAATTTGAATTTGGTTATGATTGCATCAGAGATCTAAGCTGAGTCGATGAGATGAATTCACCTGATACCTGTCCCAGTAACTTCCCGAGCTATATGAAATTGGACCGTGAAGGAATATATTTTTTTGGCTATAATTTTAAATATTTTACGTGACTGTGAAGAAATATATTTACTGATTTTTTTGTCTTGTCTGTCGCAAATCTACTTGATTTACTTACATTGATGATTGAAATCAATTCTGGAGGATACTGAGTGTTGTTGTCATGGTGAGGAATATAATGAGAAATCTTCAAACCTTCATATCGCTTAAGAGCACATCATTTCCTTGCACGTTGGTGAAATGGAAGGCATTGATCTTTACACGTGAATCATGATTGATGGTGCAAAGCTATGGGACATCAGCAAACCTTTACCCTCTCATCTTTGTTTTCTAAAAACGGTATTTGGATGACAGATTCCACATTTCTTTTATGTCATTAATTTCGACTGCTAGAGACTCTGTTTGTTGGTTTTAATCATCAAAAGTTTCTTCTTATTGCTTGATTTGATTTTTTTTATATTTTTTTTTGTGCAGGATGGTAACTTTCCCTAATAAAGTAACACATAAGTAGGATTTTTTGTTGGGATAACTGTCCGGTTTGGGTTCAGCACTTCAATTAGAAAATTGACTGCTTGATACACATCCCCAAATTTTAGTGTAGTTTTAGATCACAGTTATGTAGGATTGCAGATATTATCAGCCTCTCTTATGGGTGTGCTCATCTTTTCTTAATCTAGACAAGAAACATATGATTCATCCTTGTGGTATTTAAAGAGTGGTCGTGCTTCCTGAATGTTCTTGAACCGCTCTCAGCATCTGCTGTTGTGAGCTACACGAAATTACTAAGACGGGTGCTCTTTGTTGTGTGGCCAGTCGGCCACATGGAACGAAATCTAATAAAGGGAGCAGAGACTGTTCCATCGATCCCAGTGAAACCCATTGGCTTACAAACTTCAGTTTCTCGCCGCCATCCACATGGGATTGCCAGTTACTATCAGATGGAATTATCTCCCATGACTCTCACCAGGTGCCCATCTACAATCCATCGTTATCTCCATACAGCAAAGGAAGTGGAAGCAGACTTGCCAATTACGAGAATGCCAACCATCTGCATTCTGCTTCTGATGGTGCATTGCCTTACTACGAAAGCCCACCCGATAATTACCACCGATCACAGTGGACGCCATCTGTGAAAAGATTTGATACTGGAGAGATTTCTGCTCCAATTAGAGGTAATTGAATATTATTCTTCTTTCTGGTTAACCTTTTAATCTCTTTTGTGGGACTATTTCGCTCATATTCTCTATGTAGCATTTACTTCCTGATCGTTTAAAGTTTTTCTGTGTGCTAGTTACGTTTTTTTAGATGCTTAGTTGCTTTTCTTCGCAGATCTCAATCTAGTCTCTAAATCAAACCCTGGAGATATGTAATAATACTTCCACATCCTGGTTTTACTAGAGAAAACAAACCTGGCTTTGTATAGATGAACTTATCTACCTATTGGCTTTGGATTTTGAGGCGTGGCTGAATAGCTTCAAACTTGATATCAAAGCCTATGATGGTCAGAAGAAAATAAATCTGTTGGCTATGATCTATTCAATTCATTACAATTGGCATTGAATTAGATAAGTCCAATAATATCAAGTCTAAACCCCTAAAAAAAACTTAATCTTGACAGAAATTATTCAAGTTATGATGAAAAATTGGGAGCTAATACTAAATTAATGTTTCGTTTTTTATCATAATCACCAGCTGAGATGTAACTGAGGATATTGCGGGGAATGCGGGTGACATAGATTTTCTCTATTATTGTCTTCTAATGCTACATTCTGTTTCTATATGCTTACCCTTTTTATCATTCTCTATGCTACTCCTAAATGATTCACAGACTTCCTTTTTCTTGCTTTAATGTGTCATCAGGCACAAGGTCTGAGATTTCTCCTTTTTCTGAGCCGTCAGAGGTAACCCTTTTTGGATAATTTTTTTTACCTCTGATCACTACCCGCAATGTATTCCAGAAATTATGATTCTTCTCTGAGTTGGCATCCTCTGGCTGCAGCGGTGCTTTGCTGCCGGAATTTCTTCGATCTCCAACAGCGTGGGTTCGCCATCGCCACCTTCGGAATCGGCTCAATGGGGATCGAGCAGCCGGCAGCAGGCCATCTCAGGAAGGCGGTCTTTCATGTCGAAACCCGTATATCCTCTTGTCTTCCGGAACCCCATCTCAGAGGCCGACAATGGAGAAGAAGCTTCTCCCGATCTGGGTTCGAGCTCCAGGAAAGACGGGTTCCGCTGGAGCAGCGCCAGCAGTCGCCATCTAGGGTTCGAAGGAGAGCATATCGGAGCGTTGGAGTCGGCCGGGCCGAAGAACGCGCCGGCGGCCGTCGATGCCGCCGGTGACCAGAAGTGCGGCCTCTGCGGGAGGCCTCTGTGGCAGAAATCTCCGTGGACTTCTCACCATATCTTCCGAAATGGCGACATCCCCGCCACTGGCGTACTTCCCTGTGGGCACATCTTCCATGCGGAGTGCTTGGAGGAGACGACACCGATGGCGCTTATACGCGACCCTCCGTGCCCGCTGTGTCTGAATCCTGCCGGCCCAGAAGAATTCCTCTTCTCCCAACCCTTGGAAGCTGCTCTGAGATGTGCTCGGAGAAGGCGGGCGGCGGCCAGCTCCGACGCCCCACTGGTCGCCGCCGACGGCGGCGACGATGGCGGCAGTACCCGGCCTCCCCATTCTCTGGGAGGAAGATACAGCTTTTTAAAGAACCCTTTCAAGAAGGGGAAGACCGGATTCGGGAAGATGAGCTTGTCGTCCTCGCAAGGCCTCTGGGCCTCGAAGAAGCCGGTCGGGTATTCCAATTAGGGTTTGCTGGTTTCTACCCATGGCCTCGGAGTTTTCTGGTGGGCTTTGCCTTGATATGGATGAAACCTCTGTAGCTTAGTCCTATCCTATTCAAATATACAGACAGATAGCAATTGCTTCTCTTTCTTCATACTCATTATAGAAGGCCCGAAGACTCTTTCTCTCGCTCGTTACAGCTGAAATATAGCAATTGCCTCTCTTCAAGTTCTTCAGCCAAGGTGCAGCCCATCTCTTTGTCGTGCATCCGTTGGCCAGACAAGCTCTGTGGACTCTCTCTCTCAGATAGATCGAGATAGCGATGGGCCACGCTGTAGTTCTTCAGCCAAGTTCCGTCCAAGTATCTTTCTTGTGTCATTGGCCAGATTGAAGGCCAAAAGACCCCTCTCTCTCTGTCTCTCTGTCTCTCTGTCTCTCTCTGTCTCTCTCTCTGTCTCTCTCCCCTACAGGCTATGAACTGTTTATGAAAGAAGAGCTTTGGCTCTTTTCGATTAGTAGGCCTAACGGAGACAGTGTGGGCCGATTCATAAAATACACATGGGTAGTGGAAGGGGCGGTTTTTCCTATTTCCTCGGCTGCCCACCTCTTTAAGAGAGACGGGAGAGAGGAAGAGAGGGGAAGTAGGTGAGAGATAGAGAGAGAGGGACTCTTTGAGTAACAAAGAGTTACACGGGGAGTAGAAAGGGTGCGACCCCTCCATTTCACTGCCGTCCGCAGCACAAGGTAGAGAGAGAGAGAGAGCAGGAGAGTGTAAGGTCACGGGGCTCCTCGAAAAGGACTGTCAACATAAAGCGGCACCCAACCGCCCAAAGCGCTCTATTATCTCTTCTTCCTTCACTTCTTTATCTTTCTTTTTGTTCTGTGCGCGTTTTTTGGGTTCTGCGAAGGCAGCCCACCGAACTACGGCTTGGGTTTTAGGTCAATGTGCTGGGCGGCGCCTAGTCCTCGAATTTACTCATTTCCACCAGCTCCTCTTCTCGTTCTAGAAAGAGAGAGAGAGGTCGCCTCTCTTTCAGCGGAAACTATAACGTAATAGTGACTCTCGGAGGGGTACATCGCACCAGGAGCCAAGGCCATCTCTTTTGATAGTCACATCAAATCGTTCCGGCTTCTCCTCCTGGGTTCATATTATTATAATCCCAGCCCGTATAATGTCGCATGATCATCCCTCGACAAGAGGCCCGACTGCCCAGACCAGGTAGGGATCCGCATCTGGATCGCCGCTCGCCTGTCGAGCGTTTCCAGCGGCGTCGTTAGCTGCGGAAGAGTTTTATTTTAGGGGATGGACCGGAGACCCCGGTGTTCAGGGTGACAGCGGGAGAGCAGCAGGTTTCACTTGCAGCGAAGCGGGTGGCAACAGAGAGAGGAGGGAGAAAGGCGCCGGAAAAAGAGCTTTTTCGCCATTCTTCGCCGGGGAAGGGTTGCTGAACCCCTACGTTAATTCAACCTTTCTCCCTCCTTTCCTTTCCCTCTCTTCTGCATCGTGAAGGCTCTCTTGGAGAGGGAGGGGGGAGGGTTTTGTCTGGTCCGGTGGGAGTGTACACGACGTCAGCCCTAATAAATCAGCGTATAGTTTATAGACCAGCCCTTGGACGGTTCCTCCTCCCCCAGAATATGCACTGCTACTCCTCTTTCTCTCTCCTCTCTCTCTACCGTTTCTATCCGTTCTTCTGTATGCAGGACCCATCTCCCCATGCAGTCATGTCACATGCAAACTAAAGACTTCAAGAGCTCCCCATTAAATAAAATCCGAGCAATGACCCTTTGCAGATGAGACAACCTAGCCTGCCTAGGCCCCCTCGAGCAACAACATATTAGGGCACCCTCTCCATCTTCTCCGCCCCAGGTCCCCTTCTTGCTCTTGTTCGTGTTCTTCTTACTCCTCTTCGACTCAGACTAGACCCCCACGGGAAATATTTAGGACATCCTCTAGCTCTTCTCCACCCCCACGTATTCTTCTTTCTTTTCTTCTTCGGCCTCCTCAGCCATGGAGGAGCGGACCCAGGAGACCACCGTCTCCCGAAGAGGATCCACAGTCGACCGGGGGATACCCACAACCGAACCAGTGAGGACGCGGTGGACCCCCAAGCCGGAGCAGATTCTCATACTCGAGTCCATCTTCAACAGCGGTATGGTGAATCCGCCCAAGGATGAGACCGTCAAAATAAGGAAGCTCCTGCAGAATTTCGGCCCCGTTGGGGACGCAAACGTCTTCTACTGGTTCCAGAACCGCCGGTCGAGGTCTCGCCGGCGGCAGCGGCAGATGCAGGCCACCCTGGCCGGAACCACAAGAACTGGAGGAGGTGCAACAGGTCACCAAGCATCTTCGTCGACTGCTACATCATCAAGTGCATCGTCGACGAGCGTCTTCTGTGGTGGGTTTGTTTCTCCGTCTGACACTCCCGCCGCCGCTGCCGTCGCAACAGGCTGTTCTCCCGCCCCTCTTGCCGGAGGCGGGGAAGACGTCCTCTTCGCGATCTCTCGGCCTACGGGTTTTCCCGAAAGCATTGATCAGGGTCCAATTTACTCTCCTCCTTGTGCTTCAAGCTCTCACTACCAATCTGGTCAGTCAATGGCTAAGTATCAGAACAAGTTTAATCTCTAGTCAATTTATTTAATTTTTCATCTTATTTTCAGTTTTGGTTCTTAATTTTGGATTCAGATAGCCAGAACTAAGAGGATTCGGACACGAAAGAAAATCAAATATCCATTTCCTTCTTCTGCCTGAAGAAAAACGATATTGTTGTGTGAGATCCTAATATTATGATCTTGTAGATCGTGAAGAAGCTTCCCCCACCCCGGCTCTGATTAATTAGTAGATTTTTAATTTTTTTCTGATTAATGCGTATTTATAATGTGCTAGTCTTATTACTGGGTATTTAACTGCAGTATTCACCGGATTCTCTGACAAAAACTCGTTTCTCGCCGGTCTGAATGTGAGAATTTTAGCAGCGATGACTATAGTGATTATAATTTAGGAACACCAGCCTCGTTTTCTTCCCAGTCGCCACGATTCTGTGATTAAGCTTATTTCATTCTAGGCTCTTCAGTCAACAATCCCCTTATCGTCAATGTTAGTGCTGTTCGGTGCCCGGGTTATCGTGTTACCAATTTCCATGCACAGTATGCGTAGATCTCCCCTATCTCTCTCGCCCCCTCGCCAATACCTATCCTTCTCTGTCGGTATGACTCTCTCTCTCTCTCTCTCTCTCTCTCTCTCTCTCTCTCTCTCTCTCTCTCTCTCTCTCTCTCTCTCTCTCCAACCGGCCTCCTTATCTATTTATCTCAATCGATGTAGATTGCTCTCCTCTCCTCCATGTCATGCTTCCCCATTTCTCTCTCTCTCTCTCCTTCCTCCTCTCTCTGCTTTCTTCCTATTCTGTAATAAATGACGAAAGAGCTAGACCTCTGTGGATATTTTAACATCCCTCTCCAAACGCATCCACATTTATTGACTCAAGTGTCGGTGGCCATGTTAGTCTTAAGCACAGTGATGGCGCTGGATGCAGGCTTCATGACGGTCTTCATCAATGGAATCCCTCAAGAGGTCCCGGAGAGGGCCAATCGACATGGGGGCGGTCTTCGGTCACGACGTTATGCTCGTGCACTCCTCCGGAGAGCTGGTCCCCACGACTGACCTCGGGATTCTATTCCAGGGCCTGCATGCCGGCGAAAGCTATTTCTTGGTGAGCCTCTCTCTCTCTCTCTCTCTCTCTCTCTCTCTCTCTCTCTCTCTCTCTCTCTCTCTCTCCCTACGCCCTCAATTGCACCACTCTTACTCCACCGTCCTCCAAAACGCACGCGTAACCTCGCTCCCTCGCCTCTGTCAATTCAGATTCCCAGGCTCGCATAGAGTCGGGGACCGTCCCATTTGTTAAAGTCCTGGCTCTATTTTCGTCTAAAGGCCTGAGGATTCGAGGTCTTCATCTTCATCGCGGAATGCGGCAAGAAAAGTCAACGCGAGAGGTCTACACGTGTTCTTTCTGAGCCGTCAAACCCCAGAGCTGATGTCGAAGAAACGAAATGCACGCGTATGCATGCACAGTCACCCATACTTACACGTGTACAAATCCATGAGTACTACCCTTTAGCTTGCTTGACATTTGGTTCCAAGGCAGCCCCCTTTGTTGAAACTTAAGAAAGTTCTGAGACTAGTTAATAGTGGAATTATCCTAAGCGAGGTTTATTCTTTGCTTTCTCACTAATCTTATCTGTGGTGCTAAAGAGAGAAAGAGAGAGAGAGAGAGAGAGAGAGAGAGAGTTCAGTGTCCGATCTAAAGGGTAATTTTTGGTTTTGCTGTGATCTCTCATCCGGACCTCTGAATTCTCTCTCCAATGGCTTACCTCAAACACTTCTCTCTCTCTCTCTCTCTCTCGCTCTCTCTTACTCCTACCTACCTCTTCTCTGGTGTGACCACCACGTGACACTGGGTTTGCGGGGAGGGTTGCAAAGGTTATCTAAGGCGCTCACAAGGCCTTCTCGTGTAGACCAAATTCACCATCCTACGCATAAGGGAGATAATGTGGGAGGGATGGCAAAAATTGCGTACGCAGTAAGATAATGGCCAACCCTCTTCAGGATACTGTGTCGCACTGTCAAACAGCGAAGGAGACCCGTTTTAAATGCCCCGCATTTCTTGGAAGCGCTGACTCAGTTAGGTCCAATTGTTCGTCTCCTCTCTTCCCCGGCAGCGTGTCCTTGAAAAGCCCTAATAATCGAACAGAAGTCAACTTAAAGGCACCCTGCTTTGTTCTCTCTGTCTCTCGATCGATCGATCGATCGAGCTTACAGATGTCAGGTAATGCAGTAAAATGGTTCTCTCTCTCTCTCTCTCTCTCTCTCTCTCTCTCTCTCTCTCTCATACTCATCTGACGAGGGAGTGCTCCCAAGAATTGTTGAATGGAACACTTGTCCCTCTCTCATGTTCATCTTTCTCGGGAGTTCTCTCTCTCTCTCCCCACCCCTCTCGCCCCCACCCAACCCCCCGATTAATTCTACGGCTACCAGCTTTCCTTTGACTGCTAGCAACGGTGGGCCGCTTCCGACTGCACAGAGTGATGGCAGCGCTTCAATGCGTCGACCGCTCTTCAGTCCCTACTTCACTCCTGCTCCTCTCATCACACGTGCACTCTTCCTGGCTCTCGCGGGCCATGCAAGGTTCCACGTAGTCCTGAACTCCGGCAAAACCCTCCGCCAAGTGTTCCTCAAGGTGCGTTTACTGCGGCTGTGCGACCGTCAGCGGCGTCTACGCGATGGCAATAGCTTTTGGGTCTCAGTGAAGAACAGAAGAAGATCCTGATTCCGAAGTATCCGTACACGATATGGATACCAAATCATATAATAGCATCAATGAATATGGTGATGAAGGACGTCGAGAGATCAACTACCATTGAACTTAGATTACTCGATTCTATTATAATCATTGAGAAATAGCATGCTTGCTCAGTTGATTCGGGACTGTTGAGGCCACATCAGGCGAGGAAACCCTGGAGCGGAGCCACCGGAGGAGCCCCCGCCGCCGCAGGCGGCGGGGAGAGAGATCCGGGCGGCGCGATAATCACGCCGAAAGGTTGAAAAACACATGGCGATCGTCACCGCACCAAAAGCGACGAAGGCAGAGGCACATGGTTTGGCGGCCCGCCATCACAGCCCAAGAAGGGGAGGAGGTTCTCAATAAACTATTTGACACAGAGCTACCGTGGCAGCTGCGGCCGACGCCGCCGCGGCGGGCGGGCGGAATCGCGCCACCGAATCGGCCAGCAGTCGTCGTTTTCCCCTCTTTCGGTGCCCCACCCACGTGGTCTTGCTAGAGCGACCTTCCGACCTGCAAGCTGAGCTAAGGGTCATCATGTGAGAGAATAACGCTAGGAGGGTAATCTCCCTCTCTCCCTCCCTCTCTCTCTCTCTCTCCCCCCCTCTACGTGCCCTCCCCTTCTCTCTTCATGCATGCATCGATTATCGCTTTCACGTCACATTTGCACCCGCAAATAAGGAAGTAGTTGACTAGGAATAGTCCAGAGAGCCCGTCGCCGCAACCCTGCTACAACGAAGACGACCGTCGTCCTCCGCGACGACGGAGATCCATGAGGGCTCCCACCCTTCTCCATCTCCTGGTGCTCCTGCTTGGTCTTTCATACTTTCTTTCTCTAAACGCTGCTGCTGATGCAAGGGGTAATGTTTACTCGTTTTACGATTACCCCCCCCCCCCCTCCCTCCTCTCTCCTCGCCGTTACATTCTTATCTCTCCTAGCAAACTAATCTCTCTCTCTCTCTCTCTCTCTCTCTCTCTCTCTCTCTCTCTCTCTCTCTCTCTCTCTCTCTCGCTCTCTGGTTTTCAGCTCTTGCAGGAAGACTCGCGTCAAGAAACCAGGAACCTCCGGTGGTAGATATTGCAGACGAGGTTCTCTCTCTCTCTCTCTCTCTCTCTCTCTCTCTGGAATCACCAGTCTTGGATGACTGCGATCCGTTCCTTTAGGGAGTTTCATGAAGAGATCAGATGCCGAAAACCATACGGAATACTTTTATCAGACTATAGTTTTAAGATAAGACTCCGAGGAAGCTGTATTCCGATGATGCTTGCTGCAGGAGAACGAGGAACCTCGGCGGATGGAATTGGAGAGGAACGACTACCCGGGGGCCGGAGCCAACACGCGCCACCAACCAAGGATCCCCAGAGGCGGTTAAGCGCACCGCCGTTTTCCGTACTCCTGACGAAGTTCCCGTCGATCAATTTCCTTGTACTTCTATCATATGGCATGTGGATTTTTGAGATATATCAATCTAACATCTTGCGAAGAATTTTATATGATTTTTCCGTGTTTACAACATAATCATATCTAGGTTTCTAGCAAAATTTTATGAGATATCATAAAATATCCAAACTTCTTGGGCTGTGATGGCGGGTCGCCAAACCATGTGCCTCTGGGGATCCTTGGTTGGTCGCGTGTGTTTACAACATAGTCATAAGTTATTCTTTAATTTTTTGGACCAAAGTTTATGAAATATCATCACCCAAAATTATGAACTTTAATATCTAAAGTACCTTTCTGAAACACAAGAAGGATGAAATTTTGGACGAATTTTTATGAATATCTTATGGTCAAATGATACAAATATCATAAATTATTCATTATTATTTTTTTACAAAACTTTATGAGATAACATCAACCAAAGTCATCAACTTTAGTACCCGAGGTACTCTTTCAAAACATAACAAGGATGAAATTTTAGATAATTATTTTATGAGCATCCTACAGTCAATAACACAAACATCATAAGTTATTCTTTAATTTTTTAGGCCAAACTTTATGAGATATCATTACCCAAAATAATCAATTTTACCCCCTAAAGTTTCCTTTTGAAATGCACAAATGATGGAATTTTGGATATATTTTCTATGAGCATTTATGATCAAATGACACAAACACCATTAGTTAATTCTTAATTTTTTAAGTCAAAATTTTAGAAGATATCATTACCCAAAGTTATCAATTTTATTACCCAACGTATCATTTAAAAACATAGTAAGGATGAAATTTAGAACAAATTTTCTATGAGGATCGTAGGCTTAACAACACCAAACATCATTAATTATTCTTTAATTTTTTGGGACAAACATTATGAGATATCATTACTTGAAGTTATCCATTTGACTACCCAAAGTACCTTTTTGAAACATACAAAGGATAAAATTTCAGACAAATTTTCTATGAGCATCCTTTAATCAAATTACATAAACACTAAGTTATTTCTTAATTTTTTGGGACAAACATTATGAGATATCATCACCCAAAGTTATCAACTTTACTACCTAAAGTACCCTTTTGAAACACAAGAAGGATCAATTTCAAACAAATTTTTTCATAAGCATCCTACACTCAATAACACAAACACCAAAAGTTATTTCTTAATCTTTTGGACAAAACTTTATGAGATATTATCACGTAATGTTGCCAAATTTATTGCCTAAAGTATAATTTTAAAACATAAGAAGGATGAAATTTTAGACAATTTTTTTATATGCATCCTATGAACAAATAATACAAGCACCATAAGTTATTCCTTAATTTTTTTGACAAAAATATACTTTCCAAAGTATCATTTTGAAACATAAGAATGATGAAATTTCAAATAAATTTTCTATAAACATCCTATAGTCAAATGACACAAATATGATAAATTATTTCTTAAGTTTTTGGACCAAACTTTATGAGATATCATCATCCAAAGTTATCAACTTTACTACCCAAAATATCTTTTTGAAACATAATGAAATTTTAGATAAATTTTCTATAAGCATCATATGGTCAAATGACATGATAAAGCCTCAATTTTACATGATAGGATATTGATAAATCTCAATTATTTCTAAACTTTTTTGACAAAATTTTATGAGATATTGATAAAGCCTCAATATTACATGATAGGATATATGCATATTTTATATGATTATAGCTTAAATGTCTTAATGAAAGTACACATTTGATGTAAACATATTTTATGTGAATTTATATTATCTACTAGATTACATATAAAATGTATTAAAAATTATACATTTTATAACATGCATATTCTCTTGAATCAAAAGGTTTTTTATGTAATATTGATCATTTTAATAAATGAAAATATTATATCTACATGTAGAAAAATTAGAAGAAGAGTAATTTAAATTTTAAATAGATTCTCTATAATTTTTAAGTCTTTAATAAGTTGATCAATGGATCCATTATAGTCGGCCTACTATCAGGCTACATACCAACCCATTCTAATAGGGGGTATTTAAAGGGGGAAGAAGAGAGAGAAAGGGGGGCGACCAATAGAAATTAGGGCTTATGGAGAGAAGATGATGGAGGGCAATGAATGAAAAATGAAAAATCACAACAACTACAACTACAACGACGATGGTAGTGACAACATTGATGGTGGTTGTGAGTCCCATTCTATGTGATAAGCAAAGAAGGGACCAAGCACAGTGGTGGTGACGCTCATAATGACGACATTAATAGTAGTGATAATAGTGGCACTGGTTGTGAACTCCCTTTCTATGTGACAGGTAGAGAGCAGATGAGCATAGTGGTGGCAGCACTCATGATGGCAACATTAGTAGTGGTGTTGACAATGCTACTAGTTGCGAGCTCCTTTACTATGTGACAAGTAGAAGAGGGGTCGAGCACAACAATATTAGTGTCCACACTCCTAGGCTTCAAATTAAATGTTTTAGCTTCTACACATGGTTTTTTCTTTATTTCTTTTTCTTTATAAATGCTGCAAATAGTGGACTCTGTGAGATTTTCAACACTCATCGATTTCAACATATTAATTGTATATTTTCTGTAGTTGTTGATATAATCTAGGGTTCTCTCTCAAACACAAGTTTAGTACTCTACCAACAATTAGGTTGTTGGTGGAGGTGTTTTCACCTTTTCTTGTTCTTTGTAAATTTATAATATTTCTTTTAGCACTTTTTCTTTTGTTTATCTGATTTTGAGTTTGTGGAAGATCTAGATGAGTTTTTAAGCCTTTTTTCTTCTTTCATTCCTTTTTATGTCTTTATCCTCACTCAAAAAATTAATAAAAAATATATGTGCATCGCATAATACTAAGTTTTTCATGTGAATCGACCTAAATCCACTATGTATTATAAATAATTAAAATTAGAATTTTTAGATATTTAACTTTAATAAATTTTAAAATTGATTACTTCTTAAAACAATGATTAGAATAACATCAGATATCATCACTTAAAGTTATTAAATTTACTACCCAAAGTACTTTTTTGAAACATAAGAAGGATGAAATTTCAAACATATTTTCTATGACCATCTTACACTCAACAACACAGACACCATAAGTTATTCTTTAATTTTTTGGACCAAACTTTATGAGATATCATCACCCAAGGTTATCAACTTTATGACCAAAAGTCCCCTTTTGAAACATAAAAATGAGAAAAGTTAGTACATATTTTTTATGAGCATCCTATAAACAAATGACACAAATATTATAAGTTATTTCTTATTTTTTTGGGACAAACTTTATAGGATATCATCACCCAAAGTTATCACCTTTACTATTGAAGGTACCTTTTTGAACATATAAATGATGAAATTTCAAATAAATTTTCTATGAGCATCTTATGACCAAATGACACAAACACCATAAGTTATTCTTTAATTTTTTGGGCCAAACTTTATGAAATATCATCGCCTAAAGTTATCAATTTTACTATCCAAGGTATCATTTTGAAACATAAGAAAAATGAAATTTCAAACAAATTTTCCATGAGCATCATATGCTCAATAACACAAACACTATAAGTTATTTCTTAATTTTTTGTGCCAAAATTTATAGGATTTCATCACCCAAAGTTATTAACTTTACTACCAATGGCACCCTTTTGAAACATACGAAGTGTGGAATTTCTAACAAAATTTCTACAACCATCCTATCTATGGTCAAATGACACAAACACCCAAAGTGACTCCTTAAAATTTTCTATTATAACTTTAAGACATATCATCACCCAAAGTAGACCCAAGATACCATTTTGAGGAACAAGATAGAATTATTTTCTTGTACAAATTATCTAGAATCATCTTATGTCCATAATACAAATACCCTAATTTACCAAATTTTATCATAGAAATTAGGTAATTACACAAATACCCTAATTGACCCTAATGCTAACCCTAATTTATTTAAAATGATAAAATTTTAAATAAATTTTATATTATCGTTCTTAAATTTTATATTAGGTATAGTTGAATCATAGAAAGGCGGCTCCTGCGGCGAGGGAGCCTCCTGGGGGGATTCCTACCATAAAAAAGATCAGGGCCCCAAATCTTACTGTGATCAGACGGTTGTCATCCAAGGGTTTCTTCCCACCGTGGGGTGGGGGTTTTTCAAAGGGGAAGGACTCTCTCCCATTCCGGACAGAGAGGGAAGCCCTGGGCTCCCGAGAGATCGGTCTTCCCCACCGCCATGGAAAACGCAGATCTCTCTCCCGCTCCATCAAGGTGCCCTCACTGTGCCGGCCCTCTTTACAAAGATATGGTACCCTCTCTTTCCTTCCCTCTCATTGTGTGCAATCGGGAGGCGGGGCTCCCTGCGGTTTACTTTTCTTTTTTTCCATTCTGAGATCGTTGTTGCCGACGAAACCCGCTTTCATTTCTTGAAGGAAACCAGCTCGTGGACTGTGGCGCCCTTCGTGCGTGATAGCTTTTCCATGGTGAAGCCTGATCCTATCATCTCCCTACACGATCATTCTCTGTATGAATCTGTTACTAATTCTATTTTTTCGCGGTCTTCTTTGGTCAGATTGCCTCTGCCGTAGGGGGCACTGCAAGCGCCTTCTATGGATTCAACCACGGTATGCCAATTGATCTCCTCAGCATCACGTCATTTTCCGTAGATGCCTTCATTTTTTTCTTTGCGTGCACAGTTGCCTAGATGAGTATGACTAAATCGAGCTTCATATCCTTTACCTTTTTATAAAAAAAAAATGACAGTTAATGTTCTTTTCATACACAAGTTTTATATATATATATCCTCCAACTATCTAAGACCCGCCATTAGAAGCCTCTGATTGCTTCATAATGAACAAAGGTCGAGTTAATATTCTGATTCTGTTATCAGTCAAGCCCTCTGTTTTTGTCCATGGAAGCCCTGAATATTTATTGGGAAAATATACCATGTTTTTTGGATATTCGTATACATATTGACCTAAATTTACAGAATTTTTTAATTCTACCGAGCTCAAAGCTGCAAAAATCCTGCAGCTTTACGCTGTCAAGGAAACCTGGACGACCACTCTGTTGATGTGCAAGGATTAGAAACCCGTTGTTGCCATAAGTGAGGAATTCTACTGAAAGAGTCCCTGTTGGAAGAAAATCAAGGCTCATATCCTCTTTATCAGGTTGCTAGATGAATTTTTTGAGGCGATCCCCAATCTGCATTACCTTAGCTTCCTGGTTTTCTACATAAAATTACTTTGACAAAGGTTGTGCACCTTTCATGTTCACTAGAACGATAGAACCCTTTCAACGTGAAGAAATTCTGAAACTCCGGTCAGACAGGCCAATCCACGCGGACTTTGTTTTTTATTTTTTCTGCGGAGGGAAGCAATTTGACGGGCAATTCACGAGAAGGCTCCCCCGTGTGCCCTCTTAACAATCCAGCTACCCTTTTAGAAAAGAAGGAAATCATGGTGCATCCGTACGACCCTCTTAGATCACTACTCCGATTAACCTGCTTTGCTGTTCTCTGACTTCCATGATTGTGAGCTTGGGACAAATAATTTGATTCCTGTGCCTCTTTTCTATATTCAGCCATGCCCGTCGTTCGTCGGTGGGTGAAGGGTCCGATGTGGGCGCACTTTCTCGTCGGTGTGAGTAACTGCAGCTCTCATCTTTTTTGATAATTTTCTATCGCCTCTCTTTTTTCAGTACTTCGCTGCCTCAACACATAGCTTAACCACTCTGAACTATACTTTTGAAACTAGATTGGCGGCTATGTTACTGTCGGTTGATGTTGCCCCAGTGTCGTGATATTTATTCTCCAATGTAAACATGAAGACATAGGCGCAGGAACATTAGCCATGAATCTAGGGAAGTGTAGGGTTTCATCCAATTATCTCCTCCGATGTGTTCTTCATTCGACCTTGGGTCGTCTGATTAATGGAGGAAGTTACCAGCAAAGTATTTTCCATCACTGTGATCTGCATTGACACCTCAATTGCACTGCCCGACTAAGGGATGCTTGATCTTCGTTCATGCAGTCTCCCCCGGTGATCGTCTTCTCCTCCGCCTGCGCCGGATTGGCAGGTCAGAGAGCCCACTCTGAGCAAGATCATCTCCTCACTCTCCCTCTCCTCCGGGGGGGTCTTCGATTTTCCCTCTCTCGTCCGGAAGCTTGGTTTACATTCAAGAGAGATTCTAGAATTCCTCCCCTAGTTGGGTCTTTTTTCTTCTGTTTTTAACTGTTCATTAAGTGGCATAAATTCCCATGGATTCGGTCCGTGGACTGAGGGGATGCCGTGTGATGACTGCGCAGGTGGCGCCGTGCCGGCACTGGCGCAGCTGGCCTCTTCCTCCTACCACGCGGCCTTCTCCTCTTCCTCGCCGCGCGATGAGAGGATGGGTGACTCGAGGAGCTCTTCCCCTCTCTAGTCCTCTCTCTCTCTCTCTCTCTCTCTTGTGCAGAACCTTTAGCCGCTTTTGTAAATCATTATGGCTTTGCCAAAAGGGTATGCTTTTCGGATGTTTCAATGTATATCTGATACTCTTTCTAATATACCAGAGAAATCAAGAATAATCATTGGACGATGCTCTTTTTCACTCAAATCGGCTTTTCTTTTTTTCTTTTGTGAAGAAATGACCCCCAGAAAATCATCAGGCCCCCTGGAGCATTCCATCGCACCTACGGAAAGACGACGGATGCTTGCTGCGTTCATCGCCCGCAGCAGCTGGGTGGATCACCACAGCCGAAAAGTCTTGCCTTTTTAACGAAAACCCAAGTTTTTTTTCCAATAGAATAGATCCTGCCTACAATCGGGTGAATACAATCGCAACTTTCACTGTACAATATTGACATATCAAGCTAGGATGAGCAAAGAAGATGACTAAGAAGAAGAAGATGATGACGACGATGGCTTCAGTGGTCGTTATCTTCCCTAGAGTTACTCCCAGAGGCTGAAGAAGGATTGCCACTGTTGCCGCCATGAGATCCGGCCGAGGAGAACATCCCACTGAAAGGCCATGGAACAGGAATCCATAACCTCCTCCCGGTTCCCCCACTATCCTCACCAGGGGCCTCCACCCCTCTGTCGCCATTACCACTCGGCCCGGTCCCATCCTTGGGCGTCTCATCGGCAGGAATCTGCAATCTACAGACTGGGCAGGAGCTATGGAGCTCCAGCCATGGCAGAATGCAGCCGTTGTGGAACCTGTGCTTGCAGGGCATCTCCTTCGCTTCCTCTCCTCTGGCGAAGTCCTCCAGGCAAACTGAGCAGCTCAGATTCTCCTCAACTTTCACCGTCGGCAGCGCGTCGACGGCCTCTTTCTTCGCAGGCGGCGTGCCGTAGCGATTTGGATCGTTCTCAGACAGATGCTGCAGCAGCAGATCCAAACCAGAGCCGACGAAGTAGTCCCCCACGGAGGCAGCGGTAGGAAGAAAATCACCGATAGGGTTTTGTAGGCCGTCATCATGGGAGGAGCCCTGGACGATAATAGCCGGGTTGAAGGGACTGATCAGAATCAAGGGATCCCTATCACTCTCCCCTCTTTCAGTATCTTGTCCAGAATGGAGCCCCAGAAGCAGATGCAGGAGAGCAGAGCTCCGTCGTCTTCTAAGGAGGCCGAGCTCGGTGCCACGATCCCGATCTTGATGATCTGAGCCATCGTCATCTTCGTCCCTCCGTGGCCTCCGCCGCCGAGAGCCACTCATCATCTCCACCAGGATCGGAGCCCATAGAGAGAGAGCCCCATCCGATTGCAGATCTGAGCCAGAGGAGTCAAAATCCCCTCCCCTGCCGTCCATCTCTTCGACGAAGCCGCTATCGCAGACGGGGCATTTGATCTCCGCCTCCAACACAGGGTTCACCCTCCGCGAGCACATGTGGCACCAGAACCTATCGTTCACAGAGTCCTCCATCTCCCCCTCGTCTGCAGTACTTGTTTCGCCGTCTGATCCAACAACGAGAGAACCAGGCGGGGCGTACTGGTCAGATAATGAAATGAAGCTTCTCTCGCCATGAGGAAAATCCTCTGGGGGGAGAAAATTCATCTGATCAATCAAGTCAAACAAGACCAGTTACAAAAAGAAAGACGATCATACAGCTCAAGGATAAAGCTACATAGAATCATCAGATCCACGAGAGGATCAGCCAGGAAGCTCGACGAGTTGGGGAAAACCAAAAAAATCGTTCTCATTAAACCAAAAAAATGAGTTTTCTCGACATTAAAATCACAGCACGCTCCTGATCAGGAAGGAACCAAACACCGACGTCAAGAACGAGACGAATCGGACAGAAAAAATCCGCACACTCACCGCAGAATTCCCCTTCGAAAAGAGACGCACCAAGAACAGATCGCCCCCCGAACGCCAACAAAGCTGACGGAATCTCCGCCGCTCGTTATCCCGCCTTTAAAGGTACTCCGTCAGAACATTCCAGAGGCTCCATGGGAAGAAATAATAGTACGCACGGTAAATCTGACCAAACCAGAGAAGCAGCCGATGACGCTGCAGCGCGTTCGGTGAAGAAGAAATCTCCCTGGTCAGCTCAAGAAGCTCGTTCCCCCCTCCGGCGAACGGAGAAGAATAAGGTGTGAGAGAAACCTCTCACGAAAGTCTGCAACAAGATTTCCTCTCTCTCGCGGATATCATTTGTATATTAATGACCGAATTACCTTTTCTGCTCGCTACCACTGGCCAGGGCGGACGAACGTGAGGCGGTGTTCATTTCTGTGTGCGGCGTCTTCCAGAACATGCTAAGGGGCCCACTTAGAACCTTTCCACGCGCAGAAATCTCCACCGGCGGTTCAATGGTCTTCTGCAGTTTCCGAATCCACAACGTCGCTGACGGTGAAACCCATCAGATGGACGGCAGGATAAGCTTTCCACGTGGCGGCTGGCCGTTACCCAGCCGCCGAGCCCGTAATATTCTCTCACGGGAGAAACCAACCAATCAGGGGCCTGATTGACCCCGTAACGTTCATTGTTTACGCATTTCTATCCAAGGATGGGGCCCGCCTTCTAAGCGCAGATTTTCTACCCGTTGATGTCGGGGAATCAGATGTAAAAATACAAATGACGAAGATGGTTAATTTTTTTAAATAATAATAATAAAGCTGTTTTATTTTGTTGGCATCAGAGTAATTTTATAATATGTATTATTTTTTCCCTTATTTTTTAGAAGTGTGCTAACTATTATAGCCGAATGTTATTTGACAAGGGGTAAATAATATCATTTTTTCTAAATAAGTATAAAAAACACAAATCACAGCCTGCCCGGTGAAAATGTGGGCATTTAAATATAAATGAAATAAAATACGATGGTCCAATGTAACATCACATTACGAGAAGAATGATCTCGACTCCTCATGAAAAAAAGTCAATTTATCTTTAAAGCACAATATAATATTATTTATATATATATATATATATATTGCCATCTTTTCTTCATCTTCTTTTGGCAATCGACTCGAAAAAAAAAATTTCTAAATCTTACAGAAAAAAGAAACAATTAACAATGCTTGGAGAAAAATAATCCCCAAAAATTGCGATATTTAGGTATTGAGTCAATATTTGAAGGCCACCAACCTGAGAATTACTCCAAATATTTTACATGAAGGTCCACTATATTTTTTAAAAAATTACGTCAGGAATTTTATTTATTAGCGCGTAATTAAGCAAAAAAAAAATCATGATAAAAACTCTCTGATGCATCAAACCAGGGTGGGTGAAGCCTTGATGGGGAGGCTCTGAAACAGGCCCATTAAACAGGGCCCACGGAGACCCACAACCATTCTAAGACGGCCCATCAGCCCAAGGCATGAAGATCGGCCATGAAGGAGGTGGAACTTACAGAGTTCTCAGCGCCTTGATCCAGTCGATCTCGAGCCTGAAGTCACCGGGCCCGGCCCGGGCCCCAGGAAAGGCGGCCTCAGCGTTCACTGAGAGAGACATCCCCACGATCCTTGCTGGGTTCATCTCAAGATTCACGTCTATGACGTTTCCTCTCCATGTTGGTAAGTATTGCTCTAGGGGAACCTGAAAATTACTCCGACATCAGAGGAAAAACAACATGGGTTGTCCATCGGGCGGGACCCATGAAACTGGGGCCCAGGCCCAATTCAGCACCCCCACCTAGAGAGAGAGAGAGAGAGAGAGAGAGAGGGGACTCGCCTTGACGGTATGCCAGCTGCCCTTTGGCACGAGAACAAAGGCTTGCCATGAGTTGTCTTCCTGTTGACCGGGCGAGTTCACCCAGTTTTCAGTGTATATCTGCATGGGTAACTAACCATCAATTACACAATTTGGGGATACTTTTATATCGATTGGTGGAGGTACTCAACGGTAGATATGTAGCATCTTCCATCCCCTCTCAGCCTCATGGCTATCGTGTCATAGGCATCCAAGTCGATGAAGCCGTTGAACTGCATCCATTTTAGGAAAAGTCAGCGCATTTGATGAACTAAGGCACTGACATTCTTCCTGAATTCTACTAGCTTATTGGTACGGATGATTCCACAGCCCATGTAATCTCTGTGATAAGCCCAAGCGAATGATCATGTAAGAAAAGCAATCTCAAGACAATCTCTACTTTTGTTCTTATAAATAAGCACTGCTGGAATAGTCCCACATCACAGAAAACGAAATAATTTTTTGAGCGTCTCTTTTACTCTATCATCAATCGATTCCGAGTCCAGATGATGTAATAGTCAAATATGGAATCATGAGCAATGGTTGTTCATGAGTTCACGAAAAAAACTAAAAAATCGGCTCACATGTGAGGATATATGTGCAAGAATAATCCCATATCAATTAATGAATAAATGAAATCATGTAGTTCTATGGATGGGCCTAGTCCAGTCATAGCCAACTGATTTTGAGTGGAGTGGCCTAATGCTCTGACAATGTGTCAATGAACTGGGCAAAGAAAGAAAATATTTCAGTAATCACGAATGAAGAAAGAATGAAGAATGAGAAGAAAATCAAAACTTGTGCGTCAGGTAAATCTCTCTCAAGAGAACACATCATGACGCGTTCAAGTTGACTGAGGCTCAAGGGAACATTCTTTACGGCATAGATGATCCGAAGAATATAAAGAAAAAGCTTTCTTGATGATAATTTTTTTTTAACATCACCATTCACCTTCTTAGAACGCATCCCACAGAACCCGCTCCGGTTTATTTTCCACCTACAATCTCCGGTGACATCTGTTGATAGGTTGCCGGAAAAAATACCTTTCAAGTAAGAAGAGAGGAGGTGGACATCAGAATGACTAAGAATTCGTGGCCAAGCGCAAATGTTTCGTTAATAAGACCACATACATGATTATTAACAGCAGCATATCCAATACGGAAAGAGATTACATTAAAAATCGATTGAGAATTTAACTAACAGTGCTTTATAATAATAATGTGATGTATAAATATCATATTTTGATCAGTAACTGCATAATCACAGTCATGTAATAGTAAATATAAAAATGACATCCCGGGTGAAAAGATACATCAATCAATATCAAAATATTCAATAATATATACGATACAATAAATCTCATTGGACATGCTAGTAAAGCCTCAAGTGGTGGGTCAGATCCGTACCAACTTCAAACACTTATATCTAGCTGGCCAACAGAAAAACCTAACTATATCCATTGAATCATCCCATTAACCATAAGTGAGGAGGGGGGTCCCCAAGTTTGTTATCCTTCTATTTTTCTAACAGTATATGAACCTTAGCGCGCATACATGCCAGGTCTAGTGATAAAATGGCACAAAAATATTTACAAAACATTAGCAAGGATATTGCAAAATCCCCAAAAGGGGAAAGAGAAAGGCAAGGAACTATAATCATTATCTTTGGACCTTTTTCTTCTTAAAATGAAACTCTTATCTTTCAGCCTTTTAGTAAACTCTTATCTTTTTATATTATTGTTATTCCTGACGGTTAATTTTGCTTTTTGGGTTGTGTTACATTTAGATGTTCTTCACTAAAAAAAGTTAGCTTTAATTGCATACATTTAACAAAAGGTATGAGCCCCATCTGGATAGCAGATGAAGTCCTTTTCGCAAATTTATGCAATGAAATTGATTTGGATGCATCTATGAATTTAAAATAAGGCCCATGTAAGGTTTTCTAGGGCATGTTTTATACCATCAGGCTCTAGGCTCACATAAGAAGTTATTGGTTATTTTATCCCGCTAGGCTCTGTGCCCACATAGGGTCACATAGGATCCTATTGGTCACTATGCTCAAGGCCCACGCAGGACCTTAGTGGATATTTTTTATCGCAGGACCCCACATTGACATGAAGTTTCAACTGATCTTTGTGACCACTAGTCTCGAGACCCATAAAAGATCGTAATAGATCTTTGTTTACAGGTTTTAGTTCCTTTGGAGTCAACTGAATAGGACTTTTAGGATCGGCTCCGGCCAGGGCTTATCAAGGTAGGCTCTGACTTAAACTTCCGAAGGCCAGGGTTGGAAAAAGAGGGGGATTTGCTTGAAGACCTGAGAACAGGCTTTGGGCTGCTGAGATGAACTGGGCCTGAGCTTCTGAGGACAAGGTAAGTCTTGTCAAAGATGGATCCGGAGGTTGAGCGTTCAACTGGGAGATCCTACTGGTAGTGAAGCTTATAGCCAGCAGGTGGCTTCTGCCGGGCCCCTGCATCTTTTCTTCCCAAGTGGGCATGCCACTGCCGAAAACACCACTCATCGGACGTGCTGTCACAGATACCCTTTCCATTTGCTCTTCTCTTTCCTTCCTTCTTCCCCCATCTTTTTTTTCATTCAAAATTTTGGAAATCTTGTATGGTTTTTCCTTAATTCCACAAGTCTTATGCATTCCGCACATGCACACATCTAAGTAAACACACCGACCTCTGTTTCACAATATTTGCTTCAACTTTCCATCTTGCTTACTCCGGTGTAAATCCAACTCCCTTAGAAGATTATGGGACTCAATCCAGAGAGGACAGACTTTTTATTGAGGATCCCTATATCAATAATTTGTGCATCACCAGTGTTCCACGCGGAAAGAATTATTGTGTACATTTTGTAAGGCCCATTTCAAATATATATAATGAAAAGATTATGAAAGTAATTTCATGCACTGTATAAAAAAAACATACACGAACTTAATGATCAATTGAGGGGGGGAGATACCGAAAAAAAAAATCCACAATAACAATAATTCAAGCAACGTGGTTCAAAAAGGTAAACCAAATTCTGCAAAGCTGGCATACCGCTCAATCCAGACCCAGAATCAGTGATCTCCAAGGAGGCTGAAGACAAACCTGAAATATTGCATTTCAAGACCGACTTATTCAACCAAGAAACAGAAGACATGGAACCCCACAAAAATTTTCAGATGAAGAAGGACAAAATAAAGTGGAAGACAGATCAAAAAATTAAAAAAATCACATTAATGAGTACAAGTTGATAATTCACTGGTTTTCTTAGGTAGAAAAAAGTAAACATAACAATAATGTAGGTAAACACTATCTTTTGGTGACTGATCTGGTTCCTTCATGATCCTGTCCCAACAATGTGTGATTGGTTCCATCCGATGACGAGGGATTATATAATATATGAAAGGCACGGACACTTCATTAAAGCTTTCCCCGAGTTCATGAAAAGCATGCAGAGAAACATATGCATTAGCTTTCCCCAAGTTCCTTCTTGAGGATACTTCATTAAAGTTAATCAAAGTAATACACAGAAACCAAGGTGTCACAGAATATGGAGAAACTATCCATACATGATAAATTATTACGTACATCATCAGAACTCAACAATATTTTCCATTCAGATCGGGATCTAGATGGTATTCCAATGCTAAGGTATTCATGGTCTCTCAACAGACTGTTCTTACGTCCATCAAATGGAAGCATTATATATGGAAAAACAAAAAGATGCTTATCACCTAAAGTTACTGCGAGATTCACAAACTAAATGAAGTTAAGGTAGGACAGACTCATTAAAGAACAACATCTGTAAAATGTTATATATACGTATATGTACGTACATATAACGATTTTTTTATTTTTCCTTTCTCTCCAAGAAAGAATAGAATGCTGATACTAGTAAACTCAATGAGGAATAACTACCAAATGCAATAAAAAAATCACTGGCTAAATCAAGGATAAATTGACAAAGAAAAAAAAAAAAATTTGATTTGGGCAGAGTAGCACCTCCGTATTCAGAATCCGAATACAAATGCCACTTATCAATCTCCTCCTTTGAATGAAAATTGAAAATGCATTTTTCACTAGCCGGCATCATATCTTCGACATTCCATGCAAGAGCTGTCGATAAGCATAAATGTGCGAGGAGATAGAAAGTTAGAATCATCGGAAAACATCACCAGATGGAGAATTCAAGAAAAGATAACTAAAAATTCCGATTAAGTGGGATATGGTGGAGCTCAGGAAAAGGGTAACAATCCATAACAATTATAAATAAAATTAACTCAACATAAACCGAATTTTTGAAAAAAAAAGGGGGACTTGAAAAAATCATCGCAATTTTAAAATAGTAAGATAAGAACCGTTGGTCCCATACTTTTTATGCAAAAATAGTACAAAAAATAACACAAAATAAAAAAATAAAAAAGGTAAATTAAATAAATATAAAAATAAAATTCCATACGATATATGAATTAAGCCCTGGGAAATTCACCCCCCCCCCCCACTACCACATCGTACGTAGCATCGGAAGGCAAAACGCCAAGAGCACGACCACTCCTTACTATCGTCATCCTAAAACCAAATAATAGATTCTCTTCCAGAGGTCAGGCGAAAAAATCCCTATATTCTTTCGTCGTCAGAGCTTCATTGCCATCGCCCTTGTGATCAGTGTCCGTCGCACTGGGAGAAAAAAAACATAATCGAAAACCAAGGCCAGCTCCGAGAGCACATAAAATCCAGACGGCTGAAGGATACCCTTCCGGAAACGAGAAGTACAGAACGGAGGGGACTTTCCCCTTACCTCTCTTCGTCGCATTGACAGAAGCTTGCCAAAGAGCTCGAAATCTCGACATCGTCGGACTTCGACCAGGGTCCTCCACAAGTGTCACGAAAAGTAAAGCGAAAAACCGAAGTATGCCGTCCTCCTGGAGCTCTGAAACCTCGTTGTCTGAGCGGATCACCGGAGCCACGAAGAACAGAGGAGGTCTCCTGCCGGTGGGACGGCGGGGATCGCGCGCGATCACCTCCCACACGAACTCCAGACTTAAAACCATCCCACGACAGATCGGGCCCACATAGCCTGCTTGGCAAACCCTACCTTCTTGGGCCAGATAATTTCGAGCCCAGCTCCCTGGGACTATTTTAAATCGGCCCACTACTAACCAAAATTCTAACCTGCCATTTGAAGCAGAAGTTGCACACTAGTACAGACGCATAGAGAGAGAGAGAGAGAGAAGTGGGTAATGAAGGAGCATCCACGTGGCAAGGAGTAGACATTAGGGCAGTTTGTCCCCCATCTCTACTCAACTTTCGATAAGTTGGGTCTTCTTATAGCCATTTGGGCCTAGTGGTCAATCATCTCTCGCAGCCGACTTTCGATTACCCTTGCATTTTGTGAGCCCTCTTCAGCCTTAACGGACCATCCTCTATGTTCTATCACCTTTCTTCAGTGTTAATGGACTATGGTCTCCTGTCAACCATTGAGATCTTTTCCACATGCCGATTGAGATCTCTTCAGACGTAGATGAGAAAACCATGCAATAGTCTCAACAATACTCTCCCTTATAAGTCTCACCTTGTTATCAAGATGAAAATTGAGGAATTATCAGTATATGATTCAAGCAGACTCCCAATTGGCCTCTATGTTGCATGTAAAACTATGAGCATGTGTGGTCGCATGACTCGTGTGAGGTCTTTGTCGAGCATTAGTGGGTTGACAAAGCATGGCGAGGTTGAGTCATCCACCTTCTTGAGTTGTGAGACATTAGTGGGTTGACAATGTCTGGGGAGGTTGAGTCTCCCTTCTTCACTAAGAGATACACAAAACTAAAATGATTGTCTTTCATAGATGTCAAGGTTGATCTTATAATCATTTGGGCTTAATGGTCCATCATCAAGTATGCTTGACTTCTGACTACCCCTACATTCTACAGACCCTCTCCAGGCTTAATGGGTCATCCTCTATGTTCCGCCGCCCTTCTCCAGTCTTAACGAGCCATTGTATACTATCTAGACCATTGAGATCTTCTCCACATGTCAGTTGGGTTCTTATTCAATGTGGATGAGAGGACAGTATGAGTGCCTCAACATGCTCATATAGACCATTTTCAATGTTAGAATCTACCTCACTGTATATTTATTTCATAGAATATTTCTATTGATAAAAAATAAAAATGAGCTCCATACAAGCAAACTTGGGATCTAAAGGGAAGCTCTGAATACCATAATGAAAATCACAATCTGAAGTCAGACCATCATTTTGAGAATGAAGGAAGAAAAACTGAATTCCTCAAGAGCATGATCGCTACCAGCTTGAGGAAGGCCTCTACTGCCACGTGGCATGAATGGATTGGACACTGGGCCAAGCGCCGCTCCAAATGTGGGCCTTTCTGGCCGGCGAGATCATAATGGGCTGTGAGCCCAGATCGTCTCCATTCAGCTAATCACACCCTGTCTCATTTATTGGCCTCGTACGTCATACCATCTAACTCTGTAGAATCACCATCCTTTACCCACCATTTAAGGTGGGCCATCAACGAAATTAAATGGGCCCTCCTTAATGGGCTCCTTTCGAGGACACCCTTCCCACAAACTCATATCGTGGCAATTAAACAAGTACCCATCGGGCCGTCCTTGAGAGTTTTAATGGGCCCATGGGCTGGTTGGTGGGATTTCCCGCTCACATGGGGTCTCAACACCACGTCAGCATCAGTTAGTTGATGTTCATTGACAGAGGTTTTTTTTTCTAATTTCGCTTGATCCACGTTTACCTATGCTAATTATGGTATCCGCCTCACCAATTATCCACGTGTATAAATCCATTTCCGACCCCTAGAGACTACCCCCCTTAGAGCCCCTAGAGAGAGAGAGAGAGAGAGTAGAACATGAGTGAGGGGGCGCTGAGCTTCTTAAATACTCTCGGCGATGGCTTCTCCGTGATGGAGATGTTAGGAATTGGTAGATATTTCTACTCCGCCCCGAGTTTTCCGTGCCCTGCACTGGCCCGATCTCTCCACAGGAAAATCTTCTTTAATACCAGATGCCATCGACAATGGGAGAAAGATATGGTCGACGATTCCCGGGTTCCGATCACCTGCAACCATCCACATCTCTCTCTGGTTATTATATACCCACTTCCGGAGGCCCTCTCTCTCTCTCTCTCTCTCTCTTCGCGGTGAGGCGAACGGTGGGAATGCGAAGAGCTGGCGGGACCCCGCCGTGGAGTTCTTCGTACCTTTTGATGTTCTTGAGTCATCCTCCACCGCCACCACCACTACCGCCGCCGCCGTTAGAGGGAATGGGTAGAGTTATCTAATGGGTTCGACTGAGGGTTCTTCCTTCCCGTTGACTAACGACGGTCTCTAAACTGCGTCTGTGGGAAGCGGAGTCAACTTAGGAATGGTGCGCTGACTCGATTTCCTTCTCCTGTATGACTGAGATCGAGAGCTCTAGAGCGCCGACCAACTGTTTTGTCTGAATGGTGCTGACCCACGCTACTTCTCTTCTCTGTGGCAAGTCGTAGAACAATAGATCTTCATACGTGAAGATCTTCATACGTATGAAGTTAATTGTGATCGCTAAATATTTTCCGAGGGTTTTTCTTGATTTACGAGGCTCTCGAGCATAAAAACGACTGATCATCGTCAATGGTAATAAAAAAAATGCTCCAAAATAAATCCAACTCTGAGAAAGGAAATTAATTACCCATTTGAATTAATAAAATATAGCTTGATATAATATTTATTTATTTAATTATTTATTTATTGGCAGCTTCGTCTTTAAATATGTAGTCATATAAAGTTAAGTACAAATTGCTATATTTTTAAACACTCTCAGCTCCCTGAGACCAGCGAGAGCAGAAGGTACACTCCGCTTCATCACCTGGCCTCTCTCTCTCTCTCTCTCTCGCATCCGGGTGGTGGCGTAAGTGAGTGCGTGCGTGCTCCGAGGGGCACGGAAGCGACACTCGAGACTCCAGTAGGTCCCCGCTGTCCGCACACCAAGAGAACGGGCCCTCTCCTCTCCTCTCTCTCTCTCTCTCTGTCCAGCATCAATCTATATCTCTATCTCTACATTTTCTTTCTTTCGCTCGCTGTTGCACCCGTCCTCGTCGGACGGGGAGGCCGTCCCTAGTACGCTTCCTAACGCCGACACACCGTGTTCGCTACTGTTTTTCATCCCCTCTCCAACCAAAGAACGGGGACACGATCTAACAACTCCGCGCGGCTACCCCTCCCCTCTCTCTAGAATTACTATTCCTCGCAACCTTCTCCACATGAAACGAGGAGAGAGAGGAGGCCCTCTCTCTCTCTCTCTCTCTCCTCAGTGGGGTAGGGAAGAAGGGTCGTCAGCATCTTTCATTCCGGGGGACCTCGCGACGAACCTGCACGTGTGCGAAGGCCCACCCTGCCGGCGTAATGAGATAACCAACAATATCGGCGGGGTGTGTCTCCGACGTCATCTTAGAGAGAGAAATAGAGAGGTTATTTTTGCACGTGTAGGTTGAAAATGATGGACACGTCTCCGCTTCTACTTTCACTGGCTTTGTTACCGACCAAATATTTCAGATTTTAATTTACTTATTTTCAGTTAGAATCAGTTCCATTTTACCTTTTTATTCGCAGTTAAAAGAATTTAATACTGACTTTGGGCGGAGAGCTCGACATCACATGGTCTTATAGCATGCCGAGGCATCTTGACGACTCGTGGAAGTAACCGGTCTGTTGACTTTACATGCCCAATAATATCCTGGGCCCCAGTGCTGTCGTGGCAGAACATCAGTGGGGCTTTCCTCCTAATATGCACATCGCGACAAAAATGGCAACTGTTCCCCGTATTAACTGGCCTTCCAAACAGGTTAACCCTCCCCTCCGCAGAACCCCCCCCCCCTCCCCCCTCCCCCCACTTTCCGTATAAAGCCACCTGCTTTCTCCACAACGCCAAGCTCTCTCTCTCTTCCCCCTTCTTCTTCTTCGACAAACTTCGTTTCTGGGATTGGTCTGTATCGTCGTGTTCCTCTTCGTGTTGAAGTGGGTGTGGGGGATATGGGACCGCTGCAAGAGCCAAAGGTGGCGGCACCGCCGGTGAAGAAGGAGAAGGTGGTGAGGTATAGGGAGTGCAGGAAGAACCACGCCGCCAGAATCGGCGGCTACGCAGTGGACGGCTGCATGGAATTCATGGCCGCCGGAGAGGAAGGCACCGGCGCAGCTCTCAAGTGCGCCGCCTGCGGCTGCCACCGGAGCTTCCACAAGAGGGAGGTGGAGAGGGAGGCCCCCTGCGACTGCTCCTCCGTCACTTCTCCCCAATGTTAACGATTCCCTCGCGGGTTTCATCTGTTTGTTCGGTCTGCACACCAAATTGTTGCGTGAATTCTGACGGCAGGTCTCGTTATTCTTATGGGAATCAAAATGTTCTTCCACCTGTTTCGCCAAGATCTCCTTGTTTTATTATTTATTTATTTATTTCGAAAGCCCAGATTCCTCCTTTCCATCAAGAGGTTTAATTATATACTTCCCCTATATATTGCGCGGATATAACCAAGTTGTGTGCATGAATGGCCTTTTAATAGCAGAACTGTCGAATTATTCTTCTTGCCCCTGAGAAATAGGGATATCAACCTCGATTTCTTCCTCATTTTTCTCATTTTTGTGTGGCAATGTGTGATTATGAGCGGGTTTTAAAGTTCTCACCATGAGCTAAAATTTCCTTAGTTTTTCACAGCTTTCTCTTCTTCCCATATCATGAGATATCGAAATATGTTTTGAAGAAGTCCACTGTAAATGCATAACCATCTCCTGTTCCCGCCATTAAAAGGTCTTCAGCAGCTCGAACTGATGAAGAAAGCCGGAGCAAGCACTGACATGGCGGGCGAGGTCTGCATTTCTCTCGACTGAACTATAACTATTAGCGGCTGCTACTCATCGCTCATTAAATGTGGTATCAATCAATCATTGAGAGCTTACTGAAACAAGTAGGATATTCAAAGCTCGACCCTAACCATAAACGATTCATGGTACGCGGTTCTGTCAGGCTGCTCCGGCTTCTGTCCCCTCGATCTTTATGCAAATAGAGAGAGAGAGAGAGAGAGAGAGAGAGAGAGAGAGAGAGAGAGAGAGAGGTAAGAAGTGTGTATAGTAGTAATCGTCGTCATCATCAATACCTCCGTTTCAGTTGGTGCATTGAATTTCCTCATCCATGCATGAGCTGCATGCGTGAGAAGTAGATGTGCGAAGACCTAATGAGCCATGCCGGCACCAACTTTCCCATGTGCCCCTGTGCACGGGCCACTTAATTGAGACCGCCAATTGAGCCCCCGCATTCAAGCGGGGAGGGGAGCGAGGGTTCGTCTGTCACCCGTCGCCATGAATGTCGCATTTCCCCCTTCAGACTCCTCCAGACCGAGCGAACGAGCGATATATATATAGATATAAAGATAGATAGAGAGAGAGAGAGAGAGTGAGGGAGGGAGGCAGGTTGAGACTCGTTTTATATGGAGATTGTTATAGTGAGAATTTAAAGCGGCAATTGTTTTCCTGAAAATGTACTAAGAATTGGGTCTTACTGTTTTCGTGGTGTTTACGCTCAGTCAAGAGCACCATGAGGAAGGAATACGGGTAAGACAAATGATCGAACAGGAGGTCTGCTCACTTTGGAAAAGTCGTGGAGGAGGGCTGCCGTCGAAACCCACCGAGAGAGAAAGTCGTGGAGGTAGAAAAACCCAAGGAACAGGCTAGAGAGAGAGAGCGAGAGAGAGAGAGAGAGCGCGAGAGAGAGAGCGCGAGAGAGAGAGAGCGAGAGAGAGAGAGAGAGAGACGAGAGAGAGAGAGAGAGCGCGAGAGAGAGAGCGCGAGAGAGAGAGAGCGAGAGAGAGAGAGAGAGAGACAGACAGAGACAGACAGACAGACAGAGACATAGAGAGAGAAAAATAAATAAATAAATAAAAATAAACAAACAGGAATAGTTGTAGATTCAACTACTTCGATGACTTCTGAAGCATCCGGCACGCCGGCTAGGCGCCGGCGCCGAGACTACCCTCCGGGAGTGGTCCTTCAACAGCCCTCTTATCGGACCGGGCCCACCATGTCATTTTTTGGGCCTCAACTCAGAAAATTGGACGCCCAACTGAACAGCGAATCCACCAGGCCCACAAAATGGGCTCAAAAAATAATGGACTCGTAATCAGACCCAATTTGCACCTATTTGGGTCAGCCCATTGTGGATGTGTACTTATGGAATAATACACAAATGTACGTATGAACGGCCTGAAAGAGAGAGAGAGAGAGAGAGAGAGAGAGAGAGAGAGAGAGAGAGAGAGAGAGAGAGAGAGACCGCACAGGAGATGATCTGGTCACGGAGGCCCCTCCGTTCGACGACGGCGAGCAAGGGAAGAAACTCGACGGATGATCTTCGCGTTTCGTCGCGCAGATGGCTCTTCAGGAGCAGATGCCCCTGCCATTGCGGCAAGGCCGTCGACGTCGAGGAGAGAACTAGATACTCGAAAAGGGGAGATGTTCCCGGCGGCGGAGAAGCTCCCGTGGAGAGGGGGATGGGCTTCGCGTTGCAGGAGCTGGAGAAGAGGAACATGGCGACGGTGCGCCTCCCGCTGGCGATGTTCCTGCGACCCTTTTCTCTCCCAACCAGACGACGACCCATCACCGCGGCGGGAGAAGTCCCCAACCTCATCAGCCCGCCGGTCCACTCGCCGGACATTGTTTTACAGCCCACCGAGGAGGCGCCGCAGCCGCCGAGCATGGCGCCGGAGCTTCGGCAGCGGATGGTGAGCGAGTTCCCCTCCGGCGACGCCGTGTCCCAGAACAGCGATTCGAGCTCGGACCTGTTCGAGATCAGGAGCTTCTCCGCGCAGATGACGCCGCCGTGGTCGCCGAACGCGCCGCCTTGGGCAGCGGCGGAGGGACCTCGCGGAATCGGCGGCGTCCGGCGGAGCGTCGCCAGGCCGTCCACGACCGTGACGGAGACGGCAGCCTTTATTGGGCTCCACCTGTAAAAGCAAAACACGTGTTGGGCATGTCGGAAGCCCAGAGGGCCCACAAAAGCCCAGTTTCCCTCCCCCCTTCCTCACCCTTCCTCCCTACGTTACGTAAATGCTTCTTAATATTATACAAAACTCCCTAGAAAACTACTCGAATCTCCCTTTAGTTATCGGATTTACTCAGATTATGTCTTTTAAGAAAACATGGTTAAATCAAATCATATATATTTACTACTGGGCCCTTTATTAGTTTAAATTCTATGTTTGTCCTTGCTGGCAAGTCTGGCCCAGCCCAATTGATTGCGTGGATACGGACCATCGGATATAGTGGGCTGTCGAGCCGACCCATTTGTGGCAGTTACTACTCATGTGGGCCAGCCTTGACGTGGCAAGCCAGCTGTAAGGACCACCTTCCGTGGGACCACCTTCTTGAGTTTGCAATTTATACAAAATAAGAAAAAATCGGAATAATTTGTTGAGTGGCACTCATTTCGGCAATTACTCCGGCCCATTTTTCTTGCCTTGGTCCATTTAATCAAAATCCAGAATTCATGATCGGCCCATTACTGTCCCATTTAGGCCTTTCTAATATGGCCCAGTTAATCACGCCGTGCCCAATCTTAGCCCAATAATCTCGCGCGCGGCTCATTATACCCTCTCTCTCTCTCTCTCGGGGGGGGGACGTGCGGAGTCTGGGCTACATCAGACCTAGTTAATGTTGAGCTCGTAAATGGGCCTTCTGGTATTGGGCTGTAAAGGGGCCCGTTACCAGAAGTCGCCGCAAGAGCACACCCCGCCGACGAAACGATGGAACCGCACGCGGTCTCTCACGACGATCTCTCGGTCAAACTCCCTGCTGATGATCTTCGTCACCTCGTGGCAGTCAACGCAGACCCTCAGGTTCTTCACCACCCGTATCGCCACCGGTGGCGCCGTCTTCATCATCCCGTAGGCGATGGCCAGCCTCTCGCTGTGCTCGCACAGCGCCATCTCCTTCTCCTCCTCCCCCACATCGTGCAGCACCGCCGCCGTCGCCGGGCGGTGCCCCGCCAACCTCACCCTCTCCGCCACCTCCTTCAGCACCGCCCTGATCCCCTCCATCTCCGGGTGCGCTTCTCCGCCACCTCCCCCGGCGGCGAACTGGTGGAGGCGGCCGGCGATCTCCACGCAGCTCAGCCCCGCCGCCGCCCTTACGCCGCCGTCCCTCATCGTCTTCCTCAATCCGGCCACCTTCTCCCACTGCGAGCTCATGGCGTACAGATTGGAGAGGACCACGTAGTTCTCCGCATTTCTCGGCTCCAGCTCCAGCAGCTGCCTGGCGATGGCCTCGCCCTTTGCCAGCATGCGCCTGTTCTTGCAGCCGACGAGGAGGGTCCTCCAGATCACCGGATTTGGAGGGACGGGCATGGCGTTGACGAAGGAGTGAGCCTCCTCGATCAGCCCGGCTCGGCAGAGGAGGTCAACCATGCAGCCGTAGTGCTCCATGTACGGCTCGATCCCTAGTTCTCGCATTGTTGACCAGAACCGCCGCCCTTCCGACACCAACCCTCGGTGGGCGCACGCCGACAGTAATCCGACGAAGGTCACCTCGTTAGGCTTCACCTTGAGAGAAGAGAGATTTTGTTCATTCAATGCAAGGCAAAAGAGGGAGCTTTTGTAACAGAGATTTTGCTATATATAATAACCTTGGATTCTCTCATCTGGGAGAAGAGCTGCAGAGCGTCCTCTACGAGGCCATGGATGGCGAGCCCGACGATCATGGAGCTCCAGGCCTTGGTGTCTCTCTGTGGCATTTCGTCGAACAGCTTCCTTGCTATGCCGATGGAGCCGCACTTGGCGTACATGTCGATGAGGGCGGTGGTGAGTTCCATGTCCTGCTCGATCCCGTTCCTGTCGATGAGCGCATGGAGCCATCTCCCCAAGCTCAGAGCTCCTGCTCTTGCGCAGGCAGAGATGACGCTCACCATGGTCACCTCATCCGGGTCGATCCCGTTCTCCTGCATCTCCCTGAACAGGTCGAGGGCCTCGTTGACCATCCCGACCCTCGCGTACCCACCGATCATGGCGCTCCAGGAGACCAAGTTCTTTCCAGGGCTCTCGTCGAAGATCGACCGCGCAGAATCAATGCGCTCGCATTTGGCGTACAGATTCAGTAACCCAGTTTGAACGAAGGGGCTCGAATCGAGCCCAAACCTGTAGACATGGGCGTGGATTTGGGAGCCTTCCCACAGGCCGGAGACTAACGAGCAGGCCTTGAGAGCGAAGGCAATGGTGAAGCTGTTGGGGCTGGCGGAGCCGCTCTGGAGCATCCGCTTGTAGAGAGAGATGGACTCTCTGGACAGGTTCTGAAGCTTGGAGCAGCCCCTGATCATGGAGTTCCAGGAGAAGACGTTAGGATGAGGAATCTGGCTGAAGATCCTCCGGGCATAGGCCATGTCTCCTGAAGGGGAAGATGCGCAGTATCCGATGATCTTGGAGAGGAAGTAGACGGAGGATGAGATGGAGGGGAGCTTGAGGAGGTGGGCGTGGACTTGGCGCAGACTGCTCATGTTTGGGCATGACTGAATCAGCCTTGCGATGTGCTCCTCGATCTGCTGCTGCCGTTGCCGGAGATGGTGATGGGGAGATCCTGCTACGTTGACCTTCTTCTCGGAGGGAACCAACCTCGCCATGGACCCATTAACTTGACCAGTTGTCAGAGATTTCTTAGGGTTTCGGATCGACGACATAGGTGTGGCGAGGAGGAAGGGCGGCCATGGTTGAATGGAGAGCGGCTCCCCATCATCGTCAATTATGTAACGCCCTCCATCTGTTTGCGGTTTTGCTCAAGAGAAAGAAAATGGATAATCGACCGCTTAGTGGGTCCAATTTGGGCCATCAAAAGTCAAACATGTCAAAAGGGCCCACGTGGGTATTGTCATTTTTTGCCACGTGGGTCTGCTCCAAAACTCTTCCCTTCGCTTTGGCCGCCAAAAGGGCTGACTTTTCGATCGTTTCTCAACGCCTGCGCCCCATGGCTTTTGAGAGAACTGCGAGCTCAGCAGAGGGGATATTGGGCACCAAAGGAGGAAATATTGGGCGCAAAGAGACCAAAATTAACCATAAACAGAAGAATTTTGAGCAGCAAGAAAGGCACAGAAGGGGCTACCCCTTCAATTCAGTGGCACCCTCAGGCTGCTCCCCAGAGCAGCCCTGTTTCTCAGAGCCGCCAGCTGCACCATCTTCCTCTTCCTCCATAGCGCCGCCGCCATCAGTCACACAGTCACTCTCATCAGAGCACTCCGCCGGCGCTGCCCCCTCCGCTGTCGCCGGCAGCTGGGTCCTTTCACCACCGCTTCCCTCAATGCCGCCGCTGGCTCCGACGGTCACCAGAGGATACTCCAACGATTTGCTGGGCCAATGGTCGAAGAAGGCATTCATGGCCATGAACCTGAAGGCCTGCAAGAGACGGCTTCTGTCCCTCTTGATCTCAGAATTCAGCAGCTTCTGGAGCAGGGTCGGTTCTGCTGGTGGCGGCGGCGGCGGCCCATTCCTGGTCCTTTGCTTCTTGGACTGCCACTTGTCCGATCCTCGGCCCCTCTTTCCACGTTTATTTGTAGATCGTGCTTCCAGAGGCTGCTCCTTCTCCAAGTCCAACAGGTAGGAAGAGGGTACTTCTGCGGCTTCAAATCCCAGCTCCATTTGTTTGGCGAGAACCTCTTTCAGTTGCTGCGGACACAGACATGACAAATTCAGGCAAAAAGGCCCCAACTTGGAAAGATGGGCCTGGCGAAGGAGTTGCTGACCTGGCGGCACAGATTGGTATCTTCGTGGAGGCCTTCAGAATCTCCGGTGATCTTCTCCTGCTTCTGTGAGCAAGAAAGAGAGAGAACCGTTAGGCTTGGGCATGGGGTGTTTTTGTGAAGAAAGAGGGGGTGGAGGGGCACCCAACCCTCTGTACATTGGCTGTTGATGGGAAGTTCTTCCTCCGAGCTTCCCTCCACTGCCGGACTTCCTCTTCCGAGTAGTTCAAAGCAGTAGGCCTTCTGCAATACAGAGGGAAGAGAAAGATATCTAAGGGAACACATCTGAAGAGAGAGAAAGAGAGAGTGCTGGGCATAACCCGGTGAATGGGGTTTATTCAAGCCCAAGAATTGCACTGGTGGTAAATAATTCAACACAGGTGAAGCATATGCAGAGCACTGGCAAATTAAAACAGTGGAGGAAGGGGAGATTTCCACCTGCGATGTTCATCCGGGATTTTTTTCTCATGCTTTGTGAATTGAGGCGTTCTTGCCCTCCCATCTTGCGGTCCTGTTCATAGAAGCACAGGCGACAAATCATAGCGCCACTCCGTTTAACAATCAAAGAGAACGTGATTTACGATGGCAACTGTAAACGAAAGATGCATCTAGGTTTGAGCTTGTGCAGAATACCGTATGAGAAAATTACTCCATATCAGGAAATTAAATTGTGGGATTGTAAGGAGAAAGAAGAAACATATTACATGGGCAGTGGTCAGATTCCATTTAGACGGTTAAAATTAGCAGATATAGGCTATTCTATTGGCAGAAGAGGTGACTAGTGTGGTAAATATGAATATTTCTCTCGCATTTCTTCTTCCCACTCAAACCTTAATCGAGTTCTTCACCTCGATCATAGGTATTTAAGATTAATATACAGCTAATCTAAAAATCAATTTTTTTTAGCATAAAAGATGATTAGCTTCGTTAATATGGCACTTTTCTCACATTTCTTCTTCCCGCAAAAAATTAAGTATATAGATTCATTTGCAACTAATTAAAAACAAACTTTCAGCATAAATGGTGATTTTCTGGTTAATATGGAACTTTTCTCATATTGGTTCTTCCCAGGCAAAGCATAATTACATATGGACTGCACAAGCCTCGTAAATATGAGTACCTTAGAGGTGAAGCATAATTTTGAGATATTTAGGCAAGAGGCATTATCAGCCAACGAGATTCTTAAATAATCCCGAGTTCCTGGCCAACAACATGCTCGAATGTTCCAAGGTTCCCTACCGACCAGATGCACTTGGGATATCAAGTGTAGATGATTTTTTCAATCTTCCTTGTGCAAGGTACTGGCATTGCTTCGAATGGAAGCTCGATAACACCCATTCTTCATTTCAGTTATATGGACAAATATCACACCTCTGCCTCCTCTGTACAGGAGGAAGAAATCTCCCACATTCAAGGTGTTCCGGCATTGAAATAATGGAAGACATTCTTGTCCCTCTACAGTCTCTCTTATACAAATATTTTCAATGATTTTAAGTCGGCCAAAACAAAAAGGAGTAAAAAAAAAGAATCAGTAAACTCCAGAAACATCAGAACAAACCTTTGCCCCAAGTTTTTTTATATGAACCGCTGTTCTCCTTTGTGTTTGCCATATGATGATTTGGCTTCTGAAACCTGAACTAGAAATGATTCACTAATTTAATAAAAATAATTTATTTTAAACTTTAAGCAGTTCAAGCGGAAAACCTGCCTTCTCTGTGAATGATCTCTGTTAACAGTTCCATGAGGATCCCTATTAAAGCTTCTACCCGCGGAATTCCCGAACATGCCAGCCGAAATTTCATTATTGCTATTTTTCTTGTGACTGACCTGAAAGATAAACTTAGCACATGTAGGAAAAGACATGGGATAACTAGAAACATACAGACAACTGCTGTCAAAACCATCACCAAGACAATTACTGAAACAAGGCAGTCTTAAGTGTAATTACCATTCAAGTGGACTGACACGTTTTTAACAAGAGACTAATGTGATGAGCATGCACTCACAAGCATTAAAGATAGATCACCAAGCATTCATTTTATTTCTGACCGAATAAATCTCATAATGATGCTATAAACCGGACCTTCATCTCAAATGTAAGACATTGCAGGCATGAAGGTTGGGACTTTTATAAACACAACAAAGAAAACAAGAAATGAAGACCTATCATCTTATAATTCATCAAGGTTCATGAAAATCTCTATTCAATCAAAAAAAATATGACGTGTGGCAATATATTCCTCTCAACATTATTCAGCACATTGACAATGCTTCCAGTCGATTCAAATCCTTCAAGTCATGCTTGGAAAGATCGATTGCAAGTTTGGTTGTTGGAGAAAAGGAGGTTGATTCATCAATTGCATTTAAAATTATGCCAAAAACAAAGGACCTCTCAAGATAATTAGAGGATCCAGTGTTCTCAAAAGACAACTGGGAAACATGGTCTTAACTACAATGTGTTAAGTTCTAGGATTTATGGTCCAATGGTTATTAAGGTACACATGGCGGCGGGTACTAAGTTATTGTTACCTTCTATATTATTCCACACGTTCCTATAATTAGTGCTTGTGATCAAGTGTCGACTCATTGATTGCACTAGTTCTTCCCTACGATTGTCACTTCTCCCGCACACTCTATTTTATTTTATTTTTGTTTTTCTGGTGGGAGGGAGTTATTGCTTAATATTATGAACCACTCCAAGTCATCCGACAAATAAAAATTTTCATCTTTTTGTGAGGTTCAATAATACAACTTGCTGAAACATATGATCCTTGGAAAGGAAAAATCTGTAATGCAGACATGAAATCAGACATGGGTGGGAGTACTCTGATGAGAAGGTCACGGATGAAATATATGGGGACTAACACAGCCATTTCAGAAGAAACTACCGAATCCTTTTCTTTTGAGTATTTTTTTTGATACTCTTCCATAACAAGGGATCGTAGTAGAAACATGCTTTGTCTCCACATATTTCGTATGGTCATCAGAGAAAAAAGATAGATTAAAATTCCAGGTACCTGAGGGGGCTTGACTGAATCCGAGTGAAAATTCCTCTGTTTATCATTCATTTTTGCTGAATCAGCCGTTAATGATGACAGCATGTTCTGCATGACAGAGAGGGGTTTTTGCACACCATTCTGACTCGCAATTGCAATTTCCGTGGAAGTTCCCAGGCCCTGAGGTTTGGCTTTCGATGGATCATCAGATACTGAGGCATTAGCAAACCCAGACTGATGTGAATTGGATGAAAAATTATCCTGAAAACCAAGACCAGTTACTGGGAGGAGGGAGGACGGACTAATTTGAGTAACACCAACTCCATGCTGTGATGATTGTTGGATCTGATTTGGCGGTAGCATGAGGTTTTGTGAATAGAATTGACCATGAAAGCCCATAGCTTGGTTCAAGTTCTGGGGCCAGAGGTGCCCACCTCGTGCAAAATGATAAACTTGATTTAGATTTTGCATCTGACTGTTAACACCAAACAGCCCACTTAATTGTTGCATTCCGAGCTGGTTTAAAGCTTGTGAAACGTTGCAAATCTGGCCAGTAAATGGGAGCGCTGCAATCTGGTTAACGTTCTGAGGATGTTGACTGAAAAAGGAATGGCCATTTTGCGGCTGCTGCATACCCATGACAGAAGTTTGCACTGGGTTCGGAACGTTAGGAATACATCCAAGAGAAGCCGAAGATGTCAACTGTGAGTGGTTGGGCATAACCATGCTCCGTCCGTGCATGTTGTCCATGCTTTGGTTGTTGAACGGCTGCATTTGTGGATTCTGAAACTGACCATTTTGAGCATGGAATTGAGGGGCAATCTGCTGCATGTTGTTAAATCCTAGTGGATTGGTTACCTGCTGCTGTACATTCGGCAACATCATCTGCGTCATATTGAGACAAGTGAGTAACTCGGTGGAAATAAAATCACGCATATGCCCAAAGAATCATAATATTTTGATAGTAAACGCAACATATTCAAGAGAGATAACATGAGAAAAAAAATGAACCTGCTGTCCTTGAGCCTGGACGTTACTGGGTAGAGAAGGAAAGAAAGGAAACATCCTTACAGAAACCCCTCTGAACTTTATTACCGATGAACAGATAGGAACAGGGAACCCTAAGCCAGAGGAAAACCAGGTACAAGGCGCCCGTAAGGGGACTAGAACCGAAGCATAAGGAGTACGTGGGACACTGGAAGAAGCGGCGGAATCAGCGGCTATCGCCTATTATTTGAACCACGGAAGAGACTGTTCAGTGTTTTGTTAAGAACCGGCGAGCCAACGTCGGGACTCGCGGGGAAGAAGTCGGGGAAGTATTTCCCGCCGAAGCGAGAGAGAGAGAGAGAGAGAGAGAGAGGGCTGTGCTGTAGAGAGAGGGCTAAAGGGCAGGGCAGGGTTGTTTGGGGTCAAATTACCGATCAGCCCCCAGGGGCACATATAACGCTTTTAAAAGGGTATTTAATTAAGGTTTAAAGTATTTTAATAAAAACAAGTAACTTGTTTTGACCTCATATGAGAGTCAAATGATGAATATACCCAACATTTCTTTTGTGGGTTTCAGCCCTCAGGGACACAATACTTTTTAAAAGGGTATTTAATTATTTTATTAATATTTAAATAAAAAATGTAACTTTTTGACCCCATGTGAGAGTCAAATGATGAATGTGCCCAACATGTCGTTTATAGAATTCGGTCAGATAGAGAGATATGCATGGTTTTTGGTATTGAGTAAACATATTTTCCATAAAGTCCCCTAAAAAATATCAATATCATTGAGCCCTTTTATATTATTGGTCATTAAAGTCATATCATTTAGTACGTAGGATCATTATTGAGCCTTTTATATTATTTATTGAGACCATAAGGACTTGGTTGAACCATTCTATTTTTTTTGATATTTTAATTATTCAATATACTTTTCAAGCGGCTAAGAAATTAATAAAAATTATAAAGGGCCAATTCCCAAGAAAAACCAATAATTGCGTTCATCTTCCCCAAAACCCACCACATTTTCTACGTATATTAATCTTTCCAACAATATTCTTAGAGAATTTTTAAAAACTTTAATTATCGATATAAGCTAGTTTAATTCATTTTAATGACGTCATAAAACATATAATTTACACATTTCGGAAGCAAAATCATTTATCAAAAGTCACAAGTAACTAATGTAGCGTGTATAATCATTTAGTATGTTAATAGTAAGTATTGGGCAAACCACATTTATAAAAATTAAAATATTTTCCACGAGTGCAAATCTCGATGGCTTTATGTCTTTAAGATTTTCAAGGGTTTATTTTTTATTTTTTATCATGTAGTTGCTCTCGATGGAGCCACTTGATCCCCCATAGTTACTAATACCATATTTACTTTGTTTCATTGAGCAAACTCTTTTAGTTTAGTCAAATGGATATTGAGGGATCTGACACTCAATTAGGTAATGCTTTAAAACATATGCGAGCGTTGACTTTGGATAACTTGTTAGGTGTGGGACTAAGTAAATAGAATAAGACAGGGACAAAAATGCAAAAAAGAGGGAATATTTATAAGAATAATGTATTTAGGGATGTTTATGAAAGAAGGCCTATACCTAGCAATGAAAACCCACGATGTGCTGCAAAAGCACTTTTTTTTTTAAAATCATCATTTCTAAAGAAAGTATGGAATTTTTCATAATTATCATAATTTATGAAGATCCCCACATAAAAAGAGGGAAAAAAGTGAATAAGGGGAGAAAATTTCAGATTTTTTTTTTATATAATTCGATTAATTTTAGAGGTCAAAGAACCAAAAAAACCCTTAAAAGAAATTAACCACCTCTGGTTAAGCGGGGTTTTTCTGGTGGGGCTAGCTTTCAACGGTGGTGAGGTTACCTGCAGTCACTTATCGTCGGCGGCGAGCATCATCTGCAGTAGCCCCAAAACCTCAGAAAACCAATCCCTCCGTTCGGCTTCAGGCGCTGCAGCTGCTTCTTTGGTTTTGGGGAAGCTTCCATTTTGCCGGCGGCTCTCGTCCAGCACCACCGAGCTACGCTCCGGATGGCTACGTTTCTGGCGACGCCCGCTAGTCTGCTCCGTCCGAAGTGCCGGAGCTCCAATTGCCTGGAGGTTCCGAAGGGCCTTCCGATCCTCCATCTCAGGCAGAGGACCCGGAGGCCCCGGCAACTGAGGCTCTCTCATCTGCCTCGAGAATCCATCTACTTCCGGACTCTTACCGCTCTGTGTGCGTACGGCGAAGCGACTGAGACGGATGCGGTGGAAGAGACGACATCCGAGGTAGCTTTCTTACGGATTGACACTCTTGTTTTTTATTGGTACGGTGAATGGTTCGCTCGAATGGCTCTTTATGCCGCTTAATCATTCTGTTTTTTCATTCAATCTTCAACTTATTTTTACTAGCGTTTTTGCTTTTGTTTAAACACTGGAAAACATTTTGCGTTGCATATTTTCTTCCCTGGTTGATGCATCTGTTGTATTCTCTAGTCTCCCTGAATTCTGATACTGTAGGTTTTATAATAAGATTGGTTAGTGATTCTCTGTCAAAATTTTCTAAAAGAAGTCCCACTGAGCTCTGGCGGTGATATGTAACACCACGCGGAGTTAGGTAGGTTATACATTAGGGATTGCGGTTCGCCTTTTCAATTCTGAAAAAAGATGCATCAAGAAGAAAAAAAAGGGGAAATTTCCTGGTTAATTTTGGTGTAGAAAGATTCCGTTTCAACTACTTATCTTCACATAATTTTTTAGCTGAAATATAATAAACTTATCTCTATGATGCAATGTATGAAGTTCAGGTGCCGTTCTTTGTCTGAATTTATGTTTTTTGGTTGGAATCTCATCTTATTTGGTATGAAGAAGATTTCACTGAAACCGTACAAGAAAATCTTACACTCCCAGTTGTGTATGACTAATGCGGACCTCTACAAGCTGCAAGAACTACCTGCATCTTCTGTGTGAACGTTTTAGCAAAGGGATCCCCCTAGCATTTCTTTTGTATTACATACATAAATTAATATTATTAAAATGGTGAAATTATAAGGACTGTAGTTAGACTGCACAAATTTATATTCCATATCACATGAACAGATTTAATAGGTTTCTTCAGGCTCTTTTGTAGTCAGACTGCACACATTTCTTCAGCATTTTTGGGTCTCCAATATGTTCCAACGCCTCCTTCCCCCTCAACAATTACTCCGTTCCTTTCTGTGGAGTCTATTTGAACATGTCCAGACCACATCGAGCAGGTCTCCCTTTTTGTTTTCTATAGGTATCTTGCCTAGCTTCGTTGAAGACTCATTTGTAATTTTTCCTCTGAGGGTCAGCCTACTTTTTCCCCATAAAATTAACTATTCTTTGTTGCCTGCCTTATTCATTCCTTAATGTCAAAACCTTCAGGGTGGATCCCTATAAATTCAATGCTTATGCTTCTGTTACTCAATGTACATAAGGCTGCTACTTGATCAAAATGTCCATCTTACTTCATCAGGAAGTCTTGGTTTCTGCTTTATTTCTTGCATACATATGGTACATTAGTAAAGGTATTATTGCCTTTAATAATGGCCGCTATAAGATATATTGAAATACTCAATCATAGACACCTGGCTTCCTAATGGGACCTTGTGAATGGACTTGATGTTATACTTGTGTATCCAACCTCTTGTCATGACTATTCACCATTTTTGCAATGATTACAGGTTGTCTATAGTCTGTTTGCACGCACTTGTTTATGTTTGCTTCTTAAATTACGATATTTTTTATTTTAACTGGAATCAAGTAGGGTATTCTTGCTCCTCCGAATTTACTAAAAAGTGCATTACAAAAGTCGCAATGGCAAATCTCTTTTGGCTGGATGGATTCATATAATTGATCATCCTGCCTTGATATTTATATCTCCAAAGAGATTTCTAGATCTTGTCATATCGAATGGGGAACTTTGATTATTCGTCATTTCTTACCAAAAAGTCAATGACTGTGGTAATCTGGAATTGTAATCTCATCCCCTTTATCTTTATGACTAACCTCTGTGAAGTCATTGTAGTAAATGGTGAGAAATACTCTCTCATACTTTTATGTGGCCCAGCTTCTGTCGGAAGTTGACATGTTACTGAGAAAGGAATCATCTTTGCATCATACTCTAATTAGCTCTTTTCTAGTCTTCTGCGTCATTTATGTAGTTCTTCTATCCTCGTCAATTTGGCTGTAGTGCCTAGCAGCGGTAGCAGTCTCATGGCATAAACCTATAACTCCTTCACTACTTGCTGTTTCATTTCTATCTCTGTAGCATTAATTAAGAATGTGAACCTCTTCTCAACAGGCAAATTCAGAAGACGAGGTTGCCATTGAAGAGGGCGAAACAGATGGAGCTACAGTCAATGCAGAGGACGCGCAATCATCAGCTGTATTGGCATCTCTTCAGTCCTACAGAGAAGCCTTAGCTAATGATGACCAATCCACGATTTCCGAGATCGAAGCCTTTCTTCAATCAGTCGAAGACGAGAAGAATGCTCTCGCATCCAAAGTCGCCGCTTTATCCGAGGAGCTGTCCGTGGAGAAGGACCGGGTCCTCAGGATCAGCGCTGACTTTGAAAACTTCAGGAAGAGGACTGAGAGAGAACGACTCTCCCTGATGACCAATGCCCAAGGGGAAGTAGTGGAGACCCTGTTGCCGGTTCTGGACAACTTCGAAAGGGCTAAGGCTCAGATCAAGGTGGAGACCGAGGGAGAAGAGAAGATCAACAACAGCTACCAGAGCATCTATAAACAGTTTGCCGAGGTTCTGAACTCGTTAGGCGTTGAAGCCGTGGAAACCGTCGGCACCTCATTCGACCCAATGGTGAGTACTTTGTTGGATATCTTTGTTTTTCTCTAAATTAAATCTCTGAAAAACAGCAATTTTGTAGCTTTTTTTGTTGTTATTTGGCCACTGTTTTCTCATTATTTTCTATTTTTTGTGTATAAAAAAGCTTCATGAGGCGATAATGCGCGAGGACTCCACAGAGTTTGAAGAAGGCATTGTACTCCAAGAATTCCGGAAGGGATTCAAGATTGGGGACAGGCTCCTGCGCCCTTCGATGGTGAAGGTGTCTGCCGGACCGGGGCCCGCCAAGACTGAGGATGCTCCAGACCTGGTCAGCAGCGGAGGAGCTGATCAAGAGAGCGGCGAGGAGGGCGCCGGGGAGTCGGCATGAGACTCTCGTTCTATCTGTAATCTCAACGACTGGCCAATTTTTGTAGAGATCAAACGGGAGGGCGCTGGGAGGTTTTTTTTTCCTTCTTTTTTTATTTTTATTTTTCTTTATTATTCTCTAGGATTGCCGTCCAGATCATGAAACGAGCATCACTCAGCAAGGTGGGGGGTATTTTCAGAGCATTTTGAGGCGGGAAATACTTTTATTTTCTCTGGAGGACGAAGAAACTTGAAGGTGCCAAAGATTCTTCGGGGTAAAGATATTCAGGTTTTCTCAGGTTTGACTTTTGGTCATGAGACATGTTGAAGCTTTTGGGTCGAGTCGTTTCATGATTTCTTCTTAATAAATGTTATTTAATTTTCCAAAATGTAAAACTTTTTGGGGTCAAATTATGTGGAAATTAGAGTGGGTTGACCATGTATTACCTTTTTATCCAAAAAGCTACAAGTGAGTATTAAAACAGGATCAACCCATCAGAGTTATTTTTCAACTAGGTTGACTTCTTATTCAACCTGACTTTTATTTCGTATTTTGTATTTTTTGTTAGATAAAATTATCTTTTTCGATGGAGCTTCTTAATTAGGAGTAAATGATAGGCGTAAATTTTCTGTATACATTTATATACTTTATTGAGTTTAAATGATTGGGCCCTTTTTTTCTGGATTTAATTTATTAAAAAATGAAGGTGATGACCAATCTTTTAAATAATTACGCCGTACATATTTTATATTATATTAATGTGTTGAAAGTTAAAAAAAAAGGGAGGAGAATATAAAATATAAATGGATCAACGCTGTGGTTAGTCAGGGTTGGCAAATAAATTAATTATTCGAAATAATAATAATAATTATGATATTGTTAATTCAGTGGGTTTTAAAAATAAATAAATTGGGTGCCGTGGCTTCAGATGGGTTGGATTCTAGAAGCATCGTAGTATAGAGGAAGTTTCAACCGGGAAGCTTTCCCTCTCTGGGAGGTATCTAGGAATGGTCGTTTCAGTCGTCGTGTTGGAGGAGCCATGAACGGGAGGTGGCTGCCGGCAGCCAATTTGACGGCCTCCGGCCGGCCGATGTTCCTTCCCGGCGAGATCGAACGCGCTCTCGTATCCAAGGTGGATCTCGAGGTGGAGGAGAACCCGGGCCTCGCCCCTCTACGTGCCGGGCTTCTCTCGCTCACCACGCATCGGCTTATATGGATCGAGGAATCTTCCAACTCTGGGTATTGTATTCCCCTCGCTTCCCTGATCCGCCCGTATCCGCCGAAGAAGTCCATTAGGAGCATGTTCCACAGCCCGAGGATCCATATCCAGGTCAAAGCGTCCGCGAGTGGGAGAATCGCGGAGGAGGGTCCCAAGTCGGAGATGATCACGCTAGTGTTGAGGGATAAATGCGACCCGGATGGTTTCCACGCGAAGCTTGTGGAAGTTTGGAGGTCCAGGTCTTGGGAGGTCAACCAGAGGAGGAGTGACGTTGAAAGATTGGACAGTAGGGAGGGCGGCGCTGGATCAGGACATGGCTCGAATAGCTCGGTGATATCCACGCCTGTGGTGGGAGTTTCGGGGCTCTTGATGAAGGAGCAGGAGAAGTGGGAGAGCACGGATAAGAGCTTGCAGGAGGCTTTCCAGGACTTGAATGCTTTGATGGTACGTCGTGCTCTGCTGCTTTATTCGCCTTCTGTTTGCATTCTTAGAGGATCTACGGGTAGTTAAGAGGTTGAACATGTTTGATTCGAAATATCTGATCTCTAAGATGTTTTTCAAGCTCGTCAGTGCAAATAGACCGTCGTATTATTTACGGGACACCAAAGATGGAGCAAAAGAAGGAAGAAGAGGGACACAATTGAAAATCAGACAAATGTAGAAACTCAGAAAATCTGAGAATGAAAATGTGTGATAAGGTAAAGGCTAAGGGTTCTATTTTTAGCCATCCGACCATCTACTCTGTTGGGTTTCTTACATTGATGAATGAAAAACTCCAATTGATTCATATACATCTCTGGGAGATAACTATTACTCCTCCTTTTTGAAGTATTTATGGAAGATCACATCCGCTAATCAAGCTTGTCCCACCCTACTCCTCCTTTTTGAAGTATTTATGGAAGATCACATCCGCTAATCAAGCTTGTCCCACCCTCATTATGTTTGCTTATTTCTTTCCTTAGGTCTTAGGATGCCTAAAGTTATTGCTCCATGGATGTAGTTTCGACTATTTCATGAAAGGGGTGGTGATGGTGGAGAGAAAAGGGGGGGGGGGGGTTCACGCATTTAAATCATACTAGAATGGATGATCTAACATATCTGCTGCTGAGGTTTTTGGTCGGTCATTGAGAGGAATAGTAAGGAAAGAATGGATGGAATTATGCCACAACGAAGCATCATATCCTTTTACGGTAGCGATATTTCTTTCATAAACTAGAATGAAGATGTCAGAACTGAACTAGTTCAGAAAATATGGGTGCAGATGAAAGGATATGCATTGCATGTTTAGGGTGTCAGGGAGTTCTGAATATGTTTTGGACGGTCGACATAGGATTCTAATGTAGGCTATGGGTGAAGTTAATGTCTCAGATGGATTCTCAAATAGGTTAATTAGATAGCTCTGCTTGAGTAACAGTGATTATTTACAACTGTATGAAAAACATCAAGGTAGTTTACTCATAGTGACTGGAAGGTGGCCTCGCACAGAGGTCATCACAACTATAGGTGATATAGGGTGATTGTTGGGATCACTAGAACAATGAAAGATTGTAGTAAAATGAGTCCTCTTACTGGGAGAAAGATTAGAAACAATTGGATTCCGTTGAAGCCTCTGTCTGGCAATTTCGATTGGGGCAGGCATTATCCCAGACGAGATCGTTCAATTATGACTGTGAAGTTTCTGATGTTGAATGGTCGACTCATAGTCATCAAAAAACCAAAGTACAAAGGTTTTTACTTAGTTATGTTATTTTGTAAGCTAGCCCTTGATGACTGAGTTTAGTCTAGTATGAGGTATAGGTCAAGGACTTCTAGCTAGTCTTGGTTTGGTTATGGCTGCCACATTTTTTTTTATAGTTATGTCCATCACCAAATTTATAAAACATAGAATCAAGTGACCCAAAACCAAAGCATCCTTCCAGATGATCCTGAATTCTGAGGTCATCGTCTAATATTATCATGAAAATTTGGAAACTTCAGAGAATGGGAGACTTGGGTGAAATTTTGATAAACGAGCATATATCACGCATTTTGCGTCGTTGTCATGACAAAAATATTAATTTTAATCAATGTATATTTCACAATCATGACTGCATACATGGGGTTCAGATTAGTGTTCACGAGGAAGACGAAGTCAAAAGGATTTCCATGAATTCAAATGACGCATACGATTTCGTGCATTGCATTGATCAACTTGTTTAGCTTGTGCAGTTTTTGGGACATGTTGATTTATTTTTTAAGAATTTATCTTATTTTGTTGATCTTTCAGTAAGACATCGCATTTCTGGCTTGAAAAGATCTTTGATCGTAAAAAGTCCAAATAATTTCGCAAGTACCTTGTTGATCCTCATAACCATAACCTCATGATATCTTCTTTAATGCGTACTTGTGTCTAATCAACTGAAAACTAACCCCTTAGCTTATATAACATGTGGAAACTTTGGAGCTATCCACATATCTATGTGTGTATATAAAGTATATGCATTTCCTCGTGCTTATGGCAATAATATCAGCTGAACTAGAAAATAGTGGAAAAAGTAGCAATTATTTGTAGAGAATAGTTAGGACTTCTTTTCGCCTGACCAATTTTGTTGTGAGAGCTTTTATGGGAATAAATATTATGTTGAAACAAAACGAAAACTAGTTGTCATGTGTGATCAACTTGGGCGTGCTTGAAAGGTCCATCTTGCTCCCTTAAGTAAGGTTATGCTCTTCAAAAGAGAGATTTTACACGACTGATTTAAAGTTTGTAAATGTTTCTTGAACTGGACCGCAATCCCAGTTTATTTTTTTCTGTAACCGAAGGCATAGGAGGAGATGAAGTCTGCAAGTCTGATTTCGAGCTGGCTAGTTTGCCAGGCAATGCACATAATCGGCGTCTCACTGCCAAGAGGCAGCTTTCATGCGTGCAGATTCTTTTTTATGTCTTTGAGCAATTTAGATTTTCTACCACTTGTTTGTGTTCTGGGGCAGTTTCTTCAGTGACTGAATCCATGCATTATTTTACAGGGAAAAGCGAAGGAGATGGTAATGTTGGCAGAAAAAATGAGGGCAAAACTTTTATCAGGTTCAAGTGCTCAGGTAAATACGGCAAATGATGAAGAGTTGGGTTCCAAACAAGAGATCCAAGACTGGTTTTTGAGTGTTGGTATCGTATCACCTGTTACGAAGGAGTCTGCTGGTGCTTTATATCACCAAGAATTATCTCGGCAGGTCAATCTATGCTTTTTATAACTTTCAATTCAGATGACCTGAAACATTTGAGCATCCCATGCATTCTATATTTTATATTCTAAAACCATATGATAAGCAATAGCCGAAGATTAGAAATCTGATTTTAATTTGGAGAAGGATGTGTTATAGTAATTTTGGCCAGAGAATCACGATCTCGCTTGTGATTTAGCATATGATGCAAATGTGGAATCGATCCCAATTTTCATTCTTTCTTTTTACATCGCCATATTCAAGAAATACCCAAATGGGATTGATAAGCTGGCTCTGACTATATTTACATTCTTTCCTTTTGCTTCTGACTTGTTAGATAAAGACGCAAATGGTATTAATCGGTTGGTTCCGACTTATCTTCTGACTCCCTGAAAATGAATCTGCCGTGAAGAAAGATCCTTACTTAAAAACTTATCCAAACCTAGATTTCATAGTTGTTTGAACTGTATAGAGATCCCAACGCAAGTTCTGACTTAAAAACTTATCCAAACCTGGAAATGTTCTGACTTATGTATTCAAATCCGAACGCAAGTTCTCAGGTGCATTGGATGCAGCAGGTGATCATCTGGCACTATGGTTTCGATGCATTTATCAGTAGTCAGGTTTATGAATGAGAGTGTTCTGTTCTGATTGTTTTTGGCGGAGATGGACTCATAAATCACGCACATAAATCATAGCTAACATGGCCCTTTGAACTGGTCGGATCTCGGCCATTCATCTGACAATCCTAATTTCTCACATTCTGTGCTTGCGTTTCATTTCGTTCTTCGTGATTGCTTGATTGCTGCTGACAATTGCTGCTTGATTTCCAGCTGGCAGATTTCGTCGGCCGCCCATTAAACGAGGCTGGTGGGATGATTGCTCTTATAGAAGTTTATTATCTCTTCAATCGCGCCAGAGGAACTGGTAATTGTACCGAAAATATCAGCTTAAAATTCATGGCGCTTTTCAATCTTTTCAATCTTTTCTACTCATCGTTATCTCTTGTCTTCTCCCATCAACGAGCAGAGCTCATTTCGCCAGATGACCTACTGCAAGCCTGCGCTCTGTGGGAGAAAATCGATGTGTATGCACCACCGAAACCCTAATCTCCCGTTCATGTTCTTCTTGATTAACTAAACCCTTGACGATCCCAATGAACACAGCTCCGTGATGCTCAGAAGGTTTGACAGCGGAGTGATGGTCATCCAGGACAAGGTCCACAGCGACAAGGAGGTCCTGCTCGCCCTGGAACACCCACCCTCCTCTGGGCATTGTTATTTTCTTGCTGGGTTTGACCAGCCGGGTGGTGCGTTTACTCTGCAGGTCTTTGAGAGGATAAAGTCAATGGCATTGAAGCCGGAGGCCCTCCGGCAGGGGGTCAGCCCGACCGACGCTGCAATGACGCTGGGCATTGCTCCGGCGCTGGCCAAGGAGTACCTTCTCGCCGCAGAAAATGAAGGTAGGCCCGTAGAATGTGTGGGAGTGTCGCCAGTTGAGTGCATGGAATGATTTGACCGTTGGTTGTTACGCAGGGCTGCTGTGCAGAGACGTCAGCCCCGAGGGATTCCGCTTCTACCTCAACCTCTTCAGAGAGATCGACCCCCGCTGCATGTACTCGTAAGTCCCTTAGAACTGATGACTGATTATGTCGATTTATTCAGTCCGATTTAGCAAGAACCATATGATTCGTTAAGGAAACAAAATACACCAAGCATTTGTGTCGGATCACTTTGTCAGCTGGGTAGAGGCTCAGCTGAATCCGCAGTAGGTATTTTTTTCAGATCTCTGTGCTTGTGACACTGGTTTCTCTCTCTCTCTCTCTCATCACCATCGACAGTTGGTGAATTTACATCCGTAAGTGAACACTATGTTGATGATAGACTTTATTCCTCTCTCCCTCCCTCTCTCTCTCTCTAACCATAATCATCACCATCATCAGTTGGTGAATTTACATTCATAAGTGGACACTATGTTGATGATAGACTTAATTCCTCTCTCTCTCTATCTCTAACCAACCATCACCATCGTCGTCGTTAGTTGGTGAATTTACATTCATAAGTGAACAGTATGTTGATGATAGACTTTATTTCTCTCTCTCTCTAACCATCCATCATCATCGTCGTGTTAGTCGGTGAATTTACATTCATAAGTAAACACAAAGTTGATGATAGATTTTATTCCTGTCCCCCCCCATGAATCTTCTCGCTTTTCTCTATCTAACCTTGTACAGCGAAAATGGTCGACTTGCAGGGTTGAGAGGAGCGGGCTGTTCAGATCCTGGCTCTCTGCCACCGCAGTTGCCAGCTAGGCAGAGCGGCCGGCGTGGGCTCTCTCAAGGGCCGCCTCTTGTAGCTTGAGCTGCTGCATAAGCCTGTTGTTGTTCGGGCAGGAAATGGGGATCTCGCCCCCCCAATGGACGGATGTCATGTATCTAATCATTCATTCATGTCCATCTTTTCTGGCTGGCCAAGTCTAGGCCTAGAGAGAGAGAGAGAGAGAGAGAGAGAGAGAGAAGGGCAGAAGATAAAAACATCATCTGTGCTAGAATATAAGAAGCTCAGAAGGTAATTCAATCACCAGCAGTCTTACAACGGACCCCCCGACCGCTCTCCCAATTCACAGCCTGGCGTTCGAGTAAACGATATATCAGAGCATCATCCCAAAACGAAATATGGAAACAGAGAGAGGTCCATAGACTGGCCACGCCACGTCGTCCTCTCCGATCTTCTCCTTCTTAGCCCTGAAATCGTGCGTGCCACGTCAGAACCCTGAAATTTCGTTTGGGGGGGGGAGGACGAAGTGGTATGCGTACCTTGCTGGCGATGTTGCTGGAGAGCCAGTCCAGCCCCTCGTACAGTCCCTCCCCTGAGGTGGCGCACGTGCTCTGGATGTACCTGATGACATGAGTCAACAAGACCACGGTTAGCGTCGGTGGCCGCTCGAGACAAATGTCAACGCTGCACCCTGTATCTTGTATCAGGGTGTGGTGTGAGTGGACTGCTGAAGATTATGGCCGCTTGAGTTGACTACAGAAGATCCGTGAAGAAGGAATAGGGGACAGGGGGGCTGACCAGTGGCGCTGACGCAAGGAGTGGAGACCAAGCTTGTCGGTGATCTCAGCGGCGTTCATTGCATTTGGGAGATCTTGCTTGTTGGCGAATACGAGCAGCACAGCGTCTCGCAGCTCGTCCTGCACAAGGCCTCGGCATTAGACGGTGATCGGATGATAAGATATACCCTAATTTGGACGTGCTTGGGCTTTCCATGGAGAGACGGAGCATCGATCACGGGGGATGGGATTCAGATGGAATAGGGTTCTCCCCTTCTGTAATCATCGTCAGAGGAGAGAAGGATTACCTCATTCAGCATTCGGTGAAGCTCGTCCTTCGCCTCGACCACACGGTCCCTGTCATTGCTGTCCACAACGAAGATGAGGCCCTGTGTGTTCTGGAAGTAGTGCCTCCAGAGTGGCCTGATCTGTTGACAGAAGCCCGAGGACCTTCATCAATAGCTTGAAAGTCCAATCAAGTATTAGCCTATGCATGTCATGAAGGTTCGTGTTTCTCATAACACTTTGTCTTTGAGACATCGACATGCTATTGAAGTTCGTCCGCCATCTTATGCCAGGCGAAGCATTCAGATTGTAGATTGTTAATGAGGGTTGATTATGATATACATGCTCTGTAGACGTGTCATCTTACTGTCGCTGTTGTTGCAAGTCTGTCCGGTTCTAAGCAAAATCCAACGTATGTAGAACAAAATGATTGTGGACAAAAAAGAGCTCCAGGTTCAATTAATTGAATGACAAGCGTAACGATACCTTGTCCTGACCCCCGACATCCCAGACGGTGAAACTAATGTTCTTGTACTCCACAGTTTCCACGTTAAAACCTGGCAGAGACAGAGAGATCGAGCAGGTTGAGAGCATTATTTGAGAGCTGGAATGTCTAAACAGCTAGTTGCAATGTTTGAGAGCTGTAATCAGTGAAATCGTAAAGAAATCATCGGATATAATTTCGTCTCTGTGGATAATAAATACAAACAAAATGAAGAGAAAACTTGACTACATTCCTTCGTTTAAAAAGATACATTTTAGAAAAATGAAAAAGGGAAGTAAAAAAAAAAAAGGTATCGGCATACACTTTGACCCATTGTCACAGGAGGACTACATAATAAATGTAAAACCTCGAATCTAACAAAAAAATCATAATCAAAAGTTGCTTCTTGAACCGTTACATGAGAAAATATGTCTCCTGTTGGAGAGACTTATACGAGCAATAAAGGAGCAGGCACAATGTAGGTGGCCTTCCCATCGGGTCCCAAATTTACGGCCTCCAAACAAAACGCAAATATCTTAGCAACAGCCTCGGTCCACTGAGCTTGAGACGAATATATCATTATATTCTGATATCGATGTCCTGACAATTCAGCATCAAGCTCAAACAACAAGACCTAAACTCGGTGGTTTTCCAACGGGGAGTGGTATAAATCTAATGCAAGCTTCCATCCTTCGTATCCCTTTCCACAACAAAAGATTAACGTGACAATGAATAAAACATACGAAAACACTGTTATGATCAGCAGATTTTACAGATCCGACATCCGTAAGATTATAATAGAGGTTAATTTTAACCCGGATCCATCCAACAACACAAATAAAATATATAGGGGAACTCAGATAATGAAGAATAGAACGACTTTCAGAAGAAAACCTGGAACTTCCTAAACATAGCTGTCGAAAAGACTCAAGCCATAATGCATTGACTACAATGATAGGCTTTTTGTTTGGCATAGAAGAAGACGCCGGTCTTCCTGTAGGAGAGTGGGAGACGTGACAGTGCAGAATAGATTACTATTAGAAATACAACTAGCACAGGTGAGCTGCCCCTAGCAAATCTATCCTCGATGAAAATCGTAAACTTCAAATATCACTGCGATCAAAACAAGGAGTAGAACATGAAAGCAGAAATGACTACATTTCACGCGAACAGATATTTCAGATCAAACATCGGACAATGCATTTCTTATCCCAGAAAATAAAATGGAGAAAACGTCAGAGGGAGGGAGGGAGGGAGGGAGGGAGGGAGAGAGAGAGAGGACTAACCAATGGTGGGGATTGTGGTGACGATCTCTCCGAGCTTGAGCTTGTAAAGAATGGTCGTCTTACCGGCGGCATCAAGACCAACCATCAGGATCCTCATCTCCCTCTTGGCGAAAAGCCGGCTGAAGAGCTTGGTGAACGTGAGCCCCATCTTCGTTCACCTACGGACGCACAGAAAGAAACTGGCAACGTCAATAACGAGACGGAACTTCCATACACATAACAAGTGGCTCGAGATTTGGCTGCAGAAAGAGTAGGAAATTCGGCAACCTAAACGGGTGTCAGGAAAAACACAAAGCCACTCGGAGCATTCAAAAGAACACAGAAAATCCAGGAACAGATCCAGACCTAGATGCGAAAACCTAGAAATGGAAAAAGGATTTCGCAATAAATGCCGCACCGTCACATGAAAAACCTAGATCTGCGGTAGGATCAAGGATACAAATCCGAGATCTGATATCGCCTCAACGTGGATCGCACGGAGACCGGAGGATCGGGACCAAAGATTCGAACAGCATAAACAACCATCTTCTACTCGACGAACGATGGAATTCAGCGGCGATGCGGCTCACCAATTCGTGAGAGACGCTGGCTCCTCGGCAGGCAGGCGGAGAAAGAACGAACGAGGTGGCAAGAGGCTCCGGCTGTCCCTCCAACCTTCCCTAAAGTGGAAATTAAAGCCAGAGAAAACCTTCCTCGCCAGAAGGAAAATCACTCCGCCCGTATCGTATATATACGGCGGTTGCGTGAAAGACCGGACGAAGGAACATCCGGTCTCACGTGGCATCAGGAAACCCCCAATGAAAATGCGACACTTAAATCATCCCAATGAAAATTGAACATGTGGATGTCCGCGGCCACTGAATCGTCCAACTCGGCGGTCCAATGGGATGCGCTGGCGTGGGCCCTCCTCGTGATTAGAATACTCTTCTCTTCTCAGAGGCATAACCGTCCATGTTTTACGTCATTATTGGGAAGTATCTCGAGGCGGTGAGAAAAGAGGAAAAACATCCACGTCACAAGTCAACGCTGCCTGAGAATCGCTCGAAGCTCTGTCAAACGCAGACAACTAAGCAAGAACCCAAAGACGGGCGCCGCTCACGAGCCGGACTCGCTGGGAGAAGCAGAGGGAGCTTCGAATTCCTCTCTCTTGATCGGCTGCTCTGAATCGTTGACCTACTCCTTCTCGTCCGTCATCTGAGGCGTTGACTTCTCGAACCACTCCTCCACGTCGTCAACGAAGCCCTTGTTGGAGAGCAGCCAACCCAGATGACTCGGCTCATCGAGGTCGACGAATGAAGCCGCCGCCTCCATGCACGTCGCCCATGGCTGGTCACCCTCGAGGTAGCCGATGTCGGCGAGCTCAACGGGGCTCTGAACTTCTACTTTCGGAACTAATCGAAGCTGGGCAATGTCTTCCGGCACTCCGAAGGCGGAGCCGCCGCCGCCAGAGGACAAAGCTGGCGGAGTCTCCGGCGGCACCAAGAGAGAGGAAGCGAATCGGAGAGGGTATTTGGAGAAGCCGCTGCTTCCTCGCCGAAGCACCGCCAAGTACTCCTCCCTGGTCATGGCCTGCATCTCTTCGTAGTCCTCGAGGTAGGTGTGAGACTGCAGTCCCATTCGAGCCATGGAGCCCACGAGAGTATTACAGTGATGAGAGAGAAACACGAGAACTGTGAGTGAATCAATATGTTTCCACTCACCGGGAAGTTCAGGATGCTGCCACTCGGGCCCCAGAACTTGAGCGAGGCAAGGTCGTAGGCGTGGGCCGCAGATTCTTCGTCCTCGAAGGCCCCTGCGTTAAGATCGGATCATTCACAGATGAAGACGAAAACGAACTCCGAAGAAGAGAAGTTTTGATAGGAACAACTTACCCAGATACACTGAACCTCCCACGGATGATGTGAATCAAGGGTTAGGGTTGGTGCAGCAGGAGAGAGAAAGGGAGTTCGTTCACTGTAAGATCAGAAGAAGACGTAGAAGATGCGGTAGAAGAGGAGGATCGATGATTTTCACCACCTTGTTTCCCCTTCCTGTTCTTGAGGGGGTAGTAATCATCTCTGTCCCAGAGGTAAGCCTCGTACTTCCCCGTCCACCTGTGCCTGCAGGCATCGCAAGAACCTCAGCCAGGACCAGGGAGAGGGAGAGGAGGAACGAGGAAGAGAGATATGTAGTACTTGCTTGGTGACCCCTCTATACGGGGAGGTTCTTTTCACGCCACCGCCGCCGGAGGAGGAGCGGACCTTCCCCTTGTTTCTCGTAGGTCTCTTCTTGCTCCTGAACCTTCCAACCAGGAGCTTCCTTGATGAAGAGGACTGGTCCATGGAGGGCCTTCCATGGATGGGAGGAGGAAGAGGAAGAGGAAGACGAAGAGGAAGAGGAAGAAGAAGAGAAGGAGAAGGAGAAGGAGAAGAAGAAGATGAGGGAGGAGATGCCTTCATCTTCTGGTGTGGAGGCTCCTTGGGGTTGAGCACGGGGTTTTAAAGAGCTGGGAGGTGAGAAGAGACTCCCCAAGGCCATTCAAACCGTGGTTAAAATCCGAGATGCGTCCAAACACGCCATGAATTACAACACAACTACCCTCGAATGGCTGCCTAACACTTTTCTTCCGAGCTCCTCAAGCATTCCTCTCTCTCTCTTTCTCTTTCTCTCTCTCGCTATCTCTCGGTGCTCAGCTCTATCCTGTTCTGGAAATTTTTGAACGAACGGTGTGATGCGCAGTAACCGGCGGCGAGGGGCGTAACGCGTGGGAAGAGAAACGCGGAGAGAAGGAGACGAAATGGAAAAGGACGACCTTCCAAAAGGTAGCCTCCTTCCAAAAGTTCCGAGCTTCGACCTCCCTGCTCCTCCGCCGCTCGGTGTTCCTCCTCCTTTCTGCCGTAATCAGCAAACTTTTCCAGCCATGAAAGCTCTCCTAAATAACCTGTTTCTTGCATGAAATTCTTCTTCTTTCCATTTTGAGAATGCATTTTAGGAATCCGAGTTCATGGAGACTCGGGGAGACGAGACGTGAGCGGTTCCATGACTCGGGATATCACCCAATAAGCCCATCATGTCATCAGATTAAAGGCTCGTGGCCCAATTTATCTGGACGAAGCTAATGAGCCCACAATCCATTCTGAGAATGCATTTTTGCAATCAGTGTCTGTTGAGACTCGGAAGATAAGTCCCGATGTCCGCTTCCATGACTCGGGATATTAATCCAATAAGCCCATTGGTTAGCCCATTAATAGGAAAAGGAAAATAACTCAGTAAGCCCATTATGTCGACACAGAAAATTGCTCGTAGGCCCAGTAACCGGGGGCAGATGACAAGCCCACAATTCTTCAGTGCTCTCCTTTGGAAACCCTAGCGATCGATAACCGTCGGGGAGGAGATCTTCTTATTCCGGTGATGGCGACCAAGAGGAAGTCCGAAGCCGAGCCGGAGTTTGCAGCAGAAGATGAAGATACCGGGGAAGATGAAGAAGAGCTGGAGGAGCTCGAAGAAGATGAAGAGGACGCAGAAGAGGGGAGGAAGGATAGAAGCGATGGGAATGGTGGAAACGGCGACGACGAGGATGGGGAGGAAGAGGGCGACGAAGAATCCAGGAGGCAATCCGTCCGGAAACTTCTGGAGCCCTTCGGCAAAGATCAGCTTATCGACTTCCTGAAGGAGGCCGCCGCGAGGAATCCATCCGTGATCCGGAATATCTCGGAAGCGGCCGAGTCTGATCCCGTCCATCGCAAGATCTTTGTTCACGGCCTCGGGTGGGACGCCACCACGGAAATTCTGGCCGACACATTCCGTCTGTACGGGGAGATTGAAAAGTGCAATGTGGTGATGGATAAAGCCACCGGGAAGTCCAAGGGCTTCGGGTTCGTCCTTTTCTGCACTCGTGCGGGCGCGCAGAACGCCCTGAAGCAGCCCCAGAAGAAGATTGGCAATCGCACGACCTCCTGCCAGCTAGCCTGCTTCGGCCCTGCTACTGACTCCGCCAATCGGAAGATTTATGTCACCAACGTGGCGCCAGATGTAAACCCAGAGCGTCTGCGGTCTTTCTTTGAGAAGTTTGGTGAGATCGAGGAAGCACAGCTAGGGCATGACCAGACCAGGGGGAAGTCGAAGGGCCATGCATTCTTCACTTATAGAACTCCAGAGGGATGCAGGAAGGCATTGGAGGAGCCCATGAAGGTCTTCGAAGGATGTCAGTTGCACTGCAAGAAAGCGTTCGAGCATTGGAAGGCAAAGACCCCGTCACCCATGGGAGGTTTTGGGGCCAGTGCCGTGTTACAACCCAACGATCTTGCTTTGATGTATGCTCCATCATCATTGATGGGGTTGGTAGGTCAGAAGATAAATCCAGCAGCGGCGCTAGTGGGTCACAGTCCAGGTCTTGGAGTTCTTCATTCTGTGGCTGCAGCAGGATTGTCACCCTCTGGAAGTCTCATCGGGACCGCCCCCCCTTCATCTTATGGGGCGGCATATGGGTCTGGTGGTGGAGGAATTGGGGTTAATAGTCTTGGTTCTAGTGTGATTGGAAATTATTCGCCAGCAGCTTTGCAAGGTCTCGGATCTTATCAGAGTCCTCACTTGACGTTGACCTCAGATTTGAGATATATGGGAACTGGCTTGCCACCATACCTTGGGCGCTAGGTTGGGTCTCGTTCCCTCACTGATTATCGTCTGTTTTATGCTTTAGGCCTCAGCACATCGCTTTCACATAGATGTCTGTATATATATATATATATATAAGCTTTGATGATTCCAACGAATTTCAATACATAATGTTTAAATGAGGTCAAGACTAATGGCCAATGCATATGATGTGGGATGTCACTATTGTCTTCAGTCAAGAAACTCAACCTCTTGCATGTTACCTGTTCCTACTATCTGATCTTTCAGTTCATTTCCTTATCATATGATCCTCACCGTGAGACTTTCATGGCATTACTAACATTCACCCTTTTGATCGTTATTTACTTGGTCAATGGGTGAGCTGTCTTACTGATTCATCACTTTGTTGATGGAATTATCTGGTAGTGATGATCTGTGCCAATGATAATGGAGCGACCTTCTTCACATTGTTTGGATAGCCCCCTGCAAATGCTGCGAATTAAACCTGTATTGCAAAGAATGCTCACTCGATTGATTCGTTCTCAAGTGATGGTTGATCGAACAGCTGTGCCACATAGCTCGGCATTTTTTCTTGAACACCTTCACCCTTACACGCATGAAACCCAGAATCCACTTCTCACAGCTCCACTTCGCAGCCATTTGATAACTCGAATCTTGGGTTGCTCTGTACAAACTTGGAATGAATGCTGTTGATCTCCTTTTAGTCTGTAGACATAATCAGCCATGCTAAGTTTTATATGCTCCATCATTCACCCATGTCGAGTATCAGTAATTCCATTTCTGGGGACTAATTATCTTCTCAGATGGATCTTTCGACAATCTCAGTCATGTATGAAGCTCGACCAGAGGGATATCCATTGCTGCATATCATTGGTGAGCTGCTCCGTGGGCTCACCCGACTGAAGAGCATAGGATTACCGGGGATTGCCAGATCAGGTGCGTATAGCTGGTATATTAGAAGAAGATCTCGCCCTTTGTTTATATATATTTACGATCACTTGTTGGGGAGTGTTAGAAATCATTAATCTGATGATCGTGCCGTTGGAGAAGGGGCTGCAGATTATCCTTAAAAAAAAAAAGTGTGTTTTTAAAAAAAAGTACAAATTCTTCGCATTTATTCGTGTTCATACGATATTCATGAACCCCACCAACTCGAAGTTGCTGAATGGGGGAAATTGATTCATCTTTGTAAAATTACTCCCTTCAGCAGAGTTTTTCTAATGAGGGTTTATATTCCCCAATCTTCCAAGACGAGGTATTTTTGCTATTTTTACTCTTTTAGGGTTTCTTAGGACCTCTATGTGTATATATATATATATATATATATATATATTTGGGGCCTCGGTAGCTTATTGCATCACGCTTGGAAGCATCGCCATAAATAGAACATCTTAATCAACCCGTCTTGCAACTTTCATTGAATTAACTCAGCCGCCATGGCCCTCTTTCTCTCTCTTGATGGCGTCGGCGGCTGAGCCCCACTGGGAGAGAGACAGGGAGAGATAGTCCACGTCAGACGTAGTCGGGTCTGGTCAGCGTTGGTCGTCTTGTGGGCTTGATTAGGAGGAGGCCCAAGACTGGACAAAGTGGCCGTATTTAGCCGAGCCTCCTGGCTCACTGACCCCCGTAATAAAAACTGGGCGACACTCAGAATCACTCGGAGACAAACTTGGACGGGGGCAGCAGGTGGAATCGTCACATGGGCCGAGTCCGGAGCCCGTTTCCCTTCCCGGGGGGGTGGACCTGGCCGTGCCGGCGGAGAAGTCAAATGGACCAGGTCAACAGGGCTAATAGGGACGGAGAAGCCTTCGTCTTCTTCCGGTGCTTACACACACCAAATGCTCTGAAGGGGAGAGGATTTATACACAGCGACGACCCTCCCGTAGGAGAGGGGGGTGGGGAGCAAATATACGTGGAAGATAATGGAGGTAGTGAGAGAAGAAGCTTTCCCTCTCATCGACAGTGGGGAGGGAGGATTTTACACAGTCAAGGAGAAAGACTGGAGAGACCGAGCTTGGCGAAGCTTCAGATCTGGTTCTCCTCACCATGCAATAACTCTCAGCCGTTGGGCCTTCATAAACCTCCATTAATGATCCAGTTCTTTGTCCTTGTCTTCGTCTTCGTCGTCGTTGCTGCTGCGTCTCTCTCACGGCAGAAGAGAGCCGCGGCAGAGGGGGCAGGTCCGCCGGCGGTGGCAGAGCCACCGGTCGAGGCAGTCGCGGTGGAAGAGGTGCTCACAGCGCAGCTCCCGCACTTCGTCGCCTTCTTCGACGGCGGCGAGACAAAAGGCGCACGCCACCGGTTCCGCCTTGGAGCGGCGGCGCGCCACCGGGAGGGTCTCCATGCAGTGGAGCGCCACCGGGTCGGGGGAGCAGCCCGCCGCGGGGCAGGCCGACTGGTGGCGAAGGAAGGGCGAGTCCGGCAGCCACAGGAGGTGGGCTCTCGCCGGAATTCTGTAGATGGACACCGCCGACGAAACGAATCCCCGGAGGAAGAGGACGATGATGCTGAACGACGGCGGCAGCACCGCGAAGCCCAGAAGAACCAGCGACAGGGAGGTGATGTCCATGGCTTCGGACCCCCTCCGGGACGGGAACAAGGCACGAAGATGATAGATACCATTCTCACCGCCGGGCCACCTCTATTTATAGACAGATAGAGAGAGAGAGAGAGAGAGAGAGAGAGAGAGAGAGAGAGAGGAGAATGGGTAGGAACTTGATTTGTCCGACATCTTTCTACAGCTGGATTACAATATTAACCTGGAGGAGAGTTCGGGTTTTTTATCTGTGGGCGGAAGTCGCATCCAACTGAAATCTTAACATCCATCATGTTCGTGATCACGGGGGTGGGCTGTTGTTATTCACCCAGCTCTGACTGAAGCGTGCAATACTTATCTCCCGACATCAGTTTATCAGAGATTTAGTCAACGCCGCGTTCTCTGGATTTACACGAGTGCAATAAATGGATGCTGTTAGCGGGTAGATTGCCCGTCAAAAAGTCACAAAGAGATACCTTCCCGCACGTAGCTACTCTCATTCACTCACTCTCTCTCTTTCTCTCTCTCTCTCTCTCTACTTATCATGGATGTACTAGTTGACCAGAGATTAAGTAAGAGAGAGAGAAAGAGAGAGAAAGAGATTAAGTAGGTCGTGGACGAAGCCCTGCCACGGGGGAGCTCGTGATAAGCCGCCCCGCCCACGCTGCCATTGACTACTGGGGAGGGCACGAAGGGAGGTCGCCGTCAGCCATCGCCCCCCCACACTACCATTTACTGGCCCCCCCCTCACAGTCTCCGCCCTCGTGGGCGACGCTTCGACCTGCCATTGACTACCGGCCACCGATTTCGTTGACGGTGGTTGATGGTGCCCTCCCGTCGCAGTCTCCCAGAAGCCCCTCTAGCCTGATTCTTATTATTCGGATCCCTCTTAGTTACTGTGAATAAGAGAGAGAAAGACACAGACACAGAGAGGAGAGAAGAGAGAGTAGAGAGAGTAGAGAGAGAAGAGAAGAGAGAGAGAGAGAGAGGGGGGTTTTCCCTGAAGCCGCCGCATAAAAAGACTTCAACTTTAAGCCGAGATTCATTTCGACCCACGGGAAAGCCAGCTTCGTTGTTGGGCCCCTCAGATTGCATGCGTGCGTGCGTGCGTGGGTGCACGTATCTAGCCTGTGAAACTCGCTGGACTCCACTCTTGACTTTCGGAGCGCCCTTACTGCGAGGGGTCTTTCATGTTTGACAGTCAGGGAGGAGAGAGGGTCAAGTGGGCTCCGGGTCAACGGGGGTGCATTTTATCGCTGTTATTATTACTGCTTTTCTGTATTTTTATACTATTATTCCACGTCAGGATAGTAAATATTCTGACAAGAGCAGAGCAGAGCTGACCGAGGAATGAAAAACACAACTCTTTCCCGCAGTTGGAGGAGAGCAGTGGGGGCGCATTGAACGCCAGAGAAGGTGGCAGTTTGGTCAACGGGAGGTGAACTGCCGAATTCAAAATCCCACAGTGGCCGTGGGAATTTCTCGCGTTTGGAATGCCGGCAACCAGACGAATAGGAAGCTAGATGCATCAGTTTTCCGCGAAAATCTAGCTGTTTGCGTGGTTTCCACTGAATTCAGAACACGTATTCCAGCATTTCCAGGCAACTCAAACCGGGGGGGAATTCGAGGGCGGGTCGAGGGATTCTGCTGAAGGTGGGCACCCCGTGGGAAGCCCTAAAGACGGCCGCATTCATAAACTGATCCGGAATTTCCCAATTTAGTAACAACGGCGGAAAACCAATAAATTGCCCGAAATCTAACTGAAAATCCAGCTGATTATCATGTTTATATGCATCCAGAGCCAAAAGGTTAAGGAAAACCCCATTCAACAACACGCGAAAGGGTAGAGAAAGTTGGGGGTGATCAGGATCAAATCGATCACCTGAACCCTAAGAGTTTCTACCAGAGGGTCAAATCTCTATCAGGATGATCTGGGTCAACTCTTTGCTCCTTCCTGGAGTCAGATCAGACCGGTCCTAGGAGCTTCTAGCTGGTTCTGGCCATACCCACGTCCATCCATCCAGTTCATCCTCCCCGCAGCTGCACACAAAATTGGCAGCCTTAGTTTCCCTGCAATTTATTTCTAAATTTAGCATTCGTAGCCTTGGCACCACATTAATCTGCAGCGCCTTTTGCAGTGTCATTGGCCACTTAATGGCGCAGGAATCTGTATCACCTTCTTCTCAGCCCTGGCAGAACCACGGCCGGTGAAGAGAGATTTCAGCTTGTTCGCCAAAAATTATCTAATAATATCAATGCTACCTTCTGTCAGACGAGGATTCAACGATTCTGCCCATAATTTGATGGCCCGCAGCATAAATATTATCTTTTTATCTAATAAAAAGCATGCTTATCTGACTTCCTCCGTTTGAACTCTCTGATTCTATTCAGAGTATCCAGTTTTCTGTCAGAGTCTCCATAATAATTCCATCTCCAATGCTCGGTCTTCCAGCAATGAGTATTAAGCCAGGATCAGTTGGATTGCCATGATTTTTCTCTCCCTGATTCCTCAATTTCCCCCCCAAATCTGATGTCAAATCGTCAATTTAACCAGAAATTTACCCTCTCCGTTTAATTATAAAAAGAAAGAAAGAATTTTGACAGGAACCCTAATCTGGAAATTAATAGAAGCCACGCGCCATGTCTGGGTGCATTAGAATATCCTACCTTGCTGTAGAGACCTTGTTCTACAGAGTTATAAACACCATCTTTAGCAATCTTTTCATCCAACCTCAATTGCTCCCGAGTAAGCTTAATAAATATTCTAACGATCTAGACTTCGATACCCATTGTATAATCTTGCTCGGGGTAAGATGTTCATTTAGATAAACCTAAATGATGACAAACAGAATCACTGAACAAAAGCATCAACAAGGCAGTGAACTGAAGAAAATTAAAACCCTTATTTCATCATGATAATTCAGCGAACCCCACAAGGAAACCTAAAGTGAAGAGCATAGATACATGAAAAACGAAATTTCCAAGGAAATAGACGGTCAACTCTATAAGGAAGTGTCAACCAACCAAACAGGAAACATCTAAAGAAAACAGCAAGTTGACCCATTTATTCTTCCACCAAATAAATATTTTTTATCTTTTTGTGTAGATGTTGGGGGATTTTCCAAATCATATAAATCTTGAAATCTTGTTATATCACTCCTCTGTGCCTTTTCATCTATATCTATATATATATATATATATATATATATATATATCTAATGTTGTCACCTCTGTTATCTTACTTTTTACATTTAAGTATTTGTATCAATGTTTCTCGAACATGGGGAGTCGCCCAGCTAAGAAAAAGAAATCTGAGTCTTCCCCAGCTCGGCATTATCACACTAAGTAGGCTACCTAACTCAACTCATGAGTCATATTTTCTTAATTATCGTAGAAAACTTTACTTTCAAATCAATTCTCTCAATTAGATACACCTTAAGTATCGTTACAAAATGACATCCTGCTTACTACCATCTCTCTCTCTCTCTCTCTCTCTCTCTCTCTCTCAACCCGATTTCCCTGTGAGAAGAGAAAATATCAGCATTCCAGACAAGAAAGGCCACGAATGCCATTTTATGTAACAGTAAGGATTGTGAACAAAATTGGGGCAGAAGAAAAAAAAAAGGAGAACCCTCTCTCGTTCCCACCCATCCATCTTCTTCCTCAAATTGACCACATTTATTCCCCTCTTTGAACAGCCCCGTTGACCTACTCATCTCCATTCACTCCCACCACATCCACAAGACAAATAAAAGAAGAGAACAGGATGGAAGTTCACTTACTGAAAGTAGACCGCGGACTGTGCAACCCGGCAGCTCATCATCCTCCGTTTTCCGATCCAGCTGAGACCACCTTCTCTTCACCTTGCTCTCTTCCACCTCCCACTTCCTTCTCGGGCTTCTGGGCCCCCGTCAACTTTGCCAGGACACCGAATGAGAAGCCGCCAAGGACGTTGTTCAGGGAACGGAGCACCAGCACTGTCATCTTGAACGCTGGGGGCGGCATCACCTTCGCCATCAGGAACTCGATCCCATTGAGCGACTGGTACCGCAGGTTGCTGCTCACTCCCATGTGGGCCGCCCACGTTAGAGAGTTGAGCAGAGTCGGCGGCGGTTTGTTGGGCGTCTCGAAGGTCGGGTCCATTCTCTTGCGCAGAGATATCAGGCCGTTGGATATGGCGGTGCCGGTGAGCCCCGCCGCGAAGCCAACGGCGGCGAACACGATTCCCTTGTAGACGAATGTCCCCAGGCGATCGGCGAGCGAGTAGGCGCCGGGTTCGAACATGTGGCCCTGCGGGCAAGCTGCGAAGAGGCCGGGGAGGGCGGAGGCGGAGGAGGCAGACGTAGGGGCGAGGAGGTACATGAGGGCAAAGTTGAGGATGGAGCCGACCACCAGGGTGGAGAAGACGAAGTCCAGCTCGTTGAGGCCGAAGTTGGGGCGCGAGGACATGTCGCCGATCACGCATGCAGTGACGCCGACGAGCTCCTCCATGAGCAGCTTGAAGGGGAACTGCGGATCGGCGGAAACCCTAGACCTCCAGCCCTCGACGAGGAACCCCAAGAGCCCGAAATGCGACGGCGAATCCCGCCTGTGGCTCTCCTCGGAGACATCGTCCCCTCCTCCGGAGCTCCCTCCGCCGCCTTTATTACCGTCGCCACCGTGAACACCTCCTCCGCCGCCATCGCCGCCGGCGTCGGCCGCTGCCAGGGGGCGAGCGGGGCCGCGATATCGGCTCCGGAACTGGCAGATGGAGATGGAGGAAGAGGAAGAGAAGGAGACAACGGCGGGGAAAGGAGGCGCGGCGACAAGGGAGGGGAGAGGGAAGTATGGGGTGGAGGGAGGCCGGAGCCCCGGCAGGCGGAGAGGTTGGGCCATGGCGGCGCCGCCGCTCTTCTCCGAAGAATCTTTGCTCTGATCGTTTCTCCGTGAACGCGTCCCCACTCGGCTGCTATCTCGGTGGGAGTGCAGTGGAGAGTGAACAGTCCCGTATCTTTCTCCGTCAGAGAAGATGCTTTTTTTCATTTTTTAATAAAAAAATCATATGAAATATCGATTGCTCATTTTCTGATCCTAATATTCACCCATCGATTTTTTAATATAAAAACTTTCAATAAATATATCTCTACTCGTCGAATTAATCGAATTATTATTTCATGAAACTAGTCTAGCTTGATAATATCATTATATGCCCTTAATTAAAATTGAAATACTTCTTTTCAAAATTTTATATAATAAAAAAACATGTAACTTCATATCATAAAATAAATCATGGTTTGAAGCTCAATCAATACATACATGCATATTTATTTATTTATATGTTTATTTAATGGAAAACATTTTCTCGAAACCTGATAAAAGTAATGACGTCATGATCGGGGGGCAGCCCTTGAAACTTTTGCCCAATCATAATATTCTACATATTCTTTCATGGGTCTGTCATTTTTTATGAAGAGTATGTGAAAATATATTAGTTTGCTGCCATCTGTCCGGCCCCTCCAGCCAACCCCACATCGCTAAAACAATCAAAGCCCGACAACGGGGTAGCAAAGTCAACTATCTCAATAATTACCACCATGACCTGTTTTATCAAAGTCAATTCAGGGGCGGGCCCATGTACAGCAAAACTAAAAGCACATTCTACTTTAAAAAGCACTAGTTGGTCAACGAGAATGAGAGAGAGAGAGAGAGAGAGTAGCTAAACGGAGCTCATATGGTACATACATTCCTGTTGAGAGAGAGAGAGAGAGATCTTAGAGTACATACCAGATGATGCAGAATCTGTCTCTCAGGAGGCTGTGGGGCTGGTTGGTGGCCTCAGCCGGATGTGCTGCTGACCCAACGGGATGCAGAAGTGCAAGCAGAAAGATCTGTTAATGTACAAGAAGAAGTGTGGGGAGGGTCAACGCAGACCGCCATTGGAGGAGGTCACTGCCTGGGGACCGGTGCTGCCGAAGGCTGGCCATAGAAACCAATCCCCGGTGCCTGATAGAACACCGGTTGCTCATGTTGCTGCTGCTGCGGCGGTGGTGGCGGCGGCGGCGGCGGCGGCTGCGGTGCGCTGGGTCTCGCCATGTTCATTGGGATATTAGAAGGAAGATGAGGCAGTGGCGGCAGGGGACTGGTGCCATACCCGTATGGCAGAGCGCCGACCATGGCGCTGCTGGACTGGGCGTACTGCTGCTGCACCTGTGGCGGCGGAGTGAGAGGCGGCGGTGGTGGAGGCAGTGGCGGCTGGTGCTGGTACTTCTGTGAGATTGGCTGAACGTTGGCGCCGCCCGATGCTTGTGGCGGCGCGAGAGGGATAGACACCACCGGCTGCTGCTGCTGCTGCTGTAATTGGCTGAAGAAAATATTCCCCATCTCAGAGACAGTCATCGGCTTCTCGAGCTTTGGGCGTTTCTCCAGCGGGAAGCCAGCAGAGCCACCACCGCCGCCGGCAGTGTAGCCCCCAGGCTTGTTGAGGCCGTTCATGGAGGCAGCTTCCTCCGCCACGAGGGAGGATAAGACGGAGGTAAGCATCTGAGCAGAGGACGTAGAGGCGGTGAGCTTGGCAGCGACCTCGGCGGCCGCCTTCTTGTGCTGCACCTCGGCGGTGGTCAGGAAAGCTGCAAAGGAGGTGACGGGCTGCAGCTGAGGTGGATTCACAGGCATGACAGGTTCCAAAGCAGCAGCAGCAGCTGCTGCTGCTTCTGCCGCTGTTGCTGTGAGGGTGGAGCCGGCGCTGGACGCTGTGGGTAGCTTTGAGCCTGAACCAGGAACCACCATGGTAGGTCCTGATAATCTCTGCTTCAAGTTGATGGCTCGTTCCCTCTCCGATCGAGTGACCTGTGAAAAGTAAAAACACTTGAATGCAGCCAAAAATCTTCCTCACTGGATCAAATAAAACCAATATTTCAAACGAAAAATTCTGAAGATGATATTCTCATGAGTAAATATATACATTTAAAATACATACTGTCACATGAGTACTGCTATAGAAAAAGGAGAAAAATATTTTACAAAAAAAAAGGGAATAATTAGCTCAGAAAATAAAATGAAATCCCATCATGTGGATTCCATGAAAATCACGGATCCCAACACGCTCCGGCTGAATCAGGGTCAGAAGCCCCAGCTTGCACCGTGTAAGGATCATCGGCCATAATGGAAGAGCCTGCAAATAGATGTCTCCCTTCTCAGAGTTGCAGGGACTCCAGCCTGAAGAATCTCTCTCCATATATATTGGAGATATTAGAAGGCACAAGAGGATGGAGACCCAACGACAGATTTCTATGGTGCTGACAGTAAAAAGACCATCATCTGTTGACATCCATGGCAACAAGGAGAAAAGATCCCTGGAGAATACAGACCCGTGTTGAAGAGCCTGAAAGCCTCTGAACCATGCTAGGGCTTCAGCCCTTCGCTGCATGAGGCTGCGAGCCTCAACAAGAAAGATAAATAGCAGGGAGGAACATAGGCCTTCGCCATTAATCCTAACAAGAAGCCTGGACAGAGTAATGCACGATCGGATCCATCTGATCGATTTGTAGTCCAAGCTGATCTATGTAAGAAAATTCTACTGAACCTGTCTAAATTAAGTGAAACAACTTTCTAATCAATGTCACTTAATACCAGCAACTTTGAGCAACTTCTCCATTGAGAAGGCTCGTGGGTCTAATGTCCTTAAAGTCTATCAGCTCGGCTTCTTCTTGGGAATCAGCACCAAAAAAGTCTTGTTGAACCCCAACCCCCCCAACAAAGAAGTTAGCTGCCCCTGCTTGAAACACATCAACTGCCTTAGATTAACCCATGTTTGACAATTTCCCAGGGATCTCGAAGGAAAAACCAAGGGAAAATCAGCCGTACCAGGATCCCTATCTTCAACCGACTAAAAAAATCGCCGCCTTCAACTCCTCGTCAAACATTTAGGAAGTGAGAGTGCTTTGGGCCTAAATAGTTTGGGTAAGTGATTCGGTGCTAGATGTGGTCTCCATCCATTCTCAGAAAACAACCCCGGATAGAATGTCTCAGAATGATGTATCATGTCCCCTTCTTGATTGTATTTCTTAATCTCCATTTATTAGACGACGAACGACAACATTCTTTCCGGGGTGAAATAAAAACAATGAAATTTTCGAAATATCTTGAGTGAAATAAAAACAATGAAATTTTGAGGCAGGTACTGTAGGTCAAAGAGGATATCCAAAGAAACCCAAGACACACAATATGGAAAAAAGAAAAAACCCAAATGTTATAAAGTATGAAAGATCAAATGCAATCAAGTAATTTCATTATCTGACTTTCTCAATCACCAGATTCGCTATCTTAACAGAGAACAGGAGATGTGATCCTCGATATGTTCCTTCTGCAGCTTAGGGAAAAAAAAAAGAGAACATACCCTACAGCACAAGTAAATTACCAGTAAAAGTATGCAGCTGTTTGAGATGAACCAGAATTTAGATTCATTTAAAAGCCTAAGATCTCCCAATTGTCAAAAGAATGTCATAAAAACTAAAATAAACTTATTATGATCTAACTATAATGAATCTACGAAGAAAATATATTCGTTTTAAAAAAATAAATCTTCAAGTTGAAGATCCCAAATCTAACCTTTAACTGGCTGCGCACAAGCTCCAATTTTGACTCCTGAATTATGACCACAATGAACATACATAAATAAATATGCAAATTAACATAATACAAAACTAGTATTGTAACAAGTCAATTGAGCATATTTCGTTTAATAAAGAAGATTCAACTGAACCACGCAAGTCTAATGGAAGACCTGGTCTTGCAGTGCTTCTTTTAGCTGAAATACCAAGGCTTCTCTAGAAGCTTCAACACTTTCAAGTTGTTCAATACACTGACTCAAAATGTCTTCTTGCTCCTGAAGACCATTTACCAAGGATGTTGTCTCCTGGTTACCTATGGGGAAGTCACAATCACATAAATCCAAGACTCGTTACTAAGGGACAACAGTAGATTTACATGAACAATTTAGTGCTATTACGATTCGTACATATGGCGAATTGGACGAGACTGTCTCGATTTACGTTTCAAAGACCCATCATTCATTTATCATGAAAATTTTCTACCCATTGAAACAAATTTCGACAATCAACATATAGTGACGACAAATAACTGAAGTCACTGGCAACTGAGAATTGTTTGCAAATAACAAAGATATCTGAAAATAACAAGTTATGCATAAAAGTTCCTAATTGCATCATTCTTCCAATTCGCTACAGGATTCTAACAGCAATCCTTCACTGTCCCGAAATGTCTTAATCGCTCTCTGGTTATGAAATAATAAGTTCACCCCAGCTGAAGAACAATTCACAATAATAAGTTCATTGAACCCTTCTGGAGTCAAGAATAGTCACCACACACCATTGTGTTCCTTTCAGTTATACCCTAACCAGCCCCCAAAAAACCCCGAACAAACTATCACTTTGAGAGTGTTGAGAAGAGAGATAATAACCAGAAAACTACTCCCTTGCCCTATTCTACGGAGCATACATAAAAAACCGCATGCTAATAAATTCATATATATATATATATATATATATATATATATATATATATATGAATTAAAGAGATGCACAAGCACACATTTGTGTAAAGCAATTGCGCTGAAATTATGGGACTAAAATTAGTTAATTCACACAAATTAAGGGCAATTTAGAGCCACTTGACAGAAAATTATACACAATCAGTCTTACCCTGGCTGTATGTCTCAACAGCGTCCTTTTCCATCTTTACCACCTGCTGAATGGCAGCTTGGAATCTGTGTACGGCAACATCTTCATTGATATGTTCATCATGTACTGCTTGAAACGCAGTGACAACTTTTTCGGGCATGCCTCCAACAGCCAGTTTCTGGTTCAAAGAAAAGAAATCCCTATTAAGAATAAATCCAACGTCTGAGACAGAATCAACAGAGGGAAATTTTTAGCAGTGTCTAGACTATAAGATACAAATCTGAACATAATTCTCACTATTCGTAACGTCTGAGCATCTTTCTTCACTATTTTGATCGAATTTGAATTCGTCCCATTAATCTCCAATGAAGGGACCTCTTTTGCCATCATTTCATCTTTTAGGCTCTTGCTACGAGATCCAAATACTTTCCTTTCGTCCCATATATCAACCTGGACAAAACTCAAATTAAGATATAGCCTGATATAAGCCAATTGCAAACCCAAAAGCTTCAACAAAATGAAGCAAATTACCAGGTTCATCAAATAAATCTCAAGGCTGAAATGAAAACAGAGATTATGAAACTAATTCACAAAATATAAAAAATATTTAAGTTCAAGAACTGAGAATTCTCTACATTCTTTGGCATGTTTATGCAAAAAGAAAGAGAGAAGCAAATAAAAAATTGCAAAGATAAGAAGTTGGAGAAGGAAAAGGAAACTCGAGATAGAGAATCGAATATCCGTAGAATGAACAAGAACATTGAGAACATCCCAAGTATTGAAGTAAAACTTTTTGTCGGGGTAATCATGTGTGTAGCATGCTTCGAATTCCATAACGAGGCCAATGTTCGTACATGAGTCTTTGTTACAGGCACAAACTATCCAACAATCCATCATAAGCAGTTACAGATAAAAAAGCTGCCAGAAAACAGGACACAAGCAGAATACTTTCTACCCCGAGAGTTGAGAGATCCCAAGAGCTTGATATTGAGCTATTAGCTATTAATTAGTGAAAATCACACAGCTGACAAATTGATGATTGAGAAGTAGGATAAAAAAGTCAAGATACATCAACTCCTGATCCAACAAGGATTGAAGAAGGTCACTAGTAGCATCGAGATGATGTCAAGCTCCACAGACACAAAATAAATATAATAAAATCACAAGACCATGCCGGTTAATCAGTTGTGGTTATTGAATGAGGTTCCATATGAAGTCATTTACGAGAAGGCGACAGCAGGCTATTGCCCTGAGAATTCAAATATCTTCTCACGCACGAAGTAAAGATCTAGACTTCGGGCTTACTATGCACTTTACTTTTTTCTCTAGACTTAGTTTACAATGTTGTAAGTTGTTACATTCCGGTTCTCTCTTCTCTTTTGATATCAGAATTAACCTATTATTGAGCAAGGCTTGAGTCTGGAAAGTCTGGTTCGCACTCTTGGGTAGCTAACTTGTAGGTTACCTTAACTTGGAAGAATACTAAAAGGAGTATGAAGAGAGTGAGATAGGTTTGAGTTTAACTGAACCACTGACATTCTCATGCCAGTGATTGTTTTACTTCATGAAACTTCATTTACAAGGATTTATCAATCAAACAATTATCTTCTCTCTAGTTACATGATTCCTACTGAAGTTTCATTAACAACGCCCATAGGTTTAGGCTGAGATTTTCGTTCCCATGTAAAGAGCTTCCATATTGACTAATGCGTCAAACGCAACTGGGGCACAGACAAGATAGCTACTGCTCATGTCCTTTTCCACTAGACCTTCAAAACAAGGGGGCCCTTTACCTTGTAAAACCAAGTAGACCATAACACGCCATTTTAGATATCCAGGCAACTTGTAAACTACTTGAACCATGATTCGAAGGAGAGTTTTGCCAAACATGCGTATTTGTTAGACAAACATAAAGCACGTAATGACAAAAAGTGTCGATGGCTTCATACATACACATCGACTAAATGAGAACAATCAACAACATGACACTACACGGCATATGGATCTTTAACATCATAACCTACGATAATCATCTCCAAGGAAGTTACTGCCTAAGAAAAAAAGGCAATTTCAAAGTAAACGCTTGATTTTAGAAAATAAATAACATATGTACAATTTTAAGTGTATAGAATATGTTTACTATCTAAAAGCTACAAACAAAGTATAATTTAACATAGGAGCTGCCAAATAGTTATTTAACTCAATGAACCTCATTGGCCATCCTCGTCATCTGCGCTCTCACAAACATAATTAAGGGGTATAGTAAAAAGGACCTGCCAGAGAAAAAGGCCAGCAACGGGTAGTTCGTAGCCTTCAACAGCAGCAACTGACACTGGTCAGAGGCTTCAGTAAAATGTTTCCTATTCTTCCGCTTCGTTTATTTTAATGTTTCTCAGAAAACCGCTGCCAGAAACTAGATGTTATAAATACGATCGGGAGAGGATACCAAGAAAATCATCCCTACTTCCGTATTGCAGTCACTCAGTTCTAACTGATAAAATTTTAAAATATTGAAAAGGGAGTTGGAATTCCTCCCTCTAAAACTACCCTCGTCACCCCAAATGTCAATTCCCAGTAAAATGAACTGGATTGACCCATCTAACCACTTATTCATAATGGCGCCTGAGCTCCAATTTGAGGCGCAGGTACCCATAGTGCAAAGTGAGGGCAACTTGGGAAAAAATCAACAACAGGGCCAAATACCCTGCAATCGGTATAATCTACAAATCAGTAAAGGAAATCCACTTCCATAGTTCCCAAACAAAACCTTACTTTACCCATAATCATGGAGAATCGACATTGCTACATATTATATTCCTAACACCAGTCGAAAAATAAGTGACAAACTTTGATTGTCCCTTCAAACAAATTGTCGTATTCATAATGGTTAATTATATTCAAGAGGGCAGTAGATGATTTTTCTTACCGGTACAATAATAAAACCGACAAGAATTTGACAACTCATCCTTCATTAAACTCTATGGGGTATTTGGACAAAGAGAAAAATACGTATTCTTTTAAAAGCAAAGTCTCTCAACCTAAGGGTGTTTTTATAAAGAGTGTGATAAGAATTAAATATCAGGTATGACCTAGTCATAATGACTTGGATGAATCTGTTACTTTCAGAGAGCTGGCCTGCAGGTATGAGTCTCATCTTCGTGAACACATGCCTGATGTACAACACACTTTGAACAGCCTATGGTGCATTGTGTACATTCATTTATTTTACTTAATGATTTGATGCTACTACCCACTTTCAAAAACAAATGCAACCCCTAAGAAGAATAACAAGGCAATTCTATCATCCACAAATAATTATAACAAATAAAGAAGAAAATAGATACCAGTGGACAGACGCAGGCTTATAAGAAATCATCTTAATTATGGAGAGAATGATGGGATATCACATTATAAAAGAAAAAGAACAACTTACTAGTCTGGTAACAACATTCTTTCCATGTTCATCACCATTGTCAACAACATTTTTAAGAGCCCTAGGAAGGACCTTCCAGAATTCGTTCACAAATTCACTTCCTTTTCGTCTGCTGTTTTGTAGGATATCATTCGCTAAGTATAAAAACGAGACTCGCTGTTCTTTGGAGCCATTGAACTGTTTTTCCCATGTTTCAACAACATGCCTTGCCTTCTTCCGGTGAAAGATGCACCAATGAGACAATGCTAGGCAATAGTTAAAGTAAACAGACACTAGCTTTGTCAAACAATAGAAACACTTTCATCTAATTTCGCAGCATTTTTCACTTCGAACAAAGAGCATCTGATGGTAAAAAAAATAAATCACTAAGCAGTATAAACTAATATATTGTTATTAGCACGTTCATTGATGTGCCTATTTGGTCTTCTAATAGAGAAATAAGTTTGCATCCTTCGGAGCACAGAAATTAAGATCGGCGACTAAGTTAAATGGAAATTATGATGCACCACGACTGCTGAAATCTATGAGTGCATATGTAAATATATATATATATATCACATTAGCAAAATCGTAAGAGTAAATCGGAAACATATAAAACCACTTAAATAAAAATGTACTTAAAAATAATTTCTTGGGCCATGTCACATGTTCATACTGGAAAATGCTCGAAAACATTGAACCACATGATCTACTTCATACAAGTACGATCAGTTTGATCATCATTGCATTTCTCTGATGCAATTCAAACAGCAGAAGAGCATTTTTTTTCCTTCGGATCAGATGCATGAGATAAAAATTATCCACATGTACGACATCGTTCCAAGAAAACACATACTATTTTTATATTAGGCAGAAATAAGTGTTATTTAGTCTTCTAACATCACAATAATATAGATATGGACAAAAGTGCATGGCATACATATCCCATACACTCTATTGACGCAGCTAACTTGGAGTTCCAAGCATAATTTGTTTTTATGGTATAACATTTTTCTACAATAATGACTCTTTCATGTTTCGTACCTTTACGACCTACATTGCACAAAGACACGCGTTATACAACACTGACCCTTAAAAAAACCGAAAGAACAAGTAGTATTTCAGCATTAAAAAATATCAAATGAAAATAGAAACAACAATTATATACTCCTGTTACTGGGTCGCAATAAATAGAAAGATATGATATAGAAAAAACAAAACAATAGAAATTGGTTTAGAGTTAAAAAGATAGACGTTGGCCAGCTGTGCCCAACCCATCAATCAAAACTACAATTTCTTGGCACGTATCTGTAGCATGCATAAAAATGACAAGTTATTGACAAAAGACAGATAATGTTCATTGGAAAAAAAAAAAAACTGGAATCAAGGAAAAAGGATACTCTCGATGCTTTGTTGTGAGTTGTTGAGTTTAGCTAGCTTCTCAGCCAAGATCTGAGTACTGAAAATGTTAGTCATCGTTCGTCTTCAATAAGGTTTCATATAAACAGACGATTTCTGCAGAAAAGTAAAAACAATTAGCGTTCAAGCAGTTTCTTGCAAGACTTATTCAAACTAGTAGATCAGGTGACGTACATTCAATAGTCAAAACTGCAGTATGTCAATCTTTCTTGCCTCTGGACAACACCTGAAAGAAAACGATCAATACCACAGCACTATGTTATTCGTTTTCATGTCATGAGCGTGAAAACAAGAAATTGTGAGATTAAAATAAAGAAGAAACGTACGCGTGCCTAAAAAAACAAAATAAAAAGAACAATAACATAAGGGTAGGCATAACATACAACATAACAGAAAAAAAATGGGATTCCTCAACTAGTACAAGGTCAGAACATGAATTCCTTGAGGCTTCTATTAAAAAGAACATGTCAAAATAAAAGGAGAAAGAAATCCTCTAACAACCTTATTCACTAAAGTTTCAGTTGCAAGCATGACAAAGGAATGAAATTCGAAATAATTAAACCAACCTCACTGAATCATTGGAGATCAATTTGTTTGCATATTTCTTTATTTGAAAAAAGTGACCAACGAATCTGCGACAGTTCCTGTGGAATGCTGGAGACAAACTACTCAATGGAGAGGTTGTATTCTCCTCATATCACTATCCTGATCAATTAGTCTACTTAGGATTCCATGGAAACGAAGATCCTGCATTACTTTGGAACGTAGTTTGCCTCTAAGAATCAACAATCCATAACTTGGGAATCGCATAAAAAATTGCTAAAAGCATCAAATAAAAGCAATATAGTGGATCATTACAATCAGCTCTTTCTGACACTGTTGGTGTAGGAAAAACTATTTCATACCTAGATCTCCGATCCAGTAACAACTTAGCAGCTTGAGTTTATTGAGAACTTTTCGCATGCACAGCAGCTGATAGGCAGGTAGAGTGAATGCTGTTGAGAGGTGGCTAATGACCGGGTGGAGGAATGGTTGTTTCTTCTTTTAGATTGATAAAGTACTGATCGAGACAAGCATGATTTTGGGGCATCCTTAGGATCTTTGTCCTTAGCCTTGATTTAATATCTTTACCATCGTCATGAAAAGATTCGAAAAGTGAGCAGGATCGGCAATAGTTTACCTAGCTACCATCTGTGAAAAACTTGATGCGGTGTAGTCAGTAGATATCTAGAATCCCCCATTTGCAGGGTTCCATATCTCGTACATGGTCCGCCAATCGCGGTTATCTCGTCTAGACCAGCTGCTCATAATAAAATATTACCTCTTGAAAGGTCCCCGACATTTTCCAATGAAAAAAAAATTCATCAAGTTTACTTAAATAGGCAATGTGAGCGTAGGAGATCCCAGAAAGACACGAGATTCAAATAAGATCATAGCAAGTCAAGATGCGCAGTTTCAGAGTGCAATCGGTTTTTCAGCTCCAAGGTAGTAGGATTTCTTCTCAGTTTAAGCAATCAGTCAATATCCCCTCATAGGCAATATACTGGTACAATAACACTTTAGGAGCCATCAATTCTCAACTCCAAAACAGATACGAGCCAAAATTAATCCCCTTCCAGTTTGTCATTAGCTTCACAAATCTACGGATGGGTTCCCAATTATAATTGTGCAGCTATAAGAGCACAATAATTTAGTACCTCCGGAATCACTGACAAATGAGGATCACCAAATTTCCTTACCTCCAGAATCACCCACAAATAAGGATCACCAAATTTCCAGCAAATTCTTCCCAAAACTCCAAAGATCAAAGAATGAATACTGGGCACCAACTCGTCAATTCAGTGGAGAATCAATTAATCCATATCAAAGAAACCTAACTATGAGAAATAGGAACCATGCGAATCAGCAACTCATCATCGCTAGTAGAATGACAGATTCCTTATAGGATTATCACCAGCCGGTAGTAATATTAATATAAACGTAACAAAGAAACAAGTCATGCCATCTTGTCATTATAACGGTTCCTTGGCCACTGCCTCCAAGTGATCCAACAAATATCAACAATGAGAAAAAACGCCTAAAACAGTAATTAACTGTAATCTAATCTACATCCAAAACAGCTTCATGATCCACGAGCTCCCTTCAAAAGGTGGTAGAACAGCGACCCTACTCCTATCCCTCGTTCAAAAAGTTTGACAAGTCTCACTCAGGGAGTTACCTCCATATGTCAAGGATCTAAAAAAAATAAAGTCGATGCTGATCACATTTTCGCCACCACGATTTTCAGGTCCCAACTCTATTAAATGTAGAGGTGTGCCATAACTAACTTCATGTAATCATCTTTTTTCATTCATTTTCACACAGTACCTCATAATATTTCCCATCTCATTTCTAAACATCCACAGACAGGTTCTCATAAAGGATAAACTATTTTATACATTAAACTCATGAATGCATTGATATTTAATATATAGCCACATCGGATCCTCAATTTTAAGGGATAAGTATGAACACAACATAGCTTATGATCATAGATGGCACATCTTCTGGAACACCACTGCAACCAGAAAACTCTAGTAAATCACTTCTTGAAAGATGATAAAGAGGTAGAAAAAGTAAATCAAGGCCAAAGGCATATGATTCAGGCACATAAATGTTGAATGTTACGAAATCTAACATCATCCACAACTACTGCATGTGGAATGTCATTATATATCACCTAAACGAAATCACACTCCTTTTCTCTACATTTCTCCAGGAACAACACCTCAAAATTTAAGAGATAGGATAATCTCCCTCTTTTCCTCTCATCACTTTCTGAAAGAAAGCATGCATCACATGCCTTCCTCTTGAAACGGCTCACATTATCTTCAGCTGAAAACCACGTTCAAGAAAGTTTGTTCATTAATCCTTATCCCCTCCTGTTTTATAGAATATTTATTAAGCAGCTTGAACGATGCCTCCCTTCGACCACATTATATTGCAGCTATTCGTACACTTTCACTCCCTTCGACCACTTGAATGATGCCTCATATCAAGAGCAAACAGTCAAATTTTCAGTTTTTGCGCAATCGATGGATTAGATTGTTTTCCTCACAACTCCATCAACTCAGAACTCTCATAACCAACTTTGCTTGGAAATCTTATCAAACCTAAATACCATCCCCCTTGGTTGCACCACACAATTATGTTGATGCTAATATTAGAGGTCAGAAACCCCTACCCCTAGAAAAAAAAATGCAACACATGTGGATGGAAAAAGCAGCCTTTTCTAACCTTGAGCATCTAGTAGTAGGATCGAGTTTTGAAAGGATAAATTATTTTTATCAACCCTAGTTGATTCTCTCCTTTGCCGTATTGCAGCACCTAGACAAGAACCATTTCATCAGTCCCATGCCCTTTATTTCATATTTTCCAACTTGAGCTTTCTGTACAGTTGGTAATAAGCAGAGGTACATAGTAAAAGGCGCAACTTTGTTCGCGTTTTTTATGAATTTATTTAGGGCACTTTTGACCAAAAGTGGGAACAAAGACACCAAATGCTTCAACTTATAACATTATCCTAAATCCGCCCTCAACTTGGCTACTCGAATGAAGTTTCTAAAAGAGGCCCTCTCACATTAAAAAAAAGGCACCCTCAACGATTGGTCTTAGCGCCAAAGGCGGATATCAACGGCAAAAAAATAAATAAGAGAAGAGAATGCATCAGCAAGCTTCGGGGGAACCTGCAACTCAACTTACAGCAGTGAGCTCAAGCCATGTAAACAACCACAAAATCACCGAGCAGTCAAAACACGTGAATTTAAGGCGAAACAAAAGCGACGGTATAACGATTAATTTTGGCAGGAACAAGCCAAATAAAGGAAACCAACCTGTGCCCCAGACAGCTCTACGCTTCCCCAGAGCAGACAACCGTAAACCCCAGCATTCGACCGACCAGGAGGCGGCCAGCCCCCCCTCAATCCCCCCAAACCCTAGGCCACCGCAGTGCGACCGGAGCTCAGCAAGATCAAAACCGACACCGAAAATCCCCGAATTCCTCCCCTCTCTCTCCCTCCCTGGCGTCCCTGCGTGCGATGAAGAGTGACGGAGAGGACCTGCCCCTTACTGGCTTCGTACGCCTTCCCGGAAGCAGGCTGACCAGCACAGTAGGTTCCGATTCGAGAGGGAGTTTCCGTTAAAGATTGGGGCCGCGTGGGCCGGATATCTCTTCGAGGCGCAGGGGGATGATAGGCGGGAAAGTAAATAAATAAATAAAATAAAATTTTTATACTCGAAACTCCGTCCACAGTCCGATGAACGAGTTTTCAGATTATTGACGCTGACTTTTCCTTTCAACGGTGAGTGATTACTCGTATGAGATTTTTGCTATCTATTTTCCGTATTTTCTACTTGGAAAAGTATTTTTTAATTCCTATTTACATTTTTTTTAAAAGTATCTAAAAAAGAAAGCCCGTCCTCATGTCACGCAAATGTGAGAAAATAAAATAAAATTGAGTTGACTATTTTTTTAATTCAACGATAAATGAGCTGCTGCGGATCATAAGACGACCCGGGCTGCCCTCCTGAGAACCCTCGTCGAGGTTGACCACGGGAGAAGGGATAAAGTAATTATAAAGTCAACTTCAACTTGCGTCAACGAGAGACTATTTGGTATGGAGCCATTTGCTCGCAATAAATGGGATTAAAAGGAAGGGATCTAAAGCCCGGAAATAATCAGGGCCCGGGCCCGAAAACCAAGACCCCCCCCCCCCCAAATGACTTCCCATCTCCTTCGGGCTTTCTCCAGAACGCATTCTACTGGGTTTACATGAAAAAATAAAATCGAGCAAGGGTTTAATGAAAGTTTTCCATGACAGAATGAAGATGGGTTACTATATATATATATATATATATCACATCAGAGATATTATTCTGGATGAAAAGAACTATTGACAGATCGCCCACAGCAAGGAAGGGAGCCTTCGCTGAAGGAGAAACCATCACAGGCTGATGAACTTCCTGTGCAGGTGCGCCGCAGAGGAGGAGGAGTGGCTGCCACCTCCATTCTCATGGTCATGGAAGATGAAGGTCAGCACGCCGACCGCGCACAGCACCGAGCCCACAAGGAGCTTGTCATGGCGCTCCACCCAGTGGAACTTGAGCTGGCTGGCGCCATAGAAGGAAAGGGCCACCAGCGAGGTCATGACAGTGATTGTGCTGCAAAAATGAAGGGGATATCCAGTCAGGCTTTTGATCATCCCAAATGGATCATACTGATCTTAAAGAAAAAACTCTATGTATGTTCAGAGACAATTGGTGGGCATTGGGGAATGGTGAAAGAGAAATAATGTTTGGAAACAATGAGCCGCATTGCCCTTTGTGTGGTATGGAATTTCTATTATTGGGAATCGAAGCTCAAGATAGCTGAGATTTTATGCAGATGTTGACCAAAACACAGTATCTCGAGAATGAGCGGCGGATTCCTGTCTGGATAAGAGTCAGCATATCCTATCTGATTCAGGAAATTGAGGAGCCCAGTTGCCTCTCGATAGTTTTTTTAAATGGGCCACAAGCAGCGGATTGTTCTTGGCTCATACCTGGTTTTGCCAATTCTCAGACAAGCTAACCCAGTCCGGGCGGCCCAGATCGCTAGACGAACATGGTTTATTGAATGAACCAATATGGGTGATACAATCCCTGTCCCAATAAGGCTTGAGCATGATTGAATCAGCTACTAGTCTGATATCAATACCTTGGTTCACATTTCTGGAAATGGGCTGAAGAATATTAGGTAGCTGAACTAGGAAAGCTTCTTTTAGGAAGTGAGGCCCTAAGCTCAGTAACCATGGGCACCAAGTCTGGGTGAAGGGAATGCACGGGCTACTAGCAAGTACCACAGAAAATCTACAAAGAGCGCTCAGGTTCACGCCATCCAAAAATAAATTAAAAAATAAATTATATGGCAGCATTTGCCCAGATATTCTCAGTAAACTTACAAAATATACTTGTAGGATATAGAAAATGAGGCTGATAAACTATCGGAAGAACTCGGAGAAAATGAAATTCAAAGCTTATACCATTGACGTGCAGTATAACGCATGTTTGAATACCTGAAGAGCAGCACTATGATAGCAAGCGCTATCATGGAGGATGAATTTCCAACTGCAAGGAACACAGGAAGTGTCGTCGCACAGGGAGATAAAGCTGGCACGAGCACAAGACCAGCCACAGCCATCTTCTCCATGGGGTGGCCATGAGAGTGGCTGTGACCTCCCTTTCCGAATGCAAATAACAGAATGTAACTTCCACCGAGAGCTAGAAGCAACAAGGAAGCAAGCCTGTGAACTGTTTCTTCACCAGCGATGGTAGTAGCCATGGTGACGGCAGTGATACCCAGGAGTGATGTAGAAATCACATGAAGAACAGCACCAAATGCAGCTGCAGGATAAGTACAGAGAGAGGTCAGCACGTCTTTCATAATAACGGACATTCATTTATTTTTATAGAATTTCTTAGTTTGCTCCTACAACATCCACATCTCAGACATGGAACGAGGTAGAATAGAAACCAAAAACTGTATGAAACTAAAGGCAAAACAAAGAGAGCGTTATTTGTCTAGAAAAAGAGACTTCCCCAACAACTACGGAAACAGCGAACTGGAACGCCCATCCTTCAGATTTCCAACCATTCAAAAGGTAGAGTGTTTGAAGTGAATCTTGGCCCCCCTTAACCAGGTTTCCAAGGGCTCTTCTCACCTAATGAGAAATATCATAATGAACAAAATGTGCCTTCCGAAACTCCAACGTGACAGCAAAACAAGGAATGCTCTACTCCCCTGCTAGTTATGACAGCTACTTCGCATTTATTTCCAACTTATTACAAGCATCCAAAATTACTGGCACCTGTCCTACCATATCCAATGTCCGGATAGTAATAATCCAAGAAGAAAATGCAGTGCAAAGAAACTAACGCTGAAAACTCAAGGTAAGTAAACCTTATTGATATTCTTTTGCTAAATTCAGGCTCCAATCTAGTTATTACTATGGAGAGGGATCAAATCTCGCGTAGTTGCATATATGAACAAAAGTTAAAAGATAGCGCTCAAATGAGCACTCCAACACCCAAAAGAACTCTCCAACACTCAACCGAACTCTCCTTCATGTTGTCCAATAGAGTGTCATTCGGAAGGAGAAGCTACTCAAGTCATGTCAATCATTCATGTTGATCAGAAAGCAATGAAGAGATTTTATCCGATGTCTTCATTATTTTCTGGCATTGCAAGCCCTTTCCCTAACTACGATTTCAGATGAAAAATTAAATTTTAAGACTAGTGCTCTGAATTTCTAACTAGACTAAAAGTTATTGATAGTATAATGCGAGGTTTTATCCAATTTTTAGCGGCAGATCTCTTCTATGGACATGACAAGTAAATCTATGAACAGCTGAGATAGGCAAATATCCATTCTTAAAATAAAATATTATACTGAATGAAGCTATAAACATGCTGACACTTTTAAATTAAGAATCGTGAAAGAGTTGCTAAGTGCAAGAAGATTTCAATTAAAGGAGACATTTCAAGATTCGAAAGATACGATTGAATTTGCCATGGGTTGTATTTCTGGTATCAACAAATGGTAATGGGCATGCGTCTCCAGTATCTGCCTCCCAAATCACGACAGCCGGATCCGCCGACATACGCAGCGCTCCTGAATTCTTCATTCCACACCCCAACCCCAAAACGAGGAGAAAAACAAGAGAACTCACTGACGAGTAGTGTCCTAGAGAGCGTCCACTTCTGCGCGCGCCCAACAATAGAGAAGGGGAGCCAATGCGTGGGGATGAAAGAGTGAAGCAGCGATACCGTCGCTATCCCCCCAATCGTGGACAGATCCACGGCAGTCAAGTCCTCCATCTCCCGCAACTCGCACGAAAAGACAATCTACACCCCTCCAAGCGAGATCCCTCTCATCACGGAGACGATCCACACGATCCCTGGCGTCCCCGGGGTCGCATTTGGCTTTCTAGGGTTCCAACCAGACACGGAGGCGATCACTGGCTTCCACGTTGAGGAGAGTTTCTTCCACCAACCTCACCAGGCAAGTGGTAGAGAGGTTCAGATGTGTTTTAAGTGGGCCGCAAAGCCTGACTCGCCAACGTCCACGTGCCTCTGTTTTCATTCCTCATCGTACGGACTCTATACACGTCGATTCGTACTTATACACCTGTCTCCACGATTTAAATGGGCCTGATGGGCTGCCAGCTCAACTCCATCCTTAATCTTTGAGCTTCTAAATTTGGTTTCTATTGTTTTTAGTCCCCAAAAATAATATTCATATTAATAAAACCCAACGTCACTTTTTTTAAAAAACTATATCACAAAGTTCTCGATTATTGCGTTTTTGCCCTCAAATCAACTCGGTGGAACACACGATGTTTCAAACCCATTGTCCATTTAGGAAATTATAGAAGTTGGAAAGTAAAAAAAGTCGTCCACTTTGATTTCGCATTAGTGACTTTCTCTCGGGCTTGACAAGATCCCTCTCACTGGCACAAATATGATGAGAGAAAGACAGAGAGAGAGAGAGAGAGAGAGAGAGAGAGAGAGAGAGAGAGAGAGAGAGAAACTACGAGGCGAGAAATGGGCATAATTCCCCCGATTATTAGGCTCACCGACGTGTTATTAAGTCTATTTTTTATTAATTATGCATTTTATTAGAAGATTTTAAAAATATATTTATTGCAAAATAAAAGGCAGCCGTGTTTTTTATATTATATATATAAAAAAGATCCCCCAAAATTGTGGTATGATTTGACGATGAAACGCTTTAATTATGAGCAGCATATTTATTTTTAAAAAATAAAAGGCATGAAGAGGGAATCGGCTGCCCGTCGACGGTGTCCAACTGCCGGTCAATGTTGACCAAGGGGAGCTCCACCGGTGGTGGTTCGGCGCCCGCATTGAATCATCTCTGGTTGGTTCGCAGTTGATGTGTGGCGGCGGAGGTCAACAGCCCTGTAGACACAGGTAGGTGACCGAACCCCGTGTTAAGATTGGCGCAGCCGCCGCCTGTTTGACCCTACTCACTGCCCCGTGTTTAGGTAGGTCAACGTATCTAAACAATTCTGACAGCGTAAAGCTCGTGCCCGTTTGACCCCTCCATCTCTGCCTCACGTCGGCATCTTCCTGCCGAAAGACTCCATTTTTGGATCACTACTCGAGGGAGAGCCATAGATGGGATTCACCGGGTCGCCTAGTCTGGATCTTCTTCTCTGGATTGTTTCCATTTCTGGAGCTTCTTTTTTCCTGCACAGATCCGTTTCAAACCCAACTCGAGGGAGAGACATGGAGGGGAGATTCCGACAGAAAGTCAACTCCCATATTTGGATTGTGCTCTTCTGCTGCTGGAGATCCATTTTCGTGACATAACCGTCAGTAAAATAAAGCCCAGAGATTTATTCATTCCCGTGCAAGAAGGACAACAACAGGGGGTCGTGGAAAACAGGAGCCGAGTGGCGGCGCTGACAGGTCAACCCAGAAGAGGGATCTATCTTGGTCGAAAGGCCGGCTTGCTTGCTTACTTAGTTACTTACCATAGGAGGAGGGTGAAGATCTTTCAGAAGCTGTTCATCTCCAGCAGATAAATACGCCTCCTGATGAGAGCCCTGACAGCGGCTGCGAGGGGGCCGTCGAAGGCCCGAGAGATGAAGGACTCGCCCCCTCTCCTGGCGGCGGCGCCGCCGCCGCCGCCGTCCGGCGAGGGCCTGATCGCCACCAGGGTGGCTCCCTGCATGGCCATGCCGCCGGGGAGCTCCAAGTAGGAGGCGTACCTGAGCTTGAGGAGAGAAGCGGGCACCTGAGTCCTGTTAGCAGAAGCAGAGGCTTCCAATGGCCGCTCTCTGAACTCCCTCAGTTGCTCCTCCTCCATGGTCAGCGTTCCCTGACCTTCTGCATCGATCACAACCAGGCTCCTCAGATTCGGGTGCTCCTTGATGATCTGCCGGAGAAGATAGTGCCTCGTGGAGGCGGCGATGAGGGAGCTTATCGTCCACACTACCCGCAGCTTCAGCCCGCCGTTCGTGTAGAAGGAATCGGGGATGCTGCCGTCGTCTTCTTCATCTTCTTCTCCTTCCTCGTCGCCAGAGGTAGCGGCGGCGTGGCGGAGGCGGGTGCCGCCGAGGATGACGCAGCTGTGGAGGGAGCTGCCGAACTCGGCGCGCCACCGGAGGAGAACGCCGTCGTCGGTGGCGACGTCGCCGGCGGGGAGCTCGATGAGGAGGTTCCTGACGTCGGAGAAGCTGCGGAGGACCTGGGCCGGGGAATGGTGAGCCAGCTGAGGGAGGAGGGGCTTGAGGCCGAGGTTGGAGGTCCTGAGGCTGTGGAAGGGCTTGAGGATGGAGAGGATGACGAGCTTCAGGATGTGGGAGAGGAAGTTGCAGGGTTTCAGAGAGGAGGAAAAGGAGGAGGAGGAGGAGGAAGAGGAGTTGAGGGCATCGTCGCCGTCGCCGTCGACGGCGACCACCCGGTCGATCTTGACGTAGAGGTCCTGGACGAGGGGGACGAGGGCGTTGAAGCGCCTGCACACAGCCCTGCACTGGCCGAGGGAGCGGACGTCGGAGACCTTGTTGAGGACGATAAGGACGATGGAATCGGGGATTCTGTCGAACTGATCGGGGAAGAGGAATGGATCGGCATGGATGCGGGCCATGTTCGGAGAAGTTGCAGAGAGCTCTGAACGAGAAGAGGAGAGGGAAATCCGGTGGAGGTTGCGACGAGGTCGAATTCTCTGTTCTCTAGGGTTTTGAATGGGATCAGATGGAAGACATGCCGGGAGAGGTGGACGGACGAACGCTGGAATTGCAGAGAAATCTTGGAGGGCTCCTCCGCCGCCGGCGGTGCGGGTCAAGCTGCAGGGCGATCAAGACGATCAGGAAGAAGACAGGAATAGAGAAGAGATTCATCCTGTTCTCCGTACCATCTTGAAGATTGTACTGAGAACAGGACGAATAGAGAAGAGATTCATCCACAAATCCTCGGATCATGAGGGTTTTCTTCTGAGATCGACGGTTTCAGATCTACCCGCTCTAATCGCCGGTAGTTACTCCTGGTTCGATCCCAAGTCGAGAAGGACCTCCCGATTATTGATTACAAAATAATATATTCATTCCATCGGGAATGAGGAAACAAATCCATATCGGAAGATGAACAGCAGAACAAAAAAGTTGCAGACCGATGCGAATCGAAGCCAAAACCCTACCTGTGGATGACGAATCCCTCAGGCCTCCCGGCGACTTCCACCTAGAGAACGCCAGCTCGATCCCTCCGAAGAACGACGACGACTCCTGAACAAGAGATTCAACTCTGTTACTTAATGGTCGCCCCAGATCAGGAGCTCCACCCTGAGAAGGAAGAAAGAAAATTACGCGGACAATCCTCCTACCTTCCGAGAATCACCCCTCCGATTTCCAAAAACGGGATCAGGAAACCGGCCGACGGAGCACGAGTCCAAAAACAGGACTCCCAAATCACCGCCGACGATCGCTGGCGCTCTGACCCCCCCCCCCCCCCCGAGGCAAAGAGCATCGACCTCCTTGCCGGAAGCGGCCACGCGAAGATGCTTCAGCACCCCTTCCCCCCTTCCTCGAGAAGAAGCGCCATCAATGCCGGAAGAATTGGAACCAGGAAGAAGCCCACCACCCCCAGAGGAAGAGCAACTAGCCGAGGAATCAGCTCGTCGCAGAAGAATCAGGGTTTCATACCTCCTCTCTCTCTCTCTCTCTCTCTCTCTTCCTCCACACACGACTTTCCTTTTTCCTCGGAAACGCTCTTCCTCTTCTATACCAGACGAGCTAGAAACGTGGCGACATCTAGGGCGGCGACGTGGACATATTCCCGCGAAGAAAAAAAAAAAATCCTTACGTGAGGGTTTTCTCGCAAATTTCCCTCGTTGACATTCAATATTCTGGGGATAATTCCAATAAAGGCCAAAAAAAATCCAATTAATCACTTCTTCGGTGATGGACCGGTTACAACTCGCCGATCGTACGGCAGAGATCGAACCCAAGAAACAGTGGGTTTTGATGCTTTTTTCCAGTAGGGACCCTCTTTCCACAGAAATTACAAATCTGCCCTGTAAAAATACTCACCAAGGCAGAGTCAACGGAGAAGGAAGCGAATCACATATCTATGTACTCCCCGGCCTGAACGATCCTCATCAGCTCCCTGAGGTTGGGTAAGACGTGTCTCGGCCCCAGGCTTTCCTCTCCGATGCCATTGAGAAGCTGCTCTATGTCCTGCGCACCACACACAAACATGAACACAGAGAGAGAGAGAGAAGAGAGAGAAAGAGATATCTATATATATAGATATATATAGAAAGAGAGAGAAGGAGAGAGAGAGAGAGAGAGAGTCTGACCAAATCCCTTCATAGGGATCTCTGTAAATCTCAGATGAAAATCGGAGTCAGAGATGAACAATGAAAGAAGTTTCTAGTGATGGGGGGTATTAACGGAGAATGGGGAGCATCAGATGGCTCCGTTAAAATTTATGGCTCATGGGTCTAGTAAAATATAGACTGGGCACCCCTGGTTTAAAGGACAACAGGATGAATTGACCCAGACGACCTATTGGCAGCGTTGACTCAGTGATCCAGAACTTACTACAGAGACAATTGTCAACGTCTCAGTGGCCCTTTTTACCAAGGGGTCAAACCAAAACTATCAGCATCCATCAATCCCTCTCTCTCTCTCTCTCTCTAGGACCACCAGTCGCTAACTATACAAATGAGCACCATTACTGCTCATAAGCCTAAAAAATTTAAATAAACGAAGAAAACAATCAAAATGAGCAGAAATTTTCTCTTGCGATTATCGTCAGAAGAACTAACCTTGTTCAGCAAGAACACGGCGTAAGCTGCTCTCGTGCTGTCCTGGCCCTCCAAGAAGAGAGGAAACTCCATGGGCTTTGGGGCGGCGCTTGATGTGGGATTGTAGGCCAAGCTGGGTGATGTGGGCTCAATAGAAGGAGCGTAATCATGAACATATGAGCGCGAGCCGCCAAATCTCAAAGGGTACCGCAAGGGCACGTCTAGGTAAGCAGCAATGAGCAAAACTGCCTGAAAAAGGCCCAATCAATAATAAGAAGCATTGTCTGAAAGAAGCTCATCCAATCTGCTTGCCTGATAATATGTGAGCGTGTATGATGGAATTGCTATTTTAGGGACTCACATGAGCAATGTAACCCAGAGCAGTTGCAGACCTCTGGAGCTCCTTTTTATCGGGAAAGAAGCTCGTTTTCTTTAGAAAGGTACTGGGTAGTTGCAGGCCTAAGATGGAAAGTGAGGACGACCTCTGAGAGGATCTTGATGCATCTGAGGGAGGCGAGCCGGCACGATCTCCTGAAAATTCCCATCTCTCTCATTAGATAGCTCGAGATTTCATAAAACAAGGGGATTTTATGGATAGCGTCAGGATTTGACCGATGAAGAAATAATAAAAAAAAGTCAACTCAGAGGCATAGATGATGTTACTTGACATGATGGAAGTTATTTAAGAGGAAATTCTACCACATACTGGATTAATTTTGCATGTCAAATCTCACGAATTTATATTTTTTAAAGTATATTATATATGTTTTCACACGAAAATTTCCTTATTCAAAAAAATATAAGATCTGATTTGGGGAAAAAAAAGTTTACCAATACCCAAATCCATACTCAAAGTCTCTGAGACTTGAAGCTAAATTTATGTAAAATTTTGTTCTTCATTTTTAGGATTTGAAATAAGAAAGAGAAAAAAAAAGGTAGAAAAAATAATAGATGGATATATAGATATACAGTGAGAAAGGAATACTTGATTTGCTGCTGTTCGCATCAAAGATCTCTCGAGATGATTGCTTCATTGATTCCATCACAGGATAAATGGCTGAAACTTGTGCCACCATGTACTGTTGCCTCGCATGAACCATTCTCTGCAGGTTGCGAAGATGTCCATGGCCTCTTTGCCCAGCTAACAACCTATTTGCCTCCTGCGCTAGCAGTTGAATAGTCAACGCGTGGCCATTGACTGCCTCCATCATTTGCATCAGTAATTTATTATTTAATACTGGAGATCAACATGTGAATCTATGAAAATTTATGAGAATTAAGGCACCTAAAGAACTTCGCGACAAAAAATTTAATATTCTGGACTGTTTAAGTCGCAGAATAAACGAATGATTAAAGAAATAAGTAATACTCAGAGAACATGATAATCAAGCTCCTGTATATTCTATGTTAATTGAAAAATGGCTAAGAAAAGGCAAAAAACAAGGTTAAAGAACTTCACTCTAGCACCATTTAGATAGTATCACTCTCATTCCTCAAAGTTCCTCACCTGGATCCTAAGGAATAAAAGAAAACGGCTATTTTACTGCCTGTAATAACACAGCAGCTCGATGGAAGACCCATTGTCCATATGAAAATTCTCTACCCTGTTCTCGCCATACTACTCAACACATCATTAACAGCCTCCATACGACAGGGTCTGAGCCATTCTCCACATTTGTCAAATCATCAGGAGCTCGAAGAGAAGTCATCAGAAGATGTGTTGATGATATCTTTAACCTTTTAGAGAACATTAGAAACACTAAACGTAGCATTATGGAATAGTCTAAGGATTTACCGCAATAAAGTCCTACTTTTAGCTTAAAGGTAATTTCTGAACTGATTTCTTCCCATCAATTCTTACACAACCATAGGGTATGTAATTAACGAAGAAATCTCAGAACTATTGAGAGGAAAGTTTATAGTCAAAAGCAGAAAATAATATATATTTTTTTGAAATAGAGAAAACCATGGTACAGACAGAAGCCATGTGTATCAGAATCAAGAAGATTAGTTCGTTTGATCCCTAGCACTTCTAACCAGATAAATTAACAATAAATAAGAGCTGAAAATCTTGAAGAAAAAGTTCCTTTTGAACAATGTCAGGTAATTAATATAATCCTGATAATCCTTTTCTCTAAAGAAAGAAATTCCTTAATTACAGAAGAAAAAGGTTCATACGACACAGCTGTCAGTCCACTGATCCGCATGATAACTGCAGATTTGCATTTTATGGGGTAACCAGCCATGAAAAACTTTTCCTTTAAAAAAGGAAAGAAATTCCATTAAAAAAGTCATCAATCTTACAATACACTCTGGGATCACCTCTCCAATGATAACCATGAATTTGGATTTTAGGGGGGTCAAACCTCCCTCACCACGTCCAATTTGAAGGTGATCCTCTTGCTTCAGTAAGCTAAAAATACGATGAAGGCTTTTAACATGACGAAATCTTATAGAAGGTTGGCAACAATCATAAGACTAAGCCGATAATCATTGACAAAAAAGTTCGTTATATTACTGGTTGACTCAAGTTGATGGATAAGCATTTTTGATGTGATAATTTACGGGTAATCATCTAAAAACACAAGCACTCATTAAAACGTCTTGCTTCTCAAAGGGAGATATATAAACGAACATGATCATAGCTAAACAAAAAAACAATGTAATGAAGAAAAATATATATATTCAGAAGTGCAAACTGGCTAATACAATTGTGTTATTCATACTACGGATAAATAAAAAATGTTTCAATAGAGCATGTTTTTGCAATATATATGAAAATAACGCCAGTAACATCCACCTACCTGCATTTGTTGATGGGCACCGGAGAGACTCTTGCTAGCAAACAGCAGACTTCTGATATTATTGCAAAGTAGATCCCTTTGGATTTTGGCATGGTCTGAACTCCTTTTTGAACGCAGGAGAAGATCACCCATCACTAGTTTCCGATCTTCCAGTTTCTGCCTCTTCTCTTCTATTTCATTGGATTGATTTAGATATTCATTTCTTTCCTGTCACCAAACACATCACGGTGTTATGAAGAGGAGAAAAAACAAGAAGGAAAGGTGGCAGAAAGCCCGGGTACAGATGCTTCTCTGAGCACCACTTCGTAGAGGATATAAAACAACATCAGCATCAAACATGATACAAAATCCGATTCTTAAAAATCAGCGCGCAGCGTGACTGCAGTTCTTTGGCTCCAATTTTCACGTACCTGGATTACGGAAATTCGATTTTCTACCACACTGCGAGAGGATCGAGCACAGATCACCGACGTGTCGGATAGTAGATCCTCCAGGAGTGAAAAAATGTTCAAAAACTTTATACGAAAAAAAGAAGGTAACACCCAATTACCAGTTTATTCGCACCGAAGGATTAAAGCAGATGAAGCTCGACTCAAAAGGCGACGAGGAAGCAAGAGGAGTCGAATTTCGGTCCCCAGACTTGAAATTTTCAATGACCGAAACCGAGGATCAGAGGAGTCAGGCGGGCGCCAAAATCCCTGAACCCGCCCGCGAATCCGTTCGGCTTATACCTTAATGACCGATTCCAGCTTCAGCGCCAAAGCCTCCTTCCTCTCCTTGGCCTTCCTGAGAGCAGAGGAAAGGCTCCACAGGCGGGCGAGCTCCTGCTGCAGGTCCTCCCACTCGATGACCTTCAACCCGGAGTCGGAACACCCCGCCCCCTCCTCACCACTAGGATCCGTCCGCGACGCCACCATCATTGCTCCGAGATCCGATGCGTCTTGGCCGCGGACTTGGGAACCGTTCGCCGGATGGTCCCATATCTCCAGAAGCCCGCAAGGGAACTCCGCTTCTCCCGGCTCATCGGCGGCGATCTACGGCCGAACCCAGCTCGGAAATTCCCGTGGACGGAGGAAGCCCGGCGGTGCCCCGGTGGAGCGAGGATCTCCCCCTCCGGCGGAGAACGAGAAAGCCGGTAGCAGTCCCTCGTTCTTCCTTTCTGCCTCCTCTTACACCTCCCCCCCTACATTCGTTCTCGTAATATAATACAAACATGGTATTATGAATAGATACTTTATCTTTCTTGGGTTTTTATGAAAATATACATATGCTGCGCTGTCCATATTAAGCGAAGCCAAGCGAGGCAAAGCGCAAGTGATCATATTTTGGGCAGCTTACTTGGCAACTTCAATAGCCCTAACCGGGAGAGAGAGAGAGAGAGAAAGAGAGAGAGAGAGAGAGAGAGAGAGAGAGAGGGGGGCTTAATGGCGACTAACCAAGGAAGCGTGCCTAAGATTTAGCCAACCCCTACGCACTTGCTCTTCTAAATCCTGCGATCATCCCGACTACAGACTAATAATAGATTCGTGTAACCCCACACAGCCCTCTAATGCTCGAGCCCCGACTAACCAGTCCAGAAGCCCATAAGCCCATAAAGCCCATAAAGCCCATAAAGCCCATAAAGCCCATAAAGCCCATAAAGCCCATTCAGCACCATCTTTCAAAAGAGCTAGAGCAGTCAAAAAAAAAAGAAAAAAAAAAGAAAAAAAAAAGAGCTTGTTCTCCAGGGTTAATCCTTCAGATAGTTTTGCTGGTTGCATCGCCGGCCAAGACCGGAAGGAACCCAGCCCTGCCACATCCGTACATCCTTCGAGCTCTGAAGGCCGCCACTCTGTTCTGGGTTAGAAAAATCCGAATGTAGAAATCAAAACCCTAGTTATTTCATTCATGAGCAAGAAGAAGAACCCATACAGAGAAACGAAGAAGATGGAGACATGCAGTGCCCTGGACAAGACCCAGACCCCTACTGAACAACAATCAAACAAGGAATCAAGTCCAGGCGAATCAATCGCAGTGCAGGAGAAAGAAAAGGAGTAGAAGCTAATCCGCAGGGAGAAAAACGAGGAAGCACAGGGCACTTTCGATGTTCGGGCCTTGAAATCCCACAGATTCAGCGGGGGTGGAGGTTCAGAGGCAGAGGAAGGTTGTTCTCGTCGAAGGCGTCCATGGCATCTGGCCCCAGGCAGAAGTGATCTCTGGAGTTGCCGTCACACAGAAGTGAGAGGAGAAAATCATCACCATCGGAGGGATCAGGCTGAGCCGGCTCGTGCACAGCTAAAGGGACTGCACCGGCGTTGACTTCCGACCTGAAATTCGAATCTGGAAGGGAAGAAAACCGGGCATTCATGGTGTGACGATCAGAGGAGAAACAGAGAGAAAAAAAATAAAATGGAAGAAGACTCCTCACCATCCAACGGGCTCTCGCTGGTAGAGGGGAGGAGTGGAGACATAAGAGAAGCAGCCGAGGAGTCAAACGAAGAAATTGGGTCAGCAGAGCGCCCCCCCAAGTTGGTCCTGCAAGCGTTGACCGGATCAACGAGCGATGTGGTCGAATTATATGGGATCATCTCCGCTGCTCTATTTCTTCCAGAGGTCAATTCTGCCTGGAGAAGCAGATCTTCTAAAAGACCGTTGTTTCGGGTTGATACCATCTCGGGAGAGTCCACATAGTCATCTGGCACCTCAAGAGAAGCTGAAGAAGACCTGGGCCAACTGCCGAGCAGAGGTTCCGAATATTGGAGTGAAGGGAGCTCCGACTTCTCAGCCACATTCTGTGTCTGGGAAGCAGAGAAGTTGACAACTGGGTAGACGCCGGATAAACCGGGCTCCACGTCAGCTAGGGCCACAGACTTTCCTCGGCCAGGATCAGGATCATGAGGAAAGTCCCTGCTCAGAGGCCGATACATTCTTTCTTGTAAAGAAAACTGCTCATATGTGGGCGTCCCGTAGGTGGCATTGGCGTCAACGAAGGGAAGGACCGTCTCTGACCCTGGAAGATACTTGAGAAGATCCCCTGCTTGGGTTGTGAAGCCGCTGGTATGATATCCCAACCCTTGGTTATTAAGCATATTACCGAAGGAACTATCAAGAACTTGGGATGTAAATGGCACAGACTCCGAGTTGACTTTAAACCTCTCAAATATAGAATCACCGAAACCCTGACTTCGCTGTTGCGAGAGCTCATTGGTCTGCATATTTCCCTGCCTGGTTTGAGTAAGGTTGGGAGGGTAAATAGGCAAGCCGGCCCGTTGGCGCCTCTTTAACCGGGTGTTCCAAAAGTTCTTGATCTCGTTGTCAGTTCTCCCGGGAAGCTGGAGAGTATGAGCATGCGACTCAGAAAATTGCACAATACCACGAATAGAAACCCGAATTCAGCGGGAAGATAATGCTGATAAAATAGATTCGTGAATAACAAAAAAATAAAAAAAATAAAAAAATACAGCATATTCGTACGAGCAGAAATCTGATGAGACCGCAGAATTTAATGCTGAAAATCATTTTGAAACATAAAGATCAGAATGCCTTTGAAACTATGCTAAATCATACAACGCTTGTTAAAATAAAGATCAATAAAATTCCAACATGATTTCAAATCCATGAACCTCCTTTATCTATGATTTCAACATCAATAACAATGAGATTTCAACATAACTTAGAGAACCAAGTAATCTGTGGTAATGATAATTGCATAATGCACAAATTCACATCTAGAAATGTAATCACACGCTCAATTACTAGTGACACTCTATGCTTGCATGTTGGAGGCCAAAAATGCAACCACCCAGGAGATTAATTGTCCTTCTTTCCCTATGCTTACCCTTCTTTCCCCAACTGGTCCTTTTGAGGAGTTTAGTTGCAAGGAATAAGAGACGCAAAAATGTATCCCTATCATGACGCGAAATGCCTCAATCTTGTGACAACAGGGTGAAAGGAATGCGATAGACTGACCGATAGGATTATCACTAGGTCAAGAGTACAGACTGATGGAATAGCCGTCGATGATTCAAGCTACAGAACCAATATTTCTGATCCTGAAAAGGTCAAGACCAAATTAGAAAATACAGGTTTTATTCTCTTTACTTATCCCTCCTCCAAATGCCACACATTCACATCTAGCAGGGGGTGGGTGAAGCTTCAAACAGCCAATAGCCAAGATGCTCTCAATATAGAATCTAATTAATATGCGCTACTGTCCCTGGGGACGACAGGACAAAGGGAAAAATAACCATTGCCTTGAAATTTCAACATCTGAGAAGCGCGAGATATATGATTTTTTCACGAAATATTGTGGGATCAATTAAGGAAATATTAAAGATCATCGATTAACTCTTCACGCTCTTAAATAGCATTCGATTTTCCAACTGATTAGTCATTCCTCGCACTGCGACAGGCACTTCCATCATAAAATAAAATAATGGTGAAAAATGACAAATATTAGTTTTGAAATAAATATGAAATGGGAAGTTTGACTTACATGCGTGGCAATCCTAGCCCATTTATTCCCCATTTTAAAATGAAGCTCAACAATCAGCTGCTCCTCCTCTTCAGAAAAAGGACCTTTCTTTAAATTCGGTCTCAGATGATTTGTCCACCGCAATCGACAGCTTTTGCCACATCGCAATAGACCAGTATGTTTTTGAACAGCATTCCAATTCCCTTCACCGTGCTTTTTAACATGGTCCAACAAAATTTCATCTTCAGCAGAGGTCCAGGGCCCCTTCTTCAGATTTCCGTCTCCTCCAGATATTGATCCTCCTGAGCTGCTTTCATCCATAGAATTTGACTCAGATTGATGCTTCAAAGCCACGCTGCCATTGTCACTGTCAGTTGACATGTGACTCATTTCCTAGGATAACACGAGTTTTCAGTTGGCTGAGAAAGTGGCATGGGAGAACCAAAATAACAAAAGGAAATGAAAAACGCAATAGAAAACATAAACGTGATGAAACGAGACAAAGATGTCACACCAGATAGGGGGAAGTCAAAAATCTCCATAACTAAAAACATAAGTGTTTTTTTAACAAATAAACAGAAAAATATTTGGATTATCCTGGAACAGACTCAAGCTGTACTCTTCTCGGTAGAAGAAGACGAGGCCCTGTTATAGCCATTGACCTGGGGAGTGAATGAATCGGGCCCCCTCACTTTTTTACAGAAATGAGGAAACACAGACAGAGAAGCTAGGAAAAGATGAATCTCGTGAATCGTTAACGAGGTTTCCTGTAAGAAAACTCAATTCTGTGCTAAGTGCGCAACACAGACCACGACCCTAGCATATCATTTCCAGTGAAACCATTTATTTGACCACATCTCTTTCAGCACCAAGACACAACTTTTCAGAAAGGAAGATGGTATATTAGTTAACATCCTTGCCATGAGGGAATAAATAAATAAATCAGGCCCTTCTTCTTAATTACAAACCTAGTCAACAACAGCGAATATATCATTTTGAAACTGGATGGCACCACAGTCCATATGAATATATGACACAGGTATAAAACTTCACTGAGACTTACAACTTTTCTCTCTAGACTGAATTAAAGTCACCTTATTTTCCAAAGTGACAAAAATACAGTCCAGCAGGCAAAAGGACGGCCATAACTCCCACATCCTAAAAACAATCTGGCCACCTTGGAAAGAGGTACTAGACACCGTGGATCACGTGAAGCATAGCAAAAGAATGGATAAAATTAGCAGGAAAAATAGAGCAACCGTAATCTGGTCGTACGGTCGTACGGTGCGTCAAAGATTCATCAAGATTTGAATCTAATAATAAACCACCGCACTAGAAAGTGAAACTGAAAAAAAAAAGGGTGAAAGAACCGAAGAGTTGAGGAGAAGGCAAAACGCCCGGAAAGCGGCGGCCAGAAGGAAAACCTCAGCTCGGTTTCCACAAACAATTGCCAAAACTAAGAGAATGTTCCTCCAACCAGACCAAAATGTTCGAAATTCCAACAGATCAAGATCTCGAAAGGATTAGCATGGCGACCCCAAAGCGTACCAAGACTTTCGAAAGTACTCGGAAGAGGGCAAGATACCAATGACTCTATGACTGAAACTACGGCTCAATTCACCTGAACCCGATCAGATCAATCCGACGGAGTTATAATAGAGACGCAGACAGACAAACACAAGCAGCGGCTAATGGGAACGGAATCCTGAAAATGGAGCAGGGAGAGGAGGAAAAGGGATCAGGCCACACCAACGGCCGAAACTCACACTTCAGCACAACAGCTAAAGAAGCTGCGAATGCTGACTCAACTGAGCAACTCTACCGAGGGACAGAATGGTAGCCGGGAAGTTGAGGCAGGTACTACGGGCAGAGCGTCGGCCCCAATTGGTGAGACCTGAGAAACCCTAATTCGGCGACTTATCCCCCAGCGAAGAGATCGAAATGCGGAGAGGTGGCTACCTGACCGCGTATGTAGGAAGAAAGAGTGAGATAACCGGCACCATCCAAAGAAACCTTCGCTCTCTCTCTCTCTCTCTCTCTCTCTCTCTCTCTCCTCCCTCTCTCCGAGTAGGGAGGGAGAGAGAGTCTGAACACCTTCGGCAGAGCCGATCGATCAACCCCCCCTCCCCCGCTCTCCCTTCTCCTCTCCGCCAACTCTCCCCAGCTGCCTAATTTCTATATTTCCCGTTTTTTTAAAATGGGAAATTAGCGCCGTCATTTTTATTACCGCCCGAAAAAAACTTACTAAAATGAAACATGTGACGTTACTTCCACGTGCATAATGAAATTATCATTATTTGAATATTTATTTCTACTGATAAAGAAAATTAAATTAGCTTGAGCGTAACAGCACAGCCCGCAGTGGACGGGACGACGCGTCGTACTAAAATATCCACCACGCGATAATATTTGTACATGCAGACACAATTTCCCGCCGCCCAATCGACGAAACCTGTCCTTGAAGCACAATAAAATAAATCCTTTTCGTAGTGGGGTGTTTTATGCAAAAACAGCTGCAAGTATTTCTTCCCCGGAGGGGCGGCGGCTTCATCGGTGTGCCGGGTCACACGCGCCGCGTGAAACTCCGTCAATGGAGATCCGCACACGTCGGCGGGCGAGAAGGTGGGGGGACGACCGTCAGATGAAGATTAGGACGCGTCTTCAGTGATGACCGTCGATTTCCTCGCAGATGTTGGCAACGGCTTCCTTTTTTATCGCTTTTTGGAAAGCCGCCGGAATTATCTGCAATCCGAAAATCCTCAATTTTACTATAAATATTCGGGCCCAAAAGATTCATTTTAAATTTTACTTTTTAGTATTGCGTTCCTGAGAAATAAATAATTTGATATAAATTGAGAGAGAGAGAGAGAGAGAGGAAACGGGAGAGAGATCGAGTTAGATGAAGAGAGAGAGAGAGAGAGAGAGAGAGAGAAAAGAGGAGGGAGACCGAGATAGATAGATAGAGAGAGAGAGAAGAGATGGAGAAAAGAGACCGAGATAGATAGCTAGATAGAGAGGAGAGAGAGTGAGCGAGAGAGAGGAGATAGAGGAGAGAGAGAGAGATGATGACGAGGAAGGTGACGGCAGCGGTATGGCTACACTTGTCCGCATCGGGTAGGGAAAAATGTGCAGTTGCAAGCACAATGTGGTCGATATGTAAAAATATCTGAATTATCCTCTTCCGGAGGGAAAAGGATACACGTACAATTTATAAAAGTACTGAGGGTTTACACGCAAATCGATTCCGTTAAGTTAGTTGGTTGCTCGCTGCGAAGTGTCCACTGGGCCCCGCCGGGCCCGATTCGTCCGAAAGTGGCATTTTCCCTCGAGAGAAATGTTTAATTATTTACTCCCTTTTTATTATAAGATAACCAAAATCAGGAGTCGTCTCACACAACCAATCAGAAACGAAATGAGAAAATATTCGTAATTATGGGTACGATTTTACCCTAAAAAGAAAATCATACAGAAGCTGAATAATTTATTTTTCGTCATAAAAAACCCGGAATGATTTTAGAGGAAATATTAGTAATTAGTGCATGGGATCAGCTGCACGGGAGTCGATCTTCTTCTGGTCGTTGACTTGAGAGTAGAAAACATGAGAATGGCTCGAACTATGATAGAAAGAGGATCAAGATCACCCAATGTGCCGCAGAAGGTTAAAAATTTTCAGGTCATGCACAAGCATCTACCTGCATCACTTTCGCGATATCCTGTGAAAATACTTGGAAGACATTGAAACAATGAATATCATGGAGGATGATGATGTTGCACAGATTGCAGTCGGTTTGACAGACGCAGACAGATGTTGTGAATCCATGTTGCTGGAATGGACGGAGATAATGGGACAAGAGAAGAAACAATTCCGCAAAATTGTTTACTGGTTGATGGAGATGTAGACTCTCTTCTGTAGAATGTCTGTTCTTCTCCTAGAACTCGATCCTCGCTGCTATGAGTGCGTTCAGAGTGGAGCGAGCTGGCAACAAGATCTGGATATGGCAGAAGTAGATGAAGCTCTGGATGAACAAACTGTAACTGTATCTATGGCATTAGTAGAAGGATTAATGCTGAAGATTTTCTTGATTGATGGAGAGGTGTTGCAGGTGGACTAGGCTGCTTTCTCTTCAGGAGCACTCCCCTGTTTTAGTAATTCTTTGAACCTCTTCGCCACAAGCCAGAAAGATGTTGAGAATTTCATGGGATCTTCGACGCATGGAAAGGGTGATCATCTTCAGATATCGCAAGTATGAAGCTTTCGGCTGCTTTTTCTGCACTTGGAAGAGCACAGATGCCCTCTATTTCAGTGCTATGAGGAGGCCATATTTTCTTAATGGATGGAGTATCCAGCTCCCAAAAACCATGGCTTTATTCTCACGAGTCTAATAAGTTTCAGGGTGGTAGTGCTTGCTAGATTATCTCAGAGAATAATTACCTGTAAAATATGGCAGTTCTTGGTAGATGAACAAGACCCATCAAGGGTTTACTGAATTATCACCACCCTGTGAGGATTGAGGATGCTCCTCGATCACCGGATTTCAGAAAACACAGTTCATTGGATTTGATCATCTCCATAGCGTACTGACTGCGCCATTTTCTTCTGCTTCTCTGACGTATCTCTGCCAGTTCATTGGATTTTGATTGTATGGGTCATGTCATTCATTAGGGCTAATGCAAAAGTCAATTAAATCTGGAAATATTTTCTTAGACTTCATGAATTCATATCATCATCTTGGATCACCAGTAATCAGAGCACGTACAGATCCCATCTTTGATATGATGGAATCGGACAGCGTCTCGCAGGATGATCTCCCTGTGAGTGACCGTGGAGACAAACTTGGCAAAGCTGTGGCAGTCCTCGCATGTTCTGAGATTCTTCATGATTCTGATCGGTTTCCCTGACATCAGCCTAGACCAGCCATAGGCCATGGCCAACTTCTCACTGTGGCTGCTCAACACGCTCTCCTTCACATCATCCTCCACATCGTGCAGCACCACCTCTTTCCTCGGCACATACCCAGTTTCCTTTGCCTTGCTGATCAGCTCACCCAGCCTCTCGTACACCTCATCAGAATCCGGGTGCGACTTGTCGCCCGAGAGAAAGCTGTGGATTCTGCACCCGATCTCCACTGAGCTCCATCCCACTGGTTTCCTCAATCCCAGCTCCCTCATCAAGCCCCTCACCCTCCTCACCTCCGACCACATGTGGGCGGCAGCATAGATGTTGGAGAGCAGAACATAGAATCCGGGGTCAGCGGGCTTCAGCTCGAACAGCTTCTCTGCCGCATATTTCCCCAGTTTGACATTTCCATGGATTCTGCAGGCCCCCATCAGAGCTCCCCAGATCTCAGGAGGCGGCTCGGCAGGCATTCCTCTTATCAGCTCCCTTGCCTCCTCGAACAGCCCGGCCCTGCCCAGGAGGTCAACCATGCACGTGTAGTGCTGCAAGCTGGGGGTGATGCTATGGTGTTCAATCATCTGGAGGAAGTAGCGTCTCCCCTCGTCCACAAACCCGCCATGGACACACGCAGAGAGAACCCCAATGTACGTGATGTGATTGGGACGGATGCCCCTGCGGAGCATCTCGTCGAACAGGGAGAGGGCCTCCTCCACGCGGCCGTGAGCTCCGCAACCGGCGATCATGGCGCTCCAGGAGATCACATTCCTACTGCATATCCCGTCGAACAGCTTTCGGGCGACGACCAAGTCGCCGGACTTGGCGTACACGTCCATTAAAGCTGTCACGACGAACTCGTCCGAGCCGAAGTTGCGGCGGAGCATGAAGCCATGACAGGACTTCCCCAGCTGGAGCGAGCCGCACCGGGCAATGGCGGGGAGAAGGCCCGCCAAGCTCGAGCCATTGGGCTTCAGCCGGCGGCTCCTCTGCATCTCCACAAACAGTTTGAATGCCTCCAGCGGCGGCCCCTTCTCGGCCCACCAGTTGATCAGGCAGTTCCAGGCGACGAGATCCTTGTGATGCATTTCTCCGAACATCTGCTTCGCCGCCGGCAGCTCGCCGCAGCTTGCGTACATATCGACGAGCGCGGTTCCGACGACGACTTCTGCAACGAAGCCGCTCTTCAACGCCAATGAATGCAGCCCTCCGCCTGCTCTATCTTAGGGGTTAGCCCTAGCCCAATTACTGGGTAATGATTCTCTCTTTCTCTTTTTTTTCTGGATAGATTCTGATGGATTAAGGGAGAGCAGATGGAGCTACCCAGATGGAGCTCCTGCAACTGCGAGCAGGCGGCGATGGCGGAGACCACCGCGACGTTGTCGACGGCGACGCCAGCTCGGCGCATCTGCTCGTAAACCTGCAGGGCCTCCTGCGGCAGCCCGTTCTGGGAGTAACCAGCCAACAGGGCGCTCCATAAGACGACATCTCGTGTCTTCATTCCGTCGAACATCCTGCGTGCGCCGTTGACCTCTCCGTTCTTCATGTACATGTCGACCAGGGCGGCGGCGACGAAGGGGTCTCCGGTGAGGCCCCGCTTGGTCGAGTGGGCGTGCAGCTGCTTCCCGCAGGTCAACTGGGTCGCGCAAGAGCACGCTTTGAAGAGCGGTGGGAAGGTGTATCGGTTGGGAGCGACGCCATTATCGAGCATCTCCCTGTAGATGATGAAGGAGCGGAGGAAGAGTGAGTTGCAGACGTGGGCTTGGATGAGGGAGTTGAAGAGGAAGGCGTCCGGTGGCCATGGAGATGCGGCGAAGGCCCGCACGGCGGAGCTGACGTCCCCGAACTTGCCGTAGACGGCGACGAGCTTGGCGACGAGGTCGCGGGAGGGGCGGCGGGGGGATTTGAGGATCTGGGCGTGGGATTGCTTCACGGAAGAGAGGGACTCCCACGAGGGCTTCGTCGTCCCAGGCTGCGGGAGGGCGGTGGGGTCCGAGCAGAGGACTGTTTCCATGGCAGCGGCGGTGGCGGACTGCGGGCAGGTGGGAGATATCGCCGGCCGATTGGAGTACCAGACTTGGCCCCACAAAACATGGAAATTGTATCCGAAACCGGATAATTTAGACTATTTCATGAAATTTCTTTGATGAAGAAATTAAAAAAATGTAATCTTGTGAATGCCGACAGCGACTGCGGGGAATCATCTTCTATATTTTCATCATAATCATCATCGGCAGAGTTGCAGTTCTCAGATGGGGAGATCAAATCTGGGGCCCGCCCGGATAGCCGAAGATCAGACTGGGGCCCAAAAAATATGGTAATTATATCCGAAAAACCGAATAATTTGCACTATACTATCAAATCTGTATGATGAAGAAATAAAACAAATGTAATCTTGTGAATGCCGCCAGCAACTGCAGGCCATCTTCTTCTGTAGCTTCATCATAATCATCATCATCACCACCAGCAGCATCTTCTTCTTCTTCTTCTTCTTCTCAAGCAGGGGTTGGAATTTCTTCCCCAACATGAGTTCCTTTCACCTCCGCTGGATCTACCGGCTAATCCTGAAACAGAAACACAAGAAATCTATGGGAAGAATCGAGAAATTTGCCACGAACGCATTAAAATAGGATCCCCAGAAAAAACCACAATTTCTGAAGCAGACAAGAATTTTAATATAAGTATATATAGATGAATCTAACAAGTCCCATTATTCATATTATCCAAGTTTTGTTGCTCCTAACCAGTCGGTAAATCAGCAAGCAATGAGTAGCCTAAAGTCCGGGGTTCTGATAAGGTTTTAATGATCAGCAACACAATAGTGAGTGGGCCACGAACTTTTCTCAGATTATTTGTCTCATCTCCAGAGAATGCCACTCAAAATTCATAATGTTTCTTCAAATCGGTCAAGCCAAAGGCTTATCAAGCTGGAGGTGAGAGATCTTCACAGCCTAAGTGTTCTTGCTCCATTGGCAGTTTTCTATAGATCCTCAGAAACACCCGCGTGGTTCACCCCCCACTTGAGCCGAACAAGAACAGTTATAATTTTTTTACCTTGATACGATCAGAGATCCAACCTGCCTCATCAAATTTAGCTCGAAGATCATGATCCTCCAAATCTACCCACCTGAATGAAAGCTAGCCTCTTGGCTGGTTCATCCGACTGGGGCCTCTCGACAAGAGACAGGGACTTGTGGTAAGGATTCTTCATCCACTGTGAGCGGTGAAGGCAGTCAAATCATTCAATGCTATGGTATTGCCCCTCAAGGACCTACAAAACAGGAGCACATATATCTAAATATCAATAATGCAGTCCAGACGATAAAACAGAATATTAATAATAACAACGACGACAGTAGTAATAGTAATATAGATCAAAGAAACCACAATGTTCGTAGCTGGGTGCATCACATGAAAAGTCTTGTGGGGAAGGCATGGACGAAACTCCTTGGAGCATTTGATATTTTTCATCAATCCGACGCCAGTGCTAAGTAAAATAGAAAAAGGATCTCGTCATCTGCTGGCAGATTTAATCATTTAAATTCCCTTTTGGAATCATGCGCGATGAAAAAAAAAAAAAACGCAAATTTAGAAAGGAAGTGGAAAAGAGATCAAGATGGAGAAAATGGTTCAGAGAAAAACCTCATCTTCACACAGATACTGAATAGATTTAAAGAAGCTGTAATCAGCAGAGAAGGATGCCTTCATCCAAACTCGAAGCGGTAGAGATCTGCTCCTCCTCCCAGCTCATCCAATCTTTCACCCACTAGAAATGCATGAGTCCTGCTCCCAGTGTCCACCCAACTGCAACCAGGGTTCTTCCTCACGCCCCTGGATTTCATTCTCTCTCTAATACCAATTGCTTCATCCCATCTCCCAGCCTCAGCATACATGTTGGAGAGTAAGGTGTAGTAACCAGAGTGGCCTGGTTTGAGCTCGAACAGATGCTCGGCAGCCCACCTCCCCAATTCCAGATTCCCATGGACCCTTGATGCCCCAAGCAGAGCCCCCCAAACATCTGAGCCCGGTTGAAAAGGCAGGGCCTTAATAAAGTCAGCCGCTTCGTCCATAAAGCCAGCTCGGCCTAGAAGATCAACCATGCACGCATAATGCATCTCCGTTCGCTCGATGTTGTGAGACAGCATCTCATTGAAGTACATCTTCCCTCTCTCTACCAGCTTGCAATGGCTGCAAGCTGAGAGGACGGCAACATAAGAAACGGAATCATACTCCACATTCTCCTCTTCCATCCTATCAAACAGATCGATGGCAACTTCATGCTCCCCCTGCATCCCATAACCTAAAATCATGGCATTCCAAGAAGCCACATCCTTGTCTTCTATCCGATCGAATACCCTCCTGGCAGCATCAAGATGGCCCCTTTTTGTGTATAGATCCAGGAGGGAGTTGGCCACAAAGAGATGGCAGTGGAGGTGCCTCCTTACTGCGAAGCCATGGATCTCTTTCCCCCGCTTGACAGTGGGCAGGTTTCCACAAGCCGAGAGGGCTCCCATTAAAGAAATGGCATCATAGTTGAGACCCACAAGACCCATTTCCACGAATAGATCCAGAGCTTCTAAGCAGTGCAGACTGCGGGAGTAACCCACGATCAATGCATTGTAAGAAACTTCATCTCTCTCGGAGATCTCAAAGAGGGTTCTCGCAAAGCCCAGGCATCCACTTTTGGCATACATATCGATCAGCGCATTTGATATGAATATGTCAGAACACAGTCCGGCCCGGATTGACCGCCCATGGATTTCTTTCCCGGGCTTTGATGCCGCCATCCGGGCACAGGCTGGAAGAACATTTGTCAGAGTTACTGAATTGGGGCTCTCGCTCTTCATCTGCATCTCCCTGACGAGGGCAATTGCTTCCAGTTCACACTTGTTCTGGGCGAGATTAGCGATCATCGCATTCCAAGAGACCACATTTCTACACTCCATTGCATGGAAAACACTGGCCGCCTCTCTTGGACGGCCCCACTTGGCATACATGTCTAATAGTGAATTGGCGACGAAGAGATCGCAGTGCCAGCCATGTCTTGTGCTGTGCCCGTGAACCTCCCTGCCCAACTTGTGGAAGCCCAGCTCAGCCAAACCGGGGAGGAAGCTAGAGATGGTGATGGAGTTGAGCTGGGTGGTTCCATTGGCCGCCATTGACCTGAAGAAGACCAGAGCATCTCTAAGGAGGCCGCCATGAACGAGGCCGCCGATTATGGTGTTCCAGGAGACAACGTTCTTCTCGGCTATGGAGCTGAAGGCCCGAATGGAAGACTCCAAATCCCCGCACTTGCCGTACATGTCCACCGTGACATTTCCCACAGTGACCTGACTATCCAGCCCAAGCTTTATGATGCGTCCATGGATTCCCTTCCCAGTAGCCAGGGCATCATTTTCCAAGGCCGAGCAAGCCGACAGCACGCTCACCACAGTGACAGAGTTTACGGCCAGTTCCGTCCTAGTCAGCTCTCCAAAGAATCTCACTGCCTCCAAGGAGCAGCCATTGTTACAGAACAAAGAGATGAGTGAATTCCAGGAGACGACGTCTCTCTCACGCATACCGTTGAAGATTTGAAGGGCATCCCATGGGAGGAAGCAAGCTCCGTAAAACGCGAGGAGGGTGTTGCCCACGAACACGTCGCCGGCGAACCCAGACTTGAGGGCCGACCCGTGAACCTCCATTCCCTTCCAGACGGCGGCGCCTCCAGCGCAGGCCGTGAGAATGAACGGGAATGTCCGGTCGTCGGGCCGCAATCCTTCCCTCGCCATCCGGTTGTAGACCCCGAAGGCCTCGCCGTAGAAGTCGGCCTTGGTGAGGGACCGGACGAGGGAGTTCCATAGAAAGGCGCTCTGTTTCTGGAGAGGGCTCTGCTCGAACAGGCGGCGGGCGGAGGCGGGCTCGTGGAAGTCGGAGTAGGTGAGGATGAGAGCGGCGCAGATGGGGAGGCTGCGGCGGAGGAGGCCCCCTACCGTGGCCTGCGCGTGAGCCTTCCTGGCGTGGGAGAGCGTCTGAGCACCGAGCACGGCGGCGCGGAGGGCCACTTCCGCTGGCGGCGGCGGTGGTGGCGGTGGCGGTGGCGTAGGTCGCGGTGGCGGAGGACGAGACGAGATCACCTGCGCGGCGGCGCAACTCGTTCGCATTCTAAGTTGGAGAGCTCAGAAAAATTCGCCGGCGACTGAGCACCAGTTCTATAAAATTCATCGTGACCGTTGGATTCTTGGGCCTTAGATCACGACTCATCTTAATCTATTAATGGGCCGATCCCCTGTGGGGCCCAAACTCGTGGTCTGGCTCTCAGCCGTGGTTAACTGGGCAATGACTAGAGGCCTTAACCGTGGTTAAGTTACTCTGGAAAATCTGTCACCCGCTCACTGTTACGTGGTTTTGACGAGAGCGGATTTTGCTTGTCCACGTGGACGTGTCGACGGACTCCACTCTGGTGCGTTGAGTGGGACACGTTTGATGTGCGTTTCCGACGAATGGGAGATTCCGGGCCCGGCATAAACCAGCTAGGCCATTTTCATAAATGAAAAAATAAATAAAATTTTTAAATCCAGGCAATTGACCGAATGCCATTAGAGACGCACCTCACGGTGTGTCCATCGATACTTGCCGAAAGAAGAATTGTTTCACGTGACTTGCCTGCTGCTGACAGAAGCGATCAGAAGACCCTTTTCCCTTCTACGCCATCCTTTTCCAGATTTGTCATCTATAAATACCCATATTACCCCTAACTTTTAAGGGAATTTACCGTCAAAGATTATGTCATTCTTCTCTTGACGCTTAATAAGGGCAGTATGTGGTTTGGATCAAGTGTGAGGGTATTGTTGTTAATGCTGGACTATTCAAAAGTACTGACACTCCACGAGATGAGGAGCCGTCGTTTCGGACCGTCCGATTGGACTATCCGACAGAATCGCCGCGGAGATTATACATTGTCGGCCGTCGGATCTTACGGCGGTCTCCTTCCAGCCCACCTCTGACCTCCTATTAAAACTCCACTTCGGTTCCCCAGCCCCCTCACAGTCCATCTTCCGCCATCGGCGACCTCCACCCTTTCTCTCAGCCGTGCAGGCCAGGTTCATCTCGCAGATCTCCGGCCATCCTCGCGGGAAGTCGCCGATTTCCAGATCTCGCCGGTAAGGTCATGCGAAGCCTATGTTCTCCTACATTTCTCGCCGGAAGCTCTCTGGACTCGCTGGTCCGGCCGAAAGCTGAAAGCATATATCGCAGTCCCCTTTCTGTTCTCTAGATCTTGGATCTGTTCTTATAGCTCATTGTGCGTAACCTTTAGGTTCTCAGATGACTTTATATTCGACGCAATGCTGGATTCTGTTTTCTGTATGCTGTCGCTTGGTTTTCTCTTCTTATGTTTGTAAGTTACTTGAATTCCGATCTTATGCCGAAAATGTGGTGTGGCTGTTTCGAGTGCAGATCTCCGCATCATCGCCGGAGTAGGCTTCGTTGTCATACTCCGACTGCATTTATTATTAACCCCATTAAAAAAGTCCATGCTCTTATTTTACTTGGAAGTCTCACCAGAACTTCTACGATACATGTCGTGGAGTTTGTTTATGTCATCAAGGGCCGCTTTGTTTTTGTTGGTTTTGACTAGTATTTTTTCTCCTAGAATGGGGGCCCACCATGACGACGAATTTTTTTCCCCAGAATTCTGGGAAAGCGGGATATCCTCTGTTCTGATTTATGCTCTTCTGCCTATTTCTGTTATCAGGTTAAGATGAGGGAAATCCTCCACATCCAGGGTGGTCAGTGTGGTAATCAGATTGGATCCAAGTTCTGGGAAGTAGTATGTGATGAGCATGGTATCGACCCCACTGGGAGATACACTGGAAAATCCGGCGTGCAACTCGAACGTGTTAATGTCTACTACAACGAGGCATCTTGTGGTAGATTTGTTCCTAGGGCTGTTCTCATGGATCTGGAGCCGGGTACCATGGACAGCGTCCGCACTGGTCCATATGGGCAGATATTCCGTCCGGATAACTTTGTATTTGGGCAGTCTGGTGCTGGAAACAACTGGGCAAAGGGGCATTACACTGAGGGTGCAGAACTCATTGACTCTGTTCTTGATGTTGTCAGAAAGGAAGCAGAAAACTGCGATTGCCTTCAAGGTATATTTAGTCTCCAATGCAAACGCGACTTAAATTTGTACGTGTGTGTGCGCGCGTGAAAATTTCTGTGGTCTCAGTGCGGTGACTTAGTTTTTATTACTTGCTCTAGTGCTGGATTTATCATTAAGAAATAATCCACGAAACTGTACACCATAATGGTTCCTGCTCTTCCCAGAGTTCTCTTCTTTATTAGTTAGTGTCTATGAAAATTTTCTGTTCGAGCTAGTCACCTTGGACCTTAACTCCCGCCTTGAACTGGGCAAGGGGGGATTTTGTGTTCAGCGCCTGTATCAAGAACTGTCTTTTGAGACCAGTTTTGCTGCTTCCCTGAGTTCAGGTTTCCAGGTGTGCCACTCTCTCGGTGGAGGAACTGGCTCCGGCATGGGAACACTGCTCATCTCGAAGATCAGAGAGGAGTACCCCGATCGGATGATGCTCACCTTCTCTGTCTTCCCATCTCCCAAGGTCTCAGACACAGTGGTGGAGCCTTACAATGCGACGCTCTCCGTCCATCAGCTGGTGGAGAATGCGGATGAGTGCATGGTGCTTGACAACGAGGCCCTCTATGACATCTGTTTCCGGACGCTGAAGCTCACGACCCCCAGCTGTGAGCCTCCTCCCTCAACCTCAATGCTTCTCCGTCATCATTTATTAGCTATCATATACCCACAAATGGCTAAATCCCCCATCTTCTTCTGCTGGTTCTCTGTGTGGGTTTGCTTTCGCAGTTGGCGACCTGAACCACCTGATATCTGCCACCATGAGCGGCGTCACCTGCTGCCTCCGTTTCCCCGGACAGCTGAACTCCGACCTCCGGAAGCTCGCCGTGAACCTGATCCCATTCCCCCGGCTCCACTTCTTCATGGTGGGCTTCGCCCCGCTGACTTCCCGTGGCTCGCAGCAGTACCGGGCGTTGACCGTCCCGGAGCTGACGCAGCAGATGTGGGACGCCAAGAACATGATGTGCGCCGCCGACCCCCGCCACGGGCGCTACCTGACCGCCTCTGCCATGTTCAGGGGGAAGATGAGCACCAAGGAGGTGGACGAGCAGATGATCAACGTGCAGAACAAGAACTCGTCCTACTTCGTGGAGTGGATCCCCAACAACGTCAAGTCCAGCGTCTGCGACATGGCCCCTCGGGGGCTCTCCATGGCCTCCACCTTCATCGGCAACTCCACCTCCATCCAGGAGATGTTCCACCGGGTCAGCGAGCAGTTCACCGCCATGTTCCGCCGCAAGGCCTTCCTCCACTGGTACACCGGCGAGGGCATGGACGAGATGGAGTTCACGGAGGCCGAGAGCAACATGAACGACCTGGTCTCCGAGTACCAGCAGTACCAGGACGCCACCGCCGAAGACGACGGCGACTACGACGAGGACGAGGAAGCAGATGCCGACCACGAGGAGCCCTAAATCCCTCCCACCACTCACTACATGCTTTGCATGCTTCTATCTTTCCTTCCATCTATCTATCAACTATGGTCGATAAGGTTATCAATCCCCTGCCCCCCCTTCCTTCTTCTCGGTTGGTGTGGACGTGCTTCTGATAAAACCATGGCGTTGCTTGCTGCCTGTGTCCATGACCAATTCATTAACGAAATCCCTATCTTATAAAAAGATCAATCTATATACCTCTATCTACCAATCAAGTACAGTTCATCGTAATGTAAAGCAGTAGGCGGATTCACTTGGATTAGTCAACGACTAAAGCAATGGATCAAACCATCATCACATGAGATGAGACAACAATCGTCTCCTTCTCTGCTATAAACATTCTGGAAATTCGAGACGCAGAGGAAGAGAGAAAAAAAGAAGCTCTGCCTTGAAAGTCAATGGACGTAAAGCTGCTTAACACCAGCGCCGTGATCTCCTGGGGTCGGGCCCTGATTTGGGTGCGTCCTGCGGCGTCATGACTTGTACGGTCCTCATCTTCTTCACTGCACTCCCCGAGAAAAACCAGTTAACGCCCCGTCGCCGACTCCAAAAATAGAAGCGGGTTCTTATATTACTACATAAACTAGAAATTTACTCACTGTTTCCGTCTTTTTCATAACCATCACGGAGCTTCCGCTTGGAATCTTCGATCTTCGCTTGAATCGCCATGTTGTCGGCGTAGTCGATCCTCTGCACATAGAATGATACGTAGGGGCGAAGAATATGAGAATGCAGGGAAAGAGGGGAAGGGGATGGCTTTTCGGAGCTATTGCAGGCTTTCAGTGCCTACCCCTAGCTTCCTCCAATATACGGCGTGTATGACTACGAACCCTGTGGTTTTCAATCCCCCACCACTGTCCCCTCCTTCTCGGATGGTGTCGATGTGCTTCTGCTAAACCATGGTGTAACTAGCTGCCTCACTGTTGAGCCAGTGACGGCGTCGAAGCCTTTCACTGTTAACGATTAGCCAGTCACCAAAGACCCTAATGTCGTGTGGCGGGTGGACCTATTCGTGGGGAGAAGAGAAGACGAAATTTCTGCGATTTTTCTTCTCTAAATATTTACAGAAAATGGACTCATCGTTGATGGCTTTCTCGTATCCATTGTGGAGGTGGTGTTTTAACTAACATCCATCTCTTTTTGTCTTCCTCTCCTTCTTCTTCTTCTTCTTTCTCTGTTGAGGTGATCGAGTTGCAAAGAGAGCTCCGCCATGGGATCTTGCTGCCGAGAAGCCATTGATGTCGATGATGCTTGGATAACGACGTCGACGGCCTTTGGAGGTGCGTGCTCTGCGGCAGGAATCGGGCCACAACCCTAAGAATGCGTCAGGTCCACTATGATCAAACCCCAGCTTTGGTGCGTCCTTCTGGGCCATGACCTGAATCGTACTCATCTCCTTTATCTCGCTGCCGGCCTTGCTCTCCTTCTCCCTGCCGACGAAATCCAGATCCACTCTCTTCTCGGGCCGCCCCTTCCTTGAGGGTTCGTCGCATCTCGAGCATTGCCGCGGGTGAGGCGAGAAGATCATCTCGGCGATGCGATTCCTGCGGCGACAGAGCTCTGCAGGGGAGAGCACTGCAGCCGCCCGGATTGTCTCGTTGAACACTTGGAAGATATCCGGGTTGTCGCAGCGGAAGAACATCCCGCCGTGGTCCGGCTGATGGGTCTCTTCCGCCATTCTGAACAGGCGGGTTCACAGCTGACGATCCAAAACCCTTCACCCTTCCGGGGATAATGAGCTCGGAAGGGAAAGAGAGGCGGAGAAGAGAGGTGAAGCAGGTGGAGAAATCTGTCAGGAGCAAGAGAAAGATGAGGTAAGGAGGGACGAAGAGGAAGAAGAAGAGAAGAGAAGAGGAGAATTGTGGGTGGACGGCGGGAAATGCAGGTAGAGAGCGGAGTGTTTAAACCCTTGGCGCGAACCCATCTGGTAGGTATAACTCAATTACCACAATTGAATTGTTATTCTTATTTGTACTCCTATGGGCACGTGTGGTTTCAGATCTACCCCTCAACGCCGCTCCGTCGAGGACAAAAACATCGGCTGTTTTTTTGGGCCGGGTTCAGGAATCGGGCCGAGTTGAGTGGTGGAGCATAGTTCAGGAATTTTTGGGCCGGGTTGAGTGGCCCATCGAATGTTATGGCCCAGTAGTGGTCTTGCAAGTATCAGCTAATCTCTCCGTCCCTCTCTGGCACATGTCGAGTGTTTTGATGCCAATTACACTCATAACTTCAATCAGACAAACAGATTACTGTATTTTAATTTATACTGCAAGTAATATGGACACTCTACGGAAGGAGCAGTTTGAAGCTCTGAAAGTCAACAGGAATTTCTATAGTTTACTGTGACATGTCTGCTGCATTGATCGATTGACAAGAGACATTTCTGCTGCCCTGGGATACTTGAGCTATCATGGGCAATCTCTAGACATTGCTCAGAAAGATCATTTAATATTGATTTAAAGAAAAATAAAAATTAGCAACAAAACTATTACAAACAACATTTTATTTTCTCTATAATTAGAACAATAAAAATTTATACATTTCATTAGAAGTTATCTTTAATGGAGTATTTCCTGGTTATTGGTCTTCTAGATGAGGATCCATGTAACCTTCCATGTTTGAATCTTGATTCGTTTCAGGTAATTGGTGAAACAGCTGGGCAGAGGGGGATTACACCGAGGGTGCAGAACTCATTCACTCTCTTGTTCATTGTGTTCTCAGAGAGGAAGCCGAAAGCTCTATATATTACCTGCGATAAAGTTTATCTATATTATGTTTAGATCATTAAGCAATAGATGGTTCATGCTCTTTTCCCAGATTTCTGTTCGATTCGAGTTGTATTGACCTTGGACGAGATGGAGCTCACAGAGGCCGAGAGCACCATGAACGACCTGGTCTCCGAGTACCAGCAGTACCAGGACGCCTCCGCCGAAGACGACGGCGACTACGACGAGGACGAGGAAGCAGGCGCCGACCACGAGGCGCCCCCTAATCCCACACACCACTCACTACATGGTTGACATGTTTCTATCTATCAACCGTGGTCCATAAGGGTGGGTATCAATCCCCTGCTCCCCTTCCTTCTTCACGGACGGTGTGGACGTGCCTCTGAGAAACCCACGGCGTTGTTCGCTGCCTCTGTTGACCCATCACCGATTCATGAACGAAATCCCCACAGCATAAAAAGATCTACCGATGAGGAGCAGAGAAGGCAAAATTTCTGCATTTTCACTCCCCCCAAAGGTTCACAGAAAACTTTACTTGGACTAATCGACGACCAGAGCGATGGATCAAACCACCACAACATGAGATGAGACAACAATCGTCTCCTTCTCTGATATAAACATTCTGGAAATTCGAGACGCCGAGCCAGAGAAAAAGGATGAGCTTCGATCGTGGAAGTCAATGGACGTTAAGCTGCTTAATGCCAGCGCCACGGTCTCTTGGGATCGGGCCCCGGTTTGGGTGCGTCCTGCAGTGGCATGACTCGTATCGTCCTCATCTTCTTCACTACACTCCCGGAGAAAAACCAGTTAGCGCCCCATCGCGGACTCAATAAAAAATAAAAGCGGGTTCTTATTATACTTCAGAAACTAGAAATTTACTCACCGTTGTCGGCTTTTTCGTAACCATCACGGAGCTTCCTCTTGGAAGCTTCGATTTTCGCTTGAATCGTCATGTTGTCGGCGTAGTCGATCCTCTACACATAGAATGATCCACAGCGGGGGGGTGAATATGAGAATGCAGGGAAAGAGAGGAAGGGGATGGCTTTTCGGAGCTGTTGTAGGTGAGGTGACCTACTGATTCCTTCATCATGGCCTGTAGTGGTGGGCTTATTTTCTCTGGCTTCGGTTCCTCCTTGCGCACGGAAGGATCCTTGCGGGCACCCTTCTTCCCCCTCTACGTCGAAAGCGAATTACGAAAAGGACGTCCAGTGAACGAAGAAGCTATTGAATCGAAACTCGAAGAAGTGGAAAAGATTCAAGAGTCGAACCATAAGAGCTTTGCCCTGTACCAGGCTCTCCGTAGTCTTCGAGATCTCGTTCACGATCTGGCTCCATGTCTCCTTTTTGATCTGGTCTATCACTGCCTCTCCAGCCTCGGGGGTGACGCCGCTGCTACCAGCACTGCTCTGCTTCTCCCGGCCGATGAAATCCAGATTTATTCTCTTCTCGGGGACCCCCTTCCTTGTGGGTTCGTCTCGCTCCGGTGGGTGAGGCGAGAAGAGCACCTCGGCGATGCGATCCCTACGGTGACGAAACTCTGCGGGGGAGTCCGCTGCAGCCACTCGGATCGCCTGGTAGATCACATGAAAGATATCCGGGGTGGCGCAGCGGAAGAACTTCCTCCAATAGTCCAGCTCATGGATCTCCTCCGCCATTCTTAATTAACGGTGGCTCATGAATGATCAGATACTCTCTTCTCTCTTCTATGGTAAATGGGATCTGAAGGGAAGGAGGGGTGGAGAAGAAGGCTGAAGAAGAATGAGGCAAGAGGGATGCAGGGATGGGTGGATGGGGGAGAAGGGCGGCAAATACAGATAGAGAGAGGAGTGTTTAAACCCTTGGCGGGAACTCCGCCCGGTAGGTATAACTCAATTACCACTCTTGATATGTTATTTGTATTTGTACTCCTTTTGGTGTGGGATTACAGATCTACCCCACAACGCCCTGGCAGGGCCCAAGCTTGCAACTTTAAGGCTATTAAAACTTGTGTGCCACTCCGAGTTTATGACTTTTTTTTCATTATTACTTCAATTTAAGGTATTAAAGTGCATTTATCTCTTTTTAAAATATTATTATTATTATTATTATTATTATATTGTGAAGTTGAGGGGTGGGGAATAGATGGAATTCTTTTTTCTGATTTGTTTAATGAAAATCTATAAATAAGTTGGGCCTAATCTGATCCAATGCTAAATCAAAGACATGACACTTGGGGGAGGTCAGAGGAAGGGTCTGTGGACGTGGACTAAAATGTGCTTCCAATTATTAGTGATGAAAAACTAGAGAGAGGGAGAAGGTTTATAAAAGAAGTTTATGAGTTCAGTGAAAGAAGACGACGATTGACCAAATAAATCATTCTAGCTTTCTTAGCAGTTGTAGGAGGGTCTCTTCAAACCCCAAACACCTTGGTGCATCACTCATTAGTGATTACCTTTTTAGTTATATATAATCTTGCCATTTTTGTTTAATGTCTTTGATATTTTGGACACTTGTTGATTATAGAAGCTAATAAGTTTGTAATCCAACTTTATTAGTTGGTCTTTATATCAGTTTGATTCCATTTCATAACATTTTTGTATCACACCCAAGTTAGTAAAACCTTGTAAAGTTTCGTATTGTAATTGCATAAATGCGTAATTTTCTAGTTGCATAATTTGATAGAAGATTACACTTTCATTTATGGAAAAAAGACAGCAAAGATGATCCCTATATATGACAAGGACTTCACAAAACTCTTTATAGGAATGAGTTAGATTTCAAAGAAGTGAATTCAGTTCAGTTGTCCAATTGATGCTATAGAACTGTATATATTGCTCTAAATTATTTTAAAAAGAAAAAGTATTATGTATTTAAAATTATCTTAAAATAAGTTATATTTCTAGAAACATTTTATATAGCTTTAGTTGAAAAAATTGATCTCACAACTTTGCAATTTTGAGATTAAATACGGGGAAGATGATCTATATATTCTTATTTTCTCATCATTAATTCAGTCCAATGACTAATTAGAGACTAACATCTTGCATGCTAAAGACACGTAAAGATGAAAGAAGTTAAATATGTATTACTATATAACTATGTTATACATGATTATGCTATATGTGCTTCATGTTTTATAGTAAAAAGCTTGAGTGAAGAAAGATGATATCACAAAAACAAAGGATAAGTAGATTATGGGTAATAACATATGTTTTAAAGATGGGACTGCTAAAATTTCTTTGCTTAAAATAAAATCTGTACTAGAAATGTACTCGAACCTTGGGTTGACTTGAAGATAAATGCCCTAGAATGCTTTACCATGTACTTTTTGAATATGTAATGAGATGTTCAATATAAGAAAAAGTTGTGAGTCAACAATATTTCCTTAAGAATTTTTGACATTACATATACTAAAGATTAGCATTCCACTTACACCATCTATATTCCAATCAAGTTAATTATAAAAAAAAAACAAACAAGTCTTGTTTTTGAGATTACTTATGACAGTCATTGGTAATATGTTCAAAAGATGGTACTACAATTTTTTTATTAAAATATTATAATATTTAGAATTTCATATTGAAGTTAGTAAGGAAACAAGTGAAGATACTACAAGCTTTTCACTCTCCACATAACCAATAGATAATGACTTAACATAATATCAACTGAATGTTGTTTTCTTGTGATGATAACTACATCACAAATCAATTTTGTCAATATACTCATATCAACTCATTCATTTGTTGCCACTTGAATTTGGCAAATTATTTCTATGTTTTCTATTGGATAACTTCTTATAGTTTAAGATGTTTTCATTGTCTTTTGCTTGGTAGTGGGAAACATTTAATTGGCCTAGTTCTCACTCAAAATGGTAAAGTATTTAATTAGTGGATAAAATAGCTATGACACTTTCTTCACTGAGCTCTAGCTATTGGGATATTCAGGATGCTGGAGCTTCATTAGTAATAAACAGTGGGGTAGATCCTTCCTCTTTAGTACCTTTAAAGTTTCAGCTCCAAAGTCATGGACAGAATATGATGATTTTTAAAATTATCTGATTGGAACTTGAGATTAAAATGTAGATTTTTCCTTTAGAATTAAACAAGGGAACATCTAGCTTTCCGTCAAGCATTGAAAACTTTAGTTGCTGAAATAGATTATGAATTTTCATAGATTCAACTCTTTGAAGTTCCATATCAGATTTTATTATTTCTTGTACCTTTTCATTTAATCAATTGAATTTTGTAACGAGTTTTTATGGATAATAAACTCATATAGTGATACTCTCTTATTAAGAAGCCATATCTGTCCTCCTATCTTGAAATTTTATACAACATATTAAATGTCTCATAAAAGCTTGAAGGACAGCTGAACAAATATCCATTTGAAATTTTTCCCTTGAATTTGACTTCAATTGAAGCCACCCTCACTGAACTTCAGTTCATTTATTGATAACATAAAAATCTATTATTTCCTATTTTTGGTAAAATTTATATACATTTCCTTGCTTTACTACACTTGAGACATTATTTTTCATAGCTTTATTTCATATGGAGTATGGCTTTCCCATCTTTCTGATGTTATGGGATAAAGACTCATTCCTACACTCCTATCAGATGGTCCTATATTCTATCAAGACATGGAAATACCTTGTCCAACATACTAGCCATGTCCTCCCTTGACTTCTTCATCTTGTCCTTGATGCCCTTGATCATTGACTCCAAGTGGTTTAGAAAAGTGTCATTGGGACCAGGTTCCATGATCTCCAATACGTAACTTTTGATACCCATGATATGACCCTATATAGCAATGAAGGAAACAAGAAGAAAAAAAATGTTTTTTTTTGTAGGAAAATATAATATAGAGTGATAAATCAAGGTCTTGTAGGAATCCAAGTTGTTTGGAAGCTTTTGACATGCTACGTCTCTCCCCTAAACACTTAAAAAGCTCCATATCCCCATCCCTCCATTTAGAACCATATTTTTGTCTTTAATTATATTGTACATTGTTAAGAACCTCTATACTATTCTATGTTTGACTCTTTTTGTCCCTTATTCAAATAAATTATGTTGGGGTTGTATTAGATACATCCAAACTTCACCCATAGGTTAGTTAATCCCATTGTTATATGCCATTGACCTCATTTCTCTAATAATGTTTTATATTAAATTTGACTCATTCTCATAATTATCTTCAGAAGGTATATAGACTTTGGATTTTTTTTCAAAAAATAGTGGATAATGAATCCCTTCTTCTTTCTTACCTAGCATGTTGATCATTTAGATATTCATGTAATTAATACTTTTATTTCCATTTTGGCCTAATGTGAACTAGTTGTTTATATTTGCATTCGTCTGTTTCCCTAGACTTCTATGAAAATAAAATAAATAGAAGATGGGATAATTTGAACCATGAAATAGATCCCATCACCACAATCTCTTGTTTTAGTGAGGATAGCTCATTTTCTCTTAAGATACTATAGCTCAATAATTTAAAGTTTTGTGATTTTAATTAGGTGAGAAATATTACATTTTATCAACCTCTTTGATGAATCTAGCCCATGTTTTAGGTGAGGAGCATCTTAGTTGATAAATCTCCTAGCAAAGTACTTTATGCTGCCATGTTGAAGAGTCTTCTTCAGATACCATCCTCTGAGTCCAAGAGAAACTAGTCTTTCATAATGTTATATTTTACTATAAATCTCTAAACCTTTTTTTAAGCCCTATTGACCAACCATTTAGAGACTCGATATACTTCTTTCTTAGCTTGAAAGAGGTGATCTAGAGAAATTGTAGCTTGAATTGTAGCTAATCACATCAATCGAGGAATAAATTTCTTTGTTTACATTCATGCCACATGATTGATCTTGTTCTTTGATTTAGTAGAGAGAAAGATGATCAAAGCTCAAGTCAAAGTTGTTGAAGTGACTGGCCAAAGGAAGGTAGAAGAGCTTAAATTGATAACAATAAGGAAAATAAAAGTAACTCAATTGGTGGTTGATGTGAATTAATTATTATATAATAAATCACATTATTCAAAATTTATAATACTATAAAATAATAATTTCTAAGTCGATCACAAGAATGTAAGATAATATTAGGTAAAATTTTATAATTTTTTTGAAGAATATAAATTTTAATACTTTTTAAACTAAGTAATGAGGAGTAATTATATTTAAATATTCAGAGATAAGTAAATTTGAGTGATGATGCCATGATGACATCAACACCCCAATGAATGTAATTCACACAAAAATAAAATCTCATTTGGTGATTCTTACATAAATGATTATAGATGATTTAATTGATCAAATTAAGATATGTAAAAGTAAAAGAATCATAATTCACTAAAGAAGAGTTTCAAAATTTAAAAACTATGTAAAATATCATTAATTTCAAAAATAATTTAGTTTAAAATAAAAAAGATAATTTCAACGTCATGTTACTAATTATTGAAATTCTGAATATTCTAATAAATGTTAGTATGATGCCCATGGCCTCAAAAACTCTCCTTAGGCATTCATGACGTGGGCATTCTCTATGTTCTCTTACAAGGTCCATATATTGACAAGATAGGTCGATAAAGTGTCTTTAGTGGCTATCACTTGATGGAATGAAAGTTTAACAGCGATGGGCTCTCTAGCAATTGCCACCTAGTGAAAATGAGTTGGGTGGAG